CTACAAATTCGCACAAATGTAATTGTCATGATGTCATAGGAATGATATGGATATCTAGAAGGTACTGCAGCTCATAAAAGAGCATGGGACCTCCCTTTTTTCATTTCAAATTTTACTTTCACTTATGATCTACAGCCAACATGTACAGTTTGACAACAATCTCAATGTGTGTTCTATGGAATGGCTCTGAGTCTTCAATGTATTTTCTCAATTGCTCTGTATTTTTTTCTTTTACAGAAGCGGATTGACATTGCTATAAGTTAGAATGGCAGCAAGCAGTTTCGGGAACAGTCGAGGTAATCCACCAAAGATCAATATTAATCTTCCAAAGATAAGTGAGTGTTGCGCGTTATTTAAAAATAGGAGCCAAGTTCCTAGTGAAGACGATTTAGAGTGGCTTTCGCACCGACTCGAAAAATGGAAGACATTCGGGCGTCTTCTCAAAATTGAGGAAGCAAGATTAACGACGTTTGACGATAAAAATGTGGAATACTCTGATAAAAATTTACAAAATGTTACTACATTGGAGAGAAAGATTGGAGAGAGAGGAATGGCTCAGCTGCAACATACACGGTCCTACATGATGCACTGTGTCACCCATTGGTTAATGACACAGTTTTAGCTGAGCAACCTGGGGCATATTCGAATTTACCCCAATTTATCACTGGTAATATATCACTAATCTTGCAATTCAATAATCTTGCACCTTCAACCTCATCTTCCGGCCCCCTGCCTTTATAAACTAAGAATGCGTGGATCCAGCAGAATGGTATGAATAGATGCAACACGTACTACTCGCTTTCCCCTCATCTTGATGCTTTTCTCTGATGTTTTTATGTTTTTAGTCAAGCAAGGAGTTCCCAGTGACGAAGAATTAGAGTGGCTTTCGCACCAACTCGAAAATTGGGAGGAACTCGGGCGTCGTCTCAAAATTGAGCAGGCAACATTAACGGCGTTTGACGATGACTATGGGAGAAAGCGTAAAAAAATCTACAAAATGTTACAACATTGGAAACAGAAGGATGGCTCAGATGCAACATACATGGTCCTACATGATGCACTGTGTCATCAGTTTGTTAATCGCGCAGATTTAGCTGAGAAACTTTGCCGTCAATAGCATGAGTGACTTTTTATTTTTTTGACTCACAGACAGCTTTTATCTCTATTTTTACTAATTATTTCACTGTCAAATGAACAAGTATCCCCAGTATGGTTACACTATTAACATGTGAATTACTAAATCAGTTATCTTCCTTTTCCTCACGGGATCGTTTTTCTATCTCTTACACACATGCATCTTTCTATTCTTTTAATGAAAAACGTCAAGTGTTAAAGAATATTGCTAATTATGACCCATCCATAACTTTTCGTGCAACTCTATTGACTACTTGACGTCACGCGGTACAAAATCACCGGACAAAACCACCATTTACGTCGATATTTGTAACCCAATCATTTCCGTCTAAAAGAAACCAAGACAGCGGAAAAAAAGCCAGCTCTAGAGTTTCACTTTTTTATCTTTCTTATTGTACATGTGAGAAAAACGAAGTTATTTTGAAGAGTTAACTTGTAGTGATATTAAAAAGCTGATCACAAATGCTGGTTCGGAAAACTGAAAAAAATCAACAAAATTTTTGTCAAGGCGCAATACGGAAATTAATAGAAGGGTTATGAATTGAATAAACCCACTTTTGGCATGTTAGTATTTCGAGGGATAATTTCCTTGGCTGACATATTGTCTTGTAAATTTTACAATTTGTCCTCGAAGCTCCGCTTATCGGCCAAAAATTCAATTTCAGGCAATAGCTCAGTCGCAGACATGAACAGCCGACATACTAGCCGTCTAAAGACGTGTACTAAACATTCGGTGAGTTGCTCACCGAAGGCATACGGCATGTTACGCACTTGCATTACCACTGATATCCATGCGTAATGCACAGGCATTCTTCCTTCAATTGTTAGTTTTGACGCAGCTCTGAATTTGGAATTTCAGGCGCTTTTTTCTAAGAGGTTTGATGAAACCAAAATTCAGCGTGATGAGAATCTCACGCCGAGAACACGAATATATGCCATGTTTTGTAGTTGATAATGAGATTTTACAATAGCTGTGAGTTTTTGTTGGTACCTGTTAGTGCATTAGCTAATATATCGATTAAGAAATTGAGAGGAATGTCGAGCTGAGTCATTTTTTCTCAAAAAATTGTAAACTCACGAGGAGAAGACTCCGTTAATAGCTAGGCAACGAAAAAACGTGGTTCCCTGATACTCGATTAAGCTTGGACAAAAGGCAAAGTTCTTGAAACAGTCAGCTTGCCTGATAATGATATACATTTGATATTGGAAGTTCATGATTGATTTATTGCCTACGATAATTTACGGTGTAGAATATTTGTCAACGAAACGTTTCCGTAATAATAAATGAAAGGTTTGAGATAACTAACGGCCTATAGAATGATTCTATGGCAAAGAAAAAGTGTTTGGTGAAAACAAACGGTAGAGGTTTATGATTTCATCAGGGCTTCCTTACTGCTTTTAGCTGGCATGGAAGAAAACAAAATGTCGATTTGCCATTATTTCTTTTGTGTGTGTGTCTTTTGTTCTTTAGAAAAGTCTTTGAGCATCCTTGCTTCTGGATTGAGTAGTTTGGTTAGAGCCCAAATGGTTGGCAATTGTACTGATTTTCCAGAATAGTTTTCTTGGGTAAAATTTCTTTCTACCAAGCTTTGAGCAGTAAAATCTTTATAAAGCGAACTGCTGGATTGATAGTTATTGTCTATTCATAACAAAAAACTTGTATAGAGATTTTGCACTTCGAGTTTTTTTTTTGGGCATAAAATTTTGCCCGACAGCTGAATAACAAAAGTTTTCTCAGAGCTTTGCTAAGCTTCGCAACATCTTTGATGGTTTGAAGTATTGAATATCACTTTTTTCAATCGAATGTTGCAGACCCGACGCATTCATGAAGCTATACAGGAAACCGATTCTCTGTTATGAAGCCACGGTTCTATAATGATATTGCCAAAGTGTTAAAAAAGTGAAAATCTAGTAAAAATAATTAGTGTCGATAAATCCACAGTATTTTTTCATTGAATGTACCCATGATCAGGCGCATGGATAAAATGGTAAAGGAGGCGTCATAGTACGCAGATCCTTCCAATGTCAGCGACACAACGGCACCGATGATGGACAACACGAACTCGTTATAAACCGTCATTACGATGTACTTTGAGTCATTCAGGGCAGTTATGGTGACATTGCGTTCCTCCCAAACCAATAAATCCCAAACAACAGTGACAACCCTTGATATGTAAACACGACCGCAAAAAAAAGATACGCTTTGTATCTGCAAGTGCATTGGTACAATGCTTGGACGATAACAAGGTGAGGTCTCTTTATCAGGAACTTGACAGCGACTTCAGGCAATAGGCCAAAGGAGACAAGAGCTTATGCTCAAACTTGGCTTACATCTATGAATTGGTATGGATAGTTTTTTTTTTTGGTTCAGCGTACGACGAACTTTCTGTTTTATATTGTTCGCTCTAACTCCTTCACCTGACCATTACTGCGGTTTAAGGAAAAGGTTCGGTTTGCATACTGCATAGATTTACTGCTCAAAGGAACAAGAAAAGAAACGACATGCCATGGCCTACGATCATTTATTCTTTACCATTATTCAAAGCAATTTTCAGTATGCACTTTTAACCATAATTCTCGGTCGCGAAACAAAAACATTTTTTTTCTAGTTTAGCGGACGTTGAGAAATGTTTTAGGAATCAAAAAGGTAACATTAGAAGCGTTGCAGAATCAATGTCAGTATCTGAGCAATTGCGCCTGCCCCTCAACTGACCCAAAAACAGTAAACTGATAACAAGTAAGGCCGGTTAATGTTGTTTTAGTGGAGGAGTAGGTGCGTAGTTGCTCAGATACTGACATTGATCTGCGTTTCATTACACTGACAGCGACATTTTAAAGAGATGAAGAAACATCCTGCTCAACCTAGGACAAGAAGGAAGTATTATGAAGGTATCTCCTCTGATAGAGCAGCGAGAGAAGCTGAGGTTGAAGAAACAGAAAGGTTAATTGTCATTTTTTTTCTTAATTGAGAGCCCAGATTACCAAGCTAGATATCTTTCAGGCAGGAGGAAGAGTAATACACTTTGAAGAAAGTGCATCATTGAGATTTGTCGCAGTAGAGCACATTTGGACTAGCTGTTGTCTGGTGACCCATAGTTTTTTGTATTCCTGAACTAGGGTTTAACATAAAACAGTTTAATTTCCTTTTAATTCACTAGTTGGCTGACCGAGTCCTTTGATCATCAATGTTATTCAGTCAGAGGAATAGACTGAGAAGAGGAAACAAACAAAGTATGTGTGTTTCAGCATTGAAAAAATAGGTTTATATGGATGCATCAAAAAAGGTCAGTGTTAGGCTGTGTACCTTTGTTGCATCGTATTTTTTTTTTCGGTCGCGCAATGCGTCCCGGCTGTCAAGTCACAAGTGTGGTATATTAGAAAAAACCTAAAACTCTACAAAATCGAGTTCTTTCTGTGTGCCCTGATGACACATATCCAGAATATCGAAAGAAACTTTACTTTTACAGGGAAACGTACAGACAACGAAGAGCAGAATGAAATGGGAGAGTCACTGTCTGATTCCAACGAGGAGCTTGGCGACAAGAGCTTATTCGACTGAAACCAGATTGATTATTGACACAATTCCTAAAAACATTTGCATATCTTTTGCCTAGTACGTTGAAGTTGTTGAAAAATATAATCAGTCTGCAGAGCTGGCGTAATTTTGGCGAGCGAGTGCCAAGTAACATCTTAACGAAAATTATGGCCGCCATCTTTGATTTTTAATGACAGCGAAAGGCTGGGGAGAGAAAGAAATTTGTACCAAGGGGGCGGTTGACGGTCAAAAATAAGGAGAGAGGTGGGGGTAGGGAAGTGAAGAGTTCGCTTATCCCCCGCCCCCTACCCCCACCGTCCACTTTGACTCCAAATAAAACATGGCCGGTCGGAGAAATGATCTCGAGCTTATAACGTTAGCTGCACTGCAGGCTTTTGTATAATCAATTGATAGCGATGGCTACTTGTGAAAAATCTTGATCAGAGACGTTTATAGCGGAACTTTCAAGGTAAGAATAGTTTGTTGTTGCTACAGGATAAATTTTGTTCACAAACTCGATCGTTCTTTCTTCTTATACTACGCCACATCAAAAGATTTGTGGTAACACCCATGATCAGTCCTTTAACAGTACTGATACCGAAAGTAAATGATACTTAGAAAATAGAGAAGCCTTGACTATGCTTTTTTCTGTTGTAAAGTACGAAGGAAGCGGCTAGAGCACGAAAGAAGTGTAAGCAGAAACACGATCGTGTTTCTCTCCACTTCTAGAGTCGAATTTGGCCGAAGCGGACAAGTCTTTAGACGCATCGCCAACAAAATTTGTCCCGGGTAAAAGTTAGGCAAAATCGTTTTAATAAATAAAACAGTCATGTGTCATGTTATCTCTCTGTCCCCCTCCACTAAGATGTGTAGGTAAGTAGATGTGTAAGCAGAAACACGATCGTGTTTCTCCCTACTTCTTTGGTCGAATTTGGCTGAAGCTGACAAATCTTCAAATGCAAGCCAATAAAATTTGTCCTGGGTAAAAAAATCTACCTAGTAAACAAAACCATGATAAAGTTCTCAATCATTTGTTGTATAAGCTACAACAAGCGTGTAATAATGAACCGTTATCAGTTTATTAAATCCTGGAAATTGAAAGTGGAATCCTTTGGCAACTATGCTGGCTGGTCTTATGAACAGATCAGGTGCTGACAGAATTTGTGGGCTTTGAAGTTTTTAAATGTGAATGCAACAGATAAAACAAAAATTTGTCCTTTAATTTTGTTGAGGCAATTCTAGTTTTGTCTGCTAGTGTGAAAGGCCCTAAGACTGAGGCTGTCTGAAATGTCAAACCATCAAAATTCACAATAATCTGCAATAGTTTACAAACTGAAATAGCTCAGGAGGTGGAATTTAAATGTGTTTGATTTTTATTACTGTACATAAGATTGCAATCTAACTGACAGTGAAAATCTTAAAAACCTTAATAACGTAAACTATGGCACTTGTTATGTTTACAAACCCTTGTTTGGTTCTTACTGGGAGTTAGCTGAGAGATGTTCAGACTCAGAGGTAAACTGTGACTTATTTCAATACTCTTCCACTCCCTCACTTGGTTTAGAATTTGTTTCTATGGATTCTTGTTGGTCAACTCTATTGCAAATAACTTAAGCCACAAGTTGGGATTGTTATAGCTAAGATATTAAAGTTTGGATCACATTTATTTGTCAATTGATTATTCGTTAGGTCTGGTGATAACTTCAAATTTATGTTACATGCAAGGTTCATGATCCAACGATACTATGAGTCCAATCCCAAGTGTTACCTATTTTTGTGCATCGTAGGCACCTTCTTTATTTTTGTTTGCTCGGCCTTTAGTCATAATTTTGAAAAATCATACTTAATGACCAACCTCTGTTTGCAGAGACTCAAATCAAATCGCCCTTCTGAGAAATTTAAAATGTCCTAAACCAGGACTGAGGTGGTTTAATTTTTTTGAAGCTGATCTGCAAATTTTCTTACAACCAAGCTGTGACCCTAATGTATCTGTACATTTATGTGACAGAAATGTGAAGATGGTGACATGATTGCATGTGTATGTGAGTCATATGTGATGTGACATATAGTATATGTTGGATATGTAATTATGTAGGGGATATTTGTGACGTTCATGTGTAGTTTTGTTAAGGGTTCATAGCCAGCTGGTTGCAATTTCACATGCTGTTCACATAATATGTATTTTCAGTTTTCTATATATTGCAAGATGCATATGCATATGATTTAGGGCCAATATCTTCAAAATTTTCTTTCCAGCAGTAAATAAATGTTACTTATTTACAGTGTAATGAATTGATGCCTGCAGTTGTCTTAAACTCTGATTAAATGGGCAGTATGATATTCTGGTGGCTAATTATTTTGTCAAGGCAAAATAATTATAAATTCAATTACATGTTAATACTTTGCTTAGGGTCATTCCTTTGCTTAGGGTCATTCCTTAGTACTGTATTGCACATCCTCACTGTGTATAATTTCCCATGTAACTATAGTGTATTCTTCATAAGAATGGTGCCTTTTTTCCTCCATCGGAGCCAATCAGAGAGTAAATTGTCATTTTCTCACAAATGAGCTGGGAGACCTTCAGTGTAACATTATTTCTCTTGAAATTGAGAAATTATTTTCTTTCTGTCAAACAACTATAAACCAATTTTTAGTTAAGGAAAAGGAAAAAAAATCAGAAATGCCAATTTAGCAAATACTCACAAATGCAACTGTCATGATATGAATTGGAATTATATGGATTTCTAGAAGGTACTACTTCTCATAAAAGAGCATGGGACCTCCCTTTTTTATTTCATATTTTACTTTCCCTTAAGATCAACAGCCAAAATATTCAGTTTGACAACAATCTCAGCGCATGTTCTATGGAATAGCTCAAAGTCAATGTATTTTATCAATTGCTCTGTATTGTTTCTTTTACAGAAGCTGATTGGCATTGTTATAAGTTAGAGTAGAAGAAAGCACTTTCAGGAACATTGCTGGTCCATCAACAATTAATCATGATAAACTTTTGAGGTCATTTCCTGGAGCAGTTGCAATTCAATCAGAAAGATGGGTAAGATATCTTTGCCTTTTTTTTAATGTTTAGTTAAATCTGCTCAAAGAGATGGAGGTGGCATTGTAGGCGGGGAGACAGAATTGATACTTTTAGAAAAAAAATTTTGGTGGGTAAGTTTTCCTACTGGTGACTGAGATGCACTGGCAGATGATTGCTAGCATTCTGAAGTTAAGATAAAGAGGTCTGGGCTCTAGCTTTGGCTAAAGTCATTGTGTTGCAGTCTTGGTGTAGGCCTAAAATCCTAAAAGGTGGCCTAAAAATCTCTCTGTACATTCTCAAAAGTGTCTTTAAACCTCATTTCATCCCTTAAAATCACAAAATATTTTCTTAAAGTCCTGACTTATCTTCAATTTTTTTTTAGAAATAATCACATAATTTGGATAAAATGTGAGATTCCAGTGGTGAAATTGCATGGTAACAACTTCAAACTGACTCGAAATGATCATTTATTCATGAGATAATCTAAGTGGTTTGTCTCCTTACAGTTGGAATGTTTCTTTCAAACAATCAATAACAACAACCGCTGATTGGTAGTATTTGTATGGAAGGAGCCTGTTTGCAAAAGCTTCAATGAACCATGCAATTTTTTTATGCTATTGGCTGTATTTGTTTTTTTAACACCGTCTTGACTTTCTGCTGATTAGCCAAGCTTTCATTGAACCAAGATCTTGTAGAACTTTTCATCTGACACAGGCAAAGGTAAAATACCCCCAGGTTTCACTGGGGCATGTTGAGGCTTAGAATTGATTAGTGCATTAAAATCCAAACAGAACTATGCCTTTTGAAATGGCCACATTTGATTCACATTTCTTTAGAGTATTAAGAGTAATCCTATAATAAACTCCTGTTAGAAATGGATGCAAACCCTTAAGAATTTGCAATTTGTGTTGGAGCAAATTTTTTGTTTTATAGATGAATTTTTGTTGGTTAAAGTTTAATGAATTGTCTCTGTAGCACATATTCTTAAAGTGGAGTTGGCTCACCTAGTTATCAATGGTATTTCAGGGTATGCAGATGGAACGGAAGCAAACCAAAGCTGAAAAACATTTCCAAGAGCATGGCAGCCTCTGTCGTTGACAACATTCCAAAGAGCTACCATGTTTTTAAAGATAGGCCACATTATGAAGGTAAAACAGATCAGCATTAATTTTTTTTAATACATCTGGATATTATTCTCCCCAAATATTCTTCCCACCCCCACCCTCCTAGTGGGGGTGGGAAGAATCACTGCTTAGTTGGATTTTTACATGGTTTTCGGAGGAGTCTATTCTGGAGCGGGATTGTAGAAACACTCTTTCGGAAATAAAATAAAAATGCAGCTAAGCCAAGAGAAATTAATGAGAAATATCTTCTTGAATTCCTTGTAACACTAGGCTTTTCACAGTTGCTACATGAGATGACTTTTATGTGCTCACTGAACATTAATTCTGCATGTGTTTAGATTTTCGAGGGAGCAAATTAATGGGTTTTGTTTTTTAACTTTTTTGAGCTGCTACAGATCCAATCCCCGACTACATGCAGGCGAGGGGACCGGTGGCACTAGAAGCGTACAGGAGAGCACTGGAGACAGGCGAAACCTACGATAGACGTACCAAAATTGTGTTGATTGGTCAGGACCGTGTGGGCAAAACAAGTCTGAGAAGGTACCTCAGAGGTGAAGCATTTGATAAAGATGAAGCCAGCACTAATGGGATTGAAATGATTTCCCCTGTCAAGAACGCAGGAAAAGGGGCATGGAGGAATCCAGAACTGCTTGAAGACACAAGTGCACTTGACCACAAGTGCGCAGAAGTGGTCGCACAGGAGTTACTCGGCAGCTTTAGAGAACGATCAGATAGGGCCCAACAGTTAACTGGAGAAGGTAAGAAGACGAGAGGCTCAGAAATAGGTGACGTTCCGGATGAAAAGAAAATAAAACATATGCCTAGGTAGAATACAATTAAAAAACAATAGGGAAATGCGAAACCAAAAGGAAGACGGAAAAAAAGATATTGCTAGCGCCTGGAGTCGATCCCTCGACCTTTCACGTGTAGGGATGAGCACTTTCCATGGCGCCAGTTTTGTAACGTCAACATGTCATTTTGAATGCGTTAAGCTTGTAAGGTTTCTGCCCATGCACTCGCGTGAAACCATGCGATATTAGAAGGCTTTTTTTTGGCACTGGTCGCTGAAGGAGTGAGCGAGTGTTTATTTCGAGTGAGGCGAAGCTTTTGTATATTTCTAGTTCTTATACACAAAGTAAAAATTCAGTCACTAATGTTAGCATTACTATTGCCTTGCACAACCGGTCCTGGGTCATACTAAGCTTAACTGGTATTCTTCTGTATGTTGTTGCACTTGAACAGCGTGTTTAAGAAACGTAATAACTGATTAAAAATATCAATTTTAGTTTTCCAGGAAGTCAAAAGTGAGCAAAAACCAGAAGAAGTACCCACGAAAGTTCTTTCCCTCGTAGAGCGTGGCCTCAAGGGAAACGACACCTCGGACAATGAGGATATATGGCCTTTTGTTTGGGATTTCGCCGGCCAGGCAGTATACCATGCCATTCATCCAATTTTCCTATCGCAAGAAGCCATATATGTCCTAGTGTCAGATCTTACTATGGAGCTAAGTGCTCCTGCCCAATGTCGGATAAGACCGACAAGAACGTAAGAAACTAACTGGTAAGTTTTTTCCATCAGCAAAAATTTTTTCGATAAATAGTTAAGTCAATATCAGTTTGCTGGAAAGCAACTTGCCCGCCTAGTAAAATGCAGAGATAAAGGAAATACTGTGTGAAAGTAGAGGAGTTCGATTGTCACCAACCGCTTCTTGTGGGGAAAGCGGTGCATGACATTTTAAAAGGAGACCAGAAAGCACAAAGTAGACTCCATGAAAGTGACCTCGTGGTCCAGCTCCTTGTTTCTCCGTGACAGTTATTTATTGATATAAAATTGTTATTTTTATACTCACAGTTACCGTTGCAAACTTCCTTTTAACGACTTTGTCTTTCTACACTGGCTATTTATTTAACAGAAAGGAAAGTTTTTCCCAAGCTTTTTGCTCGAATTTTAAAAATGACACTTGAATGGTAGGTCACCAAATTCGAAAAAAAAAAAGTACTCAGTTTGTGTACGTGGGCCTACTTATCACGTGTAAAATGAAATGGCCTTAAACGACGGAAAAACCTGAAACCTTTTTAGCAGATAAGGAAAATCGTCAAGGATGTGTACAAGCTTATCTGTTGACCGAAAATATCTGTTCCAATTAGCTTTCCTTAAGCTTGCAAGCGTGCAAGTGTCACAAGTGCCCTTGCAAGTTTTCATTTCTAGTGAATGTCTTTTATTTAACCCAAGTTGTTTATTGTATGGAAATGATTTTTTTCAAGCTTTTCGCTCGATGGCAAACAAGAGATATAAATGGTAGGTCACCAAATCCGTTTACGTGGACATGACAATTTTTCTTCCTAACAGAAAAAAGAGAACAAGAGATCATCCGTTCGCGTATGTGGACGTGCATATTTCGTGTAAAATGATGCACGGGAGGGATGCATAATGCAATGGCACGAACTGTCCTTGAAACAAATTCCTCATGAGACGTTTTATTAGGAAAGGAAAAGCTCCATTGCTACAATGAATCTTTTGGCTCAAAAAATCTGATCTAATGATTGTTTTTTACATTTGTTGTCATACAGGTGGCCGCAATGAAGAGTCATCTCCTAGTGACGCAGGTAAAATGAGGACAGATCTGTAGGCGTGCCTGTTAACTCCCACCTCCCACCCCATCTTCCCGCCCCCTGCCTTTGTAAAATAAAAATGCGTGGATCCAGCAAAATGGCATGAATAGTTGCGATACGTTCTACACGCTATCCCCTCATCTTGATGCTTTTCTGTGATGTCTTTATGTTTTTAGTCAAGCAAGGAGTTCCCAGTGACGAAGATTTAGAGTGGCTTTCGCACAAACTCGAAAATTGGGAGGAACTCGGGCGTCGTCTCGGAATTGACGATGCAACATTAACAGCGTTTGACGATGACTATAAGAAAAAGCGTAAAAAAATCTACAAAATGTTACGACATTGGAAAAAGAAGGATGGCTCAGCTGCAACGTACAAGGTCTTACATGATGCATTGTGTCATGAATTTGTTAAGCGCACAGATTTAGCTGAGGAACTTTGCCGTCAACAACATGAATGACTGTTACTTTGTTGACTCATAGATAGCTTTTATTTCTATTTTTACTGATTATTCCACTGTCAAATGAACATGTATCTCCAATACGGCTACACTATTACCAAGTGAAGTACTAAATCAATTATCTTCCTTTTCCTCATGGGATCGTTTTTCTGTCTATTATACACAGGTATCTTTCTATGTTTTGAATGAAAAACGTCAAGTGATAAAGTATATTGCTAGTTATAACCCACCCATCACTTTTCGTGCAACTCTATTGGTTACTTTACGACACGTGGTACATCGGGTAGTTTTAACAAAATAACCACCATTTACGTTCATATTTGTCCCCCGATTATTTCCGTCGAAAAGAAACAAAGTCAGCGGGAAAAAGCCGATTTAGAGTTTCACTTTTTTATCTTTATTACTGAACATTTTGTAGAGTTCACTGGTAGTGATATTAAAAAGCTGATCTTAAATGCTGTTCCAGAAAGTAAAAAAAAGTCAACAAAATTTTTGCTGTCAACGCGCGATACGAAAATTAATGGGAGGGTTGTGAATTAAATAAACCCACTTCTGGTATGCTGGTATTTCAGGTAATAATTTCCTTGAGAGAGAGATTGTCTTGAAATTTTTACCGTTCGCCCTCGAAGCTTCGCTTGTCAACCAAAAAAACTCCATTTTCGGACATTAGCTCATTCGCAGACGTGATCAGCCGAGATACTAGTCGCCAGAAGAGGTTTACGTACCAAACATTCGCTGAGTTGCTCTATCAATACCATTGCAGTGTTGTCGAAGGCATACGGCATGTTACGCATTTGCATCACAAGTGATATCTATACGTAATGCACACGCATTCTTCCTTCAATTGTTGGTTTGACGCAGCACTGTATTAGAAATTTGACGCGCTTTTTTCCTTCTTAATCTGTAAAAGTAATCACATGATTTCGAGTGTAATTTGGAATATATAAGCACGAGGGAATTTTTTCATAGACTAACAAAATTACATTGGATTACCTGAAAACTGTATTTATCTTAACCAATCAGAACTGAGTTATTTTTTTCATGTATCTTGTGATTCGATCAAGAAATTGAGAAAAATGTCGAGTTGAGTCACTTTTTGTCAAAGAATTTGTGTAATCTCGAGGAAAAGACTCCGTAAATGGCTAGGCAACTAAAGGTTCCCTTACACTCGATTATGCTTGGCAAAAGGCAAAGTTCTTGAAACAGTCAGCTTGCCTGATAATAATATGCATTTGATATTGGAAGTTCATCTTTGGTTCATTGCCTACGATAATTTACGGTGTAGAATATTTGTCAACGAAACGTTTCCGTAAAAATAAATGAAAGTTTTGACATAACTAACGGCCTATAGAACTATTCTATAGCATGGAAAATATGTTTGGTAAAAACAAATAGTAGAGGTTTATGATTTCATCAGGGCTTCCTTACTGCTTTTAGCTGGAAGAAAAGAAAATATCGATTTGCCATTATTTCTTTTGTGTGTGTGTCTTTTGTCTTTTAGAAAAGCCTTTGAGCATCTTTGGCTTTAGATTGAGTAGTTTGGTTGGAGCCCAATCATTGGCAGTTATGCTGTTTTTCCGGAATAGTTGTTGTGGGTAAAATTTCTTTCTACCAAATAGTGAGAAGTAAAATCTTTATAAAGCGAACAGCTGGATAGGTAGTTATTGTCTATTCATAACAAAAAAGTTGCACTTCGAGTTTATTTTTTGGCATAAAATTGTGACCGACAGCTAAATAAAAAAACAAGTTTTTTCAGAGCTTTCTCAAGTTTCGCAATATATTTGATAGTTTAAAGTACTGAATATCACTTTTTTCAATCGAATGTTGCAGACCTGACGCATTTATGAAGCTATACAGGAAACCAATTCTCTGTTATGAAGCCGCGGTTCTATAATGATATTGCCAAGGTGTTAAAAAAGTGAAAATCTCGGGAAAAATAAGTCTCGATAAATCCACAGTATTGTCTCATTGAAAACTGAGATACTTGCAAAGATGAAGTTTACACGTTGGCACATGGCTGTTAGCGTTGTAGGCGGGTAAGTATAGTCAGGTGTCATCACCCTTTCATATCAGGAGCCTTGACAAAAATACTTTAACTTGAGTTTGAGTTCCTGGACTAAAGACCTTCGCTTCCCATTCTTCTCCAATAGCAAGGACATTTGCCAGAAGAAACTTTCAATGAAACTTATTTTCACGATATGGAACTTGACAGAAAAATCAGAGTAAATGAAAGAAATCGATGTAAGGCCATTGTAAAATTTGAGATTTATTTTGTCTAAAGACTTTTTTAATCTACTTATGTCGTATCTACTGTGTTCTGCAGCCTAAACTTTAAATATAACAAACTGATATTTCTTAGACATAAGCAATATTATTTCGGCAACTGCATGCAGGTTAAGTTCCACAGTCGGTAACATCAAAAAAGGAAGGTGTGGCGTCCTTATGGAACTAAAGTTTTTTCAATTTTATTTTCTTCCATTGTTAGTTAACAGGAATACATGCGTTGTTGAAAATAACGGAATGGAAAAAAAAAAAGGAAAAAAAAGTATGCGAACATTATTTCAAGCCGAATCTCTTTAATTTTATCGTAAAGGTCTGCCTTATCTCAATAGCTGCTAGATGCCCCTGGCACATTCAAACGTTTGATCACGACTTTGCACGTGTAAGGGTTCAGTGCCACTGCCATTGTCTCATCCGTTTCTTCGGGATTTGTTTCCTCTGGTAAGAACAAGGCTTCGTTTGCTTTAATAAGAGAAAAAATTTGATCAAATCTTAATGGAAAAAATGAGAGAATTAAGATGAATTGAATACGGTGCATCTGGTTTAAACCTCGTTTGCTTTCGATTGTAATTTCCTTAGAAGACATTTCAGTTGTTAGGGCTTCGATCGCACTTTCTCTATTAAAGTTGGTTAGATCTTTATTATATCTTACTGGAAACTGAACCACCCAGATATTTAAGTAGCACTGAAGCACATTGCCGAGCACACTCAATGTTTTACCTAACCCTTTAACTCCGAAGATCTCGTTAGTAATTCTCTTTAATGTCTGACATACAATTCTTATAATGTCAGTTTGGAGAATTTGATATTGAATCAACTAATAATCCCCTAATTGATATTTTCCTTTATTCTCATCACTTCTATGCTCGATATTGTATTGATGTTGTAATGAGAAATTCTCGCTTGGTCACTCATGGGAGGAAAAGACTTCAAGCCTTAAAACACTGGAAAACAGTGGTTCATGTTGTACATTCAATAACTTCTTTATTTCTGATACTATCTGGGTTGTAATTTTTTTTGTTGAGACAAACTCCTCTTTACCATGTCTCAAAGGACAAAATCTGACCGTTGTTTAGACTTAAGTTTCTGTAAATCATTTCCTCACTTCAGTTCTCCGTGATTAAAAAAGCGCAGCTACAAATCTGGATTAAAAAGGCTACCGTAGAGATCACCAGAGAACATAACGTTGCAATTTTGCGTACGAAAGTTTATTTGTATTACGACTTTCTCCAAGCAAAGGTGTGAGTGGGAACCTGCGAAACCTGTTTGGGAATAAACCAACATCTAGGGAAGGTAACTCCTAAAACAGTTAGAAGTTGCTGACGCTTTTTGATAGGTATGATTAATGAAGTACAGTTATGCCTAACACCCCTACAATCACATGTGTAAATGATAGGTCTGCAACTATAAAATTCTCCCCTTTGGAGCATACACCAACAGCATTGTCAAAGGAGTACTCATGATCAGGCACATGGATAAAATGGCATAGACGTCGTCATAATACTCAAATCCTTTCAATGTCAGCGACACAACGGCATCGATGATGGATATTCAGGGCAGTCATAGTGATATTGCGTGATAGGTTGTCTCTCTTTGCTACTTTCACCTTATCATTAGACATTTCTCATTTAAATACCATAATTTATGCATAAAAGAGAAAGAAAATGAATAAAATAAAAAAAAACAATTGTGAAGATATGCGTTATTGAGATTTGTCGCAGAAGAGCGCATTTGGAACAGCCATTGTCTGGTGACCCATAGTTATTTGTATTCCTGAACTAGGGTTCAACAAAACAGTTTTATTCCCTTTTAAATTCACGAGTTGGCTCACCGAAGCCCTTTGATCATCAGTGTTATTCAGTCAGAGGAATAGACTGAGAAGAGGAAACAAATAAAGATCGTGTTTCAGCTGTGACAAAATAGGTTTATAGGGATGCATCAAGAAAGGTCAGTGTTAGGCTGCTTGCTTTTGTTGCATCGTATTTTATTTGTTTTCGGTCGCGCAATGCGTCCTGGCTGTCAAGTCACAAGTGTAGTACACCAAAAAAACCCTAAAACTCTAAAAACTCGAGTTCTTTCTGTGCGCCCTGATGAAAAATTTCCAAAATATCGAAAGAAACTTTACTTTTACAAGGAAACGTACAGGCAACGAAGAGCGGAATGAAATACCTGAGGAGTGTCTCGAAGTGTCACTGTCTGATTCCAACGAGTAGCACAGCGACAAGGGCTCATTCATCTGAGACCTGATTAATTATTAATACATTTCCCAGAAACATTTGCATGTCTTTTACCAAGTATGTTAGAGTTGTTGAAAATTCCGCCATTATGAGTATGCTACCAGCGAAAGTCCGCTGTATAATCAATTGATAGCGATAGCTACCTGTACACAGTCTTGATCGGAGACGTTTATAGCGGAGGTTTCAAGGTAAGAATAGTTTGTGGTTGTTATATCGCAAATTTTTTTCACAAACGCGGTCGTTTTTCTTAGCCTACGCCAGATCAAAAGATTTGTGGTAACACGCATGATCAGTCTCTTAACAGCACTGATATCGAAATTAAATGATACTTAACAAATAGAGAGGCCTTGCCTACACTCTGTTCTGTTGTAAAGCACGCAACGAAGAGGATAGAGCGCGAAAGAAGGGTAGAAAGAAACACGATCGTGTTTCTCCCCTCTTCTTGAGTCGAATTTGGCCGAAACGGACAAATCTTCAGATGCATTGCCAATTTGGCTATATTTTTCATATCATTCTTGTTTTGTTCTGCATTTTTTTTTGTGAACATGAAACTATATATGCTATACGAGTGTTAGCTGAGTTTGATTTTTATTACCGTACGTCAGCTTGCAATCTAACTGAGCTTGAAAACCTTTTCGTCTCTGCTTACTTTATAGTAACGTAAATTACGGCGCTTAGCATGTTTACAAACCCTTGTTTGGTTATTCTGTTGCTACTTGCCGGCTTACTTGTTCCGAAATGTTTCTTTCAATTAACGAAAAAAAAACTAGAGAGAAGTCCCGGAAAAGGACGAACATAGTACAATTTAACAAATAGCTTGACAGCTTTAGCTCAGCTCTATGCTTTGTACTCTTTCAACCACTGGCAGCGAGCGTTTTAACCGAACTTTATCACAATAAAATTTAACATGTACATATCACAAGCGCACATTTTTCATCGTACATACTTGTTTTCATCCAAACAATCGAGTTCCACTCGATTCGATCGATAGGTGGGAGATGTTCAGACTCAGACATAAACTGTGACTTATTGTCATACTCTTCTTCTCGTTCCCTTGATTTTGAAATTGTTTCTTTGGATTTTCGTTGGTCAACTCTATTGCGAATAAGTTAAACCACAAGTTGCGATTGTTAAAGCGAAGATGTTGAAGTTTGGGTCACGTTTATTCGTCGATTGATTGTTCGTTAGGTCTGGCGATAGCTTATATTTACTCTGATCACTTACGTGCAAATTTCGTGATCAAACGAGACTATGAGTCCAATCCCAAGTGTTATTTATCTTCTTGCATCGTACGCACTATCGTTCTTTTCGTTCGCACGGCCTCTAGTCACCATCTAGAAAAATATTATACCTAATGACCAACCGCTGTGTGCGGAGACTCAAATCGAATCGCCCCTCTGAGGAACTTAAAATGTCTTAAACCAGGACTGAGGTGCATGGTTTTATCTTTTCGAAGCTGATCCGCAAATTTTTTGACAACCATGCTATGTTAAAGCAGAGGGGAAGTCATTAAGTTCCTTTATTCACTCACCAAAACTACATACATGTTATGTATGTTTGACACTTGTGTATCTGTTATATATTTCTATGATAAATGTTGCATTTATGTGACATTTGTGTCACATGATTGCACATACATGTGACATATACGTGACGAGACATACAGTAGACGTTGGATATGTTATTATGTAAGGAATGTATGCGACATGTATTTAGTTTTGGTAAGGGTTCACAGCCAGCTGGTTGCAATTTCACATTCTGTTCACATAATATGCATTTTCAGTTTCTATATATTTCAAGGTGCATATGCATATGATTTAGGGCCAATATCTTCAAAATTTTCTCTGCAGAAGTAAATAAGTACTACTTATAAACAGAAATGAATTCATGCCTGCAGTTGTATTAAACTTTGATTTAATGGGTAGTATGATATTCTGGAGGCCAATTATTTTGTCCTGGCAAAAAGATTGTAAGATAAAATAAGATACATAGTTTATTAAAACTGCATCGCAGCCAAAGGCTGAATTACGCAATTATTTACAAAAACTTTACAATACTTGAAAATTACAAATGAATCCTTGAAAATAAATCGAAAACTGATTTTTAAGATAATATTAAAAAATTCTATATAACATATTTATATTGAAATGTGTTAAAATATAAATCATGAATATAAGTGGGATAAAACTACAGCCCGGACTGCTTCGACATCGCATATATAAAAGTATTACTTTCTCTGTTCGTGCAAAGCTTTGGCATATTAAAAAGCCACTGTCTTCTTAGGTTATAGCGTGAGTTGTTATGGTCTGGTGGAAGGAGCGCCTTCAATTTATGGTTTAGATCACTGACAATGTTATCAAAAAGCCTACTACATAGTACGTAATAATGCTCCAAAATGGGTGTTAACCCCACCTCTATTGCCGAGTTGCACTTTCCTGAGGTTATTATTGATATTACTCTTTTCTCGAGCCGTACCAGCTCTTTCTTTGAGTACTGGGGAGACCGTTAGAAAAGACAGGTGCTGCATAATCAATAACAGATCTCACGCACGGTACGTAGAACAGTGCTAGATCTTGTTTCGGAACTCCCGCTCTCTTTAACTGAGTTAGGAAATAGAGTCTCTTGTTAGCCTTTTTGGTTATCTCAGTTACATGGTCGCTCCATGTTAGATCGTTCGCTATTGTAAGGCCTAGTAACTTTGTACTAGTGACTAGCTCTACCTCCTTTCCTTCTGTGTAAATTCAGTTACATGTTAATACTTTGCCTAGGGTCATTCCTTAGTATTGCACATTTTCAATGTGTATAATTTCACATGTAACTATGGTGCATACTTCATAAGAATGGTGCCTTTCTTCTCCATGGCAGCTCACCAGAGAAGTAAAATGTCATTTTCTCGCGAATGAGTTTGGGAACCTACAGTGTACCATTTTTCTCCTTCTTGAAATTGGGAAATTATTCTCTTTCTGTCAAACAACTATAAACCAATTCTTAGTGTAGGAAAAGGAAAGAATTTGAGAAATGCCATTTTAGCAAATTCTCACAAATGTAACTGTCATGATATGAACTGGAATGATATGGATATCTAGAAGGTACTGCTGCACATAAAAGAGCATGGGACCTCCCTTTTTCGCTTCAAATTGTACTTTCCCTTAAGATCAGCAACCTTGAGAGAAAATTTTAGTAGGGCCCGCGGGATTGAAGAACCCTTTTGGGAAGCCTCCAAATGCACCAAGCAAGGAGAACATCTGTAGATTAAATAAACCTTAGCAAATATCAAATTAAAACTTTGATCTCCAAAGAAAATACCTTCACGATGATATATATACAAGTTGCTTACACTTCACCGGGGTAGACTATTATCCTGCACTGATCATGATATGATGTGACATGTTTACAATTATATCATTATTGACAGTAAGGGTAAGTAGCTTTTTACATGGATTCTGCAAGCCTGCACCATATCAGATGTCAGTCAGCATATCATATATAGAAACGACTATAAATATTATTTCTATGAAATACATACCTCAGTATCAACGTTTCTAAGTAACAGATTTTCTGTAAAAAGGAAAAAATTAGAGAGGCTGCAAATATTATTTTTCGCTTCAAAAGGGCATACGCCTGACTGCATCACTATTTTGATGATGTTTGTTCTAACAAAACAAAAATGTGGTTTATTGTGCTATTTTTCGCCTTATCATTAGACATTTCTCAGTGAAATATTTATAATTTATGCATAAAGAGAGGAAAGTGAATAAAGAATAAACAGTTGAGAAGATATGCATCATTGAGATTTGTCGCAGAAGAGCACATTTGGAACAGCTATTGTTCGGTGACCAATAGTTTTTTATATTCCTGAGCTAGGGTTTAACATAACACAGTTTTATTCCCTTTAAAATTCACGAGTTGGCTCACCGAAGCCTTTGATCATCAGTGTTATTCAGTCAGAGGAATAGACTGAGAATAGGAAGCAAATAAAGATCGTGTGTTTCAGCTGTGACGAAATTGGTTTATAAGGATGCATCAAGAAAGGTCAGTGTTGGGCTGTATACCTTTGTTGCATCGTATTTCATTTGTTTTCAGTCGCGCAATGCGTCCTGGCTGTCAAGTCACAAGTGTAGCACACACGAAGGAAACTTTACTTTTACAAGGAAACGTACAGACAACGAAGAGCGGAATGAAATAGGAGTGTCACTGTCTGATCCAACGAGTAGCTTAGCGACAAGTGCTTATTCGACTGAAACCTGATTAATTATTAATATAATTCCCAAAAACATTTGCGTGTCTTTTACCAAGTACGTTGAAGTTGTTGAAAATTCCGCCATTATTAACATGCTACCAGCGGAAGTCACCGTATAATCAATTGATAGCGGTAGCTACATTTACACAATCTTGATCGGAGACGCTTATGTGGCGGAGGTTTCAAGGTAAGAATAGTTTGTGGTTGCTATATCGTAAATTTTGTTCACAAACGCGATGGTTTTTCTTAGACTACGCCAGATCAAAAGATTTGTGTTAACACGCATGATCAGTCCCTGAACAGTACTGACAGTGCTTGGCTATACTCTGTTCTGCCGTAGAGCACGCAGAAAGAGGCTAGAGCACGAAAGAAGTGTAGGCACAAACACGATCGTGTTTCTCCGCACTTCTTGAGTCGAATTGACCGAAGCGGACAAATCTTCAGTGCACCGCCAACAAAATTTTTCCTGGGTAAAAATTATGCAAAATCGACTTAATAAACAAAACCGTGAGAAACTTGTCAATCGGTTGTAGTATAAGCCATGACAAACGTGTAGAAAGGCAAAAATTTTCTTTTGCTGCTAAACTCGGGGGTTCTGAATTGGAAATTGGAAGTGGAATCCTTCGGCAACTATGCTGGCCGGTCTTATGAACAGATCAGACGCTGACGGAATTTGACGGCTTTGAAATTTTTAATGCAGATGCAACAGACAAAACAAAATTTTGTCTTTTGATTTTGTCGGGACAATTCTAGTTTTGTCCGCTAGCGCGGAAAGGCCTTAAGACTAAAGCTGTCAAAAATGTCAAACCATGACTGTTCACAATCTGCAATAGTTCACAAACTGAAATAGTACGGCAGGTCGAATTTAACCCGTTTGCTTGAAGCTCCGACACCGTCATGATTAGTGCGAATTTTAACAGCTATGCCAGTTAGCCTATATTTTTCATCATTCCTGTTTTGTTCTGCATGTGTTTTTTTGAACACGAAACTATATATACTATACGAGTGTTAGCTGTAATCTTGCAATCTAACTGAGCGTGAAAACCTTTCAAACTCGGACTGTCCATTTCAACCATTTCGTTTTCTCTTTATGGAATTTCGTCTCTGCTCGTGTTATAATAAAGTAAATTACGACGCTTGGCATGTTTTTAAACCCTTGTTTCTTCTGTTGCTACTCGCCGGCTCGCTTGTTCAGAAATTTCGTTTTCAATTCACGAAAAAAAAGCTGGAGATAAGTCTCGGAAAAAATCGGACATAGTACAATTTGGGGTGACAGCTTTAGCTCAGCTCTATGCCTTGTACTCTGATGGAGCTCGCTCTTTCAACCAATGAAAACACGTGTTTTATCCGAACTTTATTATAATATAAAATTAACATGTGCGTATTACAAGCACGCAATTCTTATCATACATATTTGTTTGATTCAAACAATCGAGTTCCGTACGATTCGATCGATAGCTGGGAGACGTTCAGACTCAGAGATAGACTGTGACTTATTATAATGCTCTTCTGAACCTTCCCTTGATTTTGAATTTGTTTCTTTGGATTTTCATTGGTCAACTCTATTGTAAATAACTTAAGCCGCAAGTTGCGATTGTTGTAGCGAAGATATTAAAGTTTGGATCACGTTTATCGGTCGATTGATTACTCGTTAGGTCTGGTGATATCTTCGAATTACTTTTTCGTGCAAGGTTCGTAATCCAACGACACTGAGTCCAATCCAAGTATTTTATTTATTTTCCTGCATCGCATGCACTTTCATTATTTTCGTTCGCACGGCCTCTAGTCACCATTTTGAAAAATTATACTTAATGACCAACCACTGTTTGCAGAGACTCAAATCAAATCGCCTTTCTGAGGAACTTAAAATGCATTAAACCAGGACTGAGATGGTGTTATTTTTTCGAAGCTGATCCGCAAACTTTCGGCATCAAACCAAGCTATATTAAAGCAAAGGGGAAGTCATTAAGTTCCTCTCTTCCCTCACCAAAACTACATATCTGTTATGTCACTACATATGTGTGACATTTATGTATCCGTTGTATATTTCTATGATAAATGTTGCATTTATGTTACATTTATGTGACATGATTGCACATACATGTGACATATATGTGACATGACACACAGTATATGTTGGATATGTAATTATATAGTGGATATATGTGACATATGTATAGTTTTAATCAGGGTTCACGGCCAGCTGGTTGTAATTTCACATTCTGTTCACATAATATGTATTTTCAGTTTTCTCTTTATTGTAAGGTGCATATGCATATGATTCAAGGCCAATTAATTTCTTCAAAATTTTCTTTCCAGAAGTAAATAAATGTTACTTGTATGCAGAAATGAATTGATGCCTGCAGTTGTATTAAACCTCGATTAAAAGGGAAGTATGATATTCTGGAGGCTAATTATTTTGTCCGGGCAAAACGATTGTAAATTCAATTACATGTTAACAGTTTGCTTAGGGTCATTCCTTTGTATTGCATTGCACATTTGTATAATTTCAAATGTAATTATGGTGCATGTTTCCCTAAGCATGGTGCCTTTTTTTTCTCCATCGAAGCTCACCAGAGAAGTAGATTGTCATTCGCAAAATAAGCTTGGAGACCTACAGCATACTATTTTTCTCTTTCTTCAATTGGGAAATTATTTTCTTTCTGTCAAACAACTATAAACCAATTCTTAGCGTAGGAAAAGGAAAAAATTTGAGAAATCCTAATTTAGCAAATACTCACAAATGTAACTGTCATGATATGAACTGGAATGATATGGATTCTAGAAGGTACTGCTGCTCATAAAAGAGCGTGGGATCTCCCTTTTTAATTTCAAATTGTATTTCCCTCAAGATCAGCAACCTTGAGAGAAAATTTTAGTAGGGACTGCGGGATTGAAGAACCATTTCTGGAAGCCTCTTTAGAGGCATCAGACTTTGAAAATGCACCAAGCAAGGAGAACATCTGTAGATTGAAAAAACCTTAGCAAATATCATATTAAAACTTTGATCCCCAAAGAAAATACCTTCACTTTATTTTACATACAAGTTACTTACACTTCATCGGGGTGAGTGTTATCCTGCACTGATCATGATATGATGTGACATGTTTACAATTATATCATTATTGACATTAAGTGTAGGTAGCATGGATTCTGCCCAGCCTGTATCATATCAGATGTCAGTCAGCATATTATAGAAACGACTATAAATATTATTTCTATGAAATACATACCTCAGTATCTACGTCTCTAGGTAACATTTTCTGTAAAAAGAAAAAAATTGGCAAGGCCGCAAATATTATTTTTCGCTTCAAAAGGCCATATGCCAGACTGCATCACCATTTTGATGACGTTTGTTCTAACAAAACAAAATATGGTTTATTGTGACAGGTAATGTCGCCCTTTGCTATTTTTCGCCTTATCATTAGACATTTGTCATTGAAATATCAATAATTTAATCATAAAAGAGAAGGATAGTAAATAAACAAAAAAAAAAAATTGAGAAGATATGCATCATTAAGATTTGTCGCAGCAGAGCACATTTGGAACAGCTATTGTCTGGTGACCCATAGTTAGTTGTATTCCTGAACTAGGATTTAACATAAAACAGTTTTCGTCTCGAGTTGGCTCACCGCGAAGCCCTCTGATCATCAATGACAATGACAATAAAATAGGAGTGTCACTTTCTGATTCCAACGAGTGGCTTAGCGACAAGTGCTCGTTCAACTGAAACCTGATTAATTATTATTGGTGATACAATTCCCAGAAACATTTGCATGTCTTTTACCAAGTATGTTGAAGTTGTTGAAATTCCGCCATCATGAATATGCTACCAGCGAAAGTCACTGTATAATCAACTGATAGCGATAGCCACATGTACACAGTCTTGATCGGAGACGTTTAAAGCGGAGGTTTTAAGGCAAGTATAGTTTGTTATTGCTATAGCGTAAATTTTGTTCACAAACGCGAACGTTCTTCTTAGACTACGCCAGATCAAAAGATTTGTGGTAACACGCATGATCAGTTCCTTAACAGTACTGATATCGAAATTGATTGATACTTAACAAATAGAGAAGCCTTGGCTATAGTCTGTACTGTTGTAAAGCACGCAGGAAGAGGCTAGAGCACGAAAGAAGTGTAGGTAGAAAGACGATCGTGTTTCTCCCCACTTCTTGAGTCGAATTTGGCCGAAGCGAACAAATCTTCAGACGCACCGCCAACAAAATTTGTCCTGGTTAAAAATTATGCAAAATCGACTTAATAAACAAAACCGTGATAAACTTGTCAATAGTTTGCTGTATAAGCTACGACAAACGTGTAATGGAACGGTAATTAGTTTACGAAATCGTGGAAATTGGAAGTGAAATCCTTCGGCAACTATGCTGGCCGGTCTTATGAACAGATCAGGCGCTAACGGAATTTGTCGGCTTTGAGATTATTATTGCGGTTGCAACAGACGGAACAAAAATTTGTTTTGACAAAGTTTGTCCTTTGATTTTGTCGCAACAATTGTAGTTTTTTCCGCTTGTGAGGAAGGACCCTACGACTAAAGCTGTCAAAAATGTCCAACTTTCAAAGTTCACAATAATCTGTAATAGTTTACGAACTGAAATAGTATGGCAGGTCGAATTTAACTGTGTTTGAATTTTGTTACCACACGTAAGCTTTCCATTAAAACCGCTGAGCGAGAAAACCTTAAAAACTGACTGTCCATTTCATTTTCTCTTTGTGATATTCGTCTCTGCTCACGTCATACTAAGGTAAACTACGGCGCTTGGCATGTTTACAAATCCTAATTTGGTTCTTCTGTTGCTATTTGCCGACTCGCTTGTTCCGAAATTTCACTTTCCATTAACGAAAAGAGGCTAGAGAGAAGTCCCGGAAAAGGTCGCACATATAACAATTTGGCAGATGGCGTGACGGCTTTAGCTCAGCAATGACAGCACGCAATATATCCGAACTTTATTGTAATAAAATTTGACTCATACGAAATATAAGCGCACAATCGAGTTCCGCTTGATTCGATCGATAGCTGGGAGATGTTCAGACTCAGAGATAACTGTGACTTATTGTCATACTCTTCTGCTCCTTACCTTGATTGTGAATTTGTTTCTTTGGATTTTCGTTGCTCAGCTCTATTGTGAATAACTTAAGCCGCGAGTTGGGATTGTCATAGCGAAGGTATTAAAAGTTTGGATCACGTTTCTTCGTCGATTGATTATTCGTTAGGTCTGGTGATAACTTTGAATTACTGTTATGTGCAAGGTTCGTGATCCAACGATATTATGAGTCCAATCCAAGTGTTTTTTATTTTCTTGCATCGTTTGCACCTTCTTTATTTTCGTTTGCACGGCCTCTAGTCACCATTTTGAAAAAATATACTTAATGACCAACCAGCATTGAGGTGGTTTTATTTTTTGAGGCTGGCCCGCAAATTTTCTTACAACAAATTTAAAGCTATATTTAAACAGAGGGGAAGTCATCATTGAGTTCCTCGATTCCCTTACCAAAACTACAATTATGTTATATATGTGTGACACCCATGTATCTGACATGGTTTGATACAACTCTGGTTTAAAGATTTCATGAAAGTAACCGAGAAGTTACAATTCACAGACACAAGGTTTCGAAACTTCTGTTTAGTGCCTTTTTGAGGAATGACCTAAACTTATGTATCTGTTACATATATATATATATAATAGATATTGCATTTATGGGACATATATGTAAAGATTGTGACATGATTACACATACATGTGACATATATGTGATGTGTGTCATACAGTATACGTGGGATATGTAATTATCTATGGAATATATGCGACATATATGTAGACAACTGCACATTCCGTTCACATGATGTGTATTTTCAGTTTTCTATATATTGCAAGGTGCATATGCATATGGTTTAGGAATAATATCTTCAAAATTTTCTTTCAGAATTAACTGAATGCTACTTATATACAGAAACGAATTAATGCCTGCAGTTGTATTAAACCTTGATTAAATGGGCGGTATGATATTCTGGAGGCTAACTATTCCAGTGTCCAGGCAAAAAGATTGTAAATTCAATCACATGTTAATACTTTGCTTAGGGTCATTCCTTAATATTGCATTCCACATCCTCACTGTGTACAATTTCATATGTAACTATGGCACATGCTTCAAAAAATGGTGCCTTTTTTCTCCATCGGAGCTCACCAGAGAAGTAAATGGAGATTTTCTCGCAAATGAGCTTGGACACCTTACATTTTCTCTTTCTTGGAGCTGGAAAATTATTTCCTTTCTTTCAAACAACTATTAACCAATTCTTGGTGTAGGGAAAGGTAAACATTTCAGAAATGCTAATTTAACAAATACTCACAAATTTAATCGTCATGATATCATAGGAATGATATGGATATCTAGAAGGGCATGGGACCTACAGCCAACATGTACAGTTTGACAACAATCTCAGTGTGTGTTCTATTGAATGGCTTTGAGTCTTCAATGTATTTTATCAATTGCTCTGTATTTTTTCTTTTACAGAAGCTGATTGGCATTGTTACAAGTTAAAATGGAGGCAAGCACTTTCAGGAACTTTGAAGGTAATCCACCAAAGATCAATAGTACTCTTCTGAAGATAAGTAAGTGTTGCACGTTATTTAAAAGTAGTAGCGAGGTTCAACTCCCAATTGACATTCTGTTGTTAACAGTGTAGGACTGAGTTTTTAAGTTGCTACTATTACATTAATGGTCCATTCAGAAGTTATTTTAAAGAGTATGGTTCCTTGGAACCTTAGTATTGCAGTGCACATCCTGCATGCTTCGTAAACATGGTGCCTTTTTCTCCATCAGAGCTCACCAGAGAAGTAAATTGAGATTTTCTCGCAAATGAGCTCGGACACCTAACATTTTTCTCTTGGAACTGAATTGTTATTTTCTTTCTTTAATTTCTGAACCACGTAAGGTTCCAGTTTCCCACCATCCCCCTCTCCCCACCCCTGCAATGAATCACCGTGTTGGCTCAAAAAATCCGGTCTAATTATATATTTTACACTTGCTATCATGCAAGCGGTTCTACTAAACATTTTCCCCGGCCAAAGGTGAAACACCATAATAAAGATTCGTCTCTGAGTGACGTCTCAACTCCAAGGAAAGGAGAAACTGGTTTCGCAGGTAAAATAAGGACATATCCATGGGCGTGTTCGTTTACCCCCATCCCTTAACCCCATCTTCCTGTTCCTTGCCTTTGTAAAATAAAAATGCACGGATCCAGAAAAATGGCATGAATTGTTACGATACGTACTACTCACTATCTCCTATATCACTAATCTTGCAATTCAATAACAATACAATTACATACAAGTATCGTGCCTAACTTCTCAGACACCATGCCTTTTGGCCACTGTATCTTTTATGTACGTTGTTGACAGTGCCTCGAAACTGAAAAAGTGTCGCTTCATTTTTCAATTACCAAATCAAAGCGAAGGAAGATAATTTGATGCATTTGTATATTTTCATGTAGTTTTCTGGTTGCGCAAAATTCAGTAAAGCAACTTAGCTCTCGAAAAATTTCTCTGTTTTGCCGTAGCCTAGTCCAGTTATTACTCAACTGCCAGCTGTAAGCGTAAGGTTGCCACTATTTTCTCTTGCTTTTTAGGCTTTGGAATCCATTGAACGTAAGAAACAAACTAGTGAGTTTTTTCATCAGAGATAAATTTTCGATGAATACCTTAGTCGCTATCAGTTTGCTGGAAAGCAACTTGCCCGCCTTGTGTATGTTCTACAAATGCCCTTGCAAGTTTTTATTTTTAGTTAATGTCCTTTTTTCCCCCAAGTTGGTTATTGTATGGAAAATATTTTTTCAAGCTTCTCGCTCGATTGCAAACAAGAGATAATCATCTTGATGCTTTGCTGTGATGTCTTTTTGTTTTTAGTCAAGCATGGAACTCCCACTCACGACGATTTAGAGTGGATTTCGCACCGACTCGGAAAGTGGAGGGGACTCGGGCGTCGTCTCCAAATTAGGGAAGCAACATTGACGGAGATTGATGATAAATATGGGAATATAAGTGAAAAAGGCTACAAAATGTTACTACGTTGGAAACAGGAGAGGGGTTCCTCAGCTGCAACATACATGGTCCTTCATGATGCACTGTGTCATCCATTGGTTGATCGCAGAGATTTGGCTGAAGAACTTAGGGTATATTCGGATTTGCCCCAATTTACCACTGGTAATATGTAACTAATCTTGCAATTCAATAACAATACAATTACATACAAGTATAGTGCCTAACTTCTCAGACACCATGCTTTTTGGCCACTGTATCTTTTATGTACGTTGTCGACAGCGCCTCGAAACTGGAAAAGTGTCTCTTCATTCGTTGGTCACCAAATCAAAGCGAAGGGAAATAATTTGATGCATTTGTATATTTTCATATTGTTTCCTGGTAGCGCAAAATTCAGTAAAGCAACTTAGCTTTCGAAAAATTTCTCTGTTTTGCCGTAGCCTAGTCCAGTTATTACTCAACTGCCAGCTGTAAGCGTAAGGTTGCCACTATTTTCTCTTGCTTTTTAGGCTTTGGAATCCATTGAACGTAAGAAACAAACTAGTGAGTTTTTTCATCAGAGATAAATTTTCGATGAATACCTTAGTCGCTATCAGTTTGCTGGAAAGCAACTTGCCCGCCTACTAGAATGCAAAGATACAGGAAGTACCGTTGTAAACTTCCTTTTTAACGACTCTGTATTTCTACATTGGCTGTTCATTTTACAGAAAGGGTAATTTTTTGCAAGTTTTTTGCTCAAATTTTAGAGACATATAAATTATAGGTCACCAATCTTAAAAAAAAATTCAGTTTGTGTACGTGGGCCTCCTTATCACGTATAAAACGATTTACATAACATGTAGAGATGAGTAATGCAATCGCACGAAATGGCCTTAAACCACGGAAAAACCTGAAAACTTTTATGCGGAAAAGGAAAATTGTCAAGGCTGTGTACAAGCTTATCTATTGATCGAAAAAATCTGTTCAAATTAGGTTTTTTTTTAACATTTGTTATTAAGAATGCGATTCAATTGTGTATGTTCTACAAATGCCCTTGCAAGTTTTTATTTTTAGTTAATGTCCTTTTTTCCCCCAAGTTGGTTATTGTATGGAAAATATTTTTTCAAGCTTCTCGCTCGATTGCAAACAAGAGATAATCATCTTGATGCTTTGCTGTGATGTCTTTTTGTTTTTAGTCAAGCATGGAACTCCCACTCACGACGATTTAGAGTGGATTTCGCACCGACTCGGAAAGTGGAGGGGACTCGGGCGTCGTCTCCAAATTAGGGAAGCAACATTGACGGAGATTGATGATAAATATGGGAATATAAGTGAAAAAGGCTACAAAATGTTACTACGTTGGAAACAGGAGAGGGGTTCCTCAGCTGCAACATACATGGTCCTACATGATGCACTGTGTCATCCATTGGTTAGTCGCAGAGATTTGGCTGAAAAACTTAGGGCATATTCGAATTTGCCCCAATTTACCACTGGTAATATGTCACTAATCTTGCAATTCAATAACAATACAATTACATACAAGTATAGTGCCTAACTTCTCAGACACCATGCATTTTGGCCACTGTATCTTTTATGTACGTTGTTGACAGTGCCTCGAAACTGGAAAAGTGTCGCTTCATTTTTCAATCACCAAATCAAAGCGAAGGAAGATAATTTGATGCATTTGTATATTTTCATGTAGTTTTCTGGTAGCGCAAAATTCAGTAAAGCAAATTATCTTATGAAATATTTCTCAGTTTTGTCGTAGCCTAGTCCACTCACTACTTAGCTGGATTTTCATATGGTTTTCAGAGTGTGTTCTGGAGCGGAATTGTGGAAAACACTCCGAAAACCATATAAAAATTCAGCTTAGTAGTTAAGGTTCCAAGAAAGATTACGGAGAAATATCTTCTCGAGGTCTTTGTAACAATAGGCTTATCACAGTTGCTACATGAGACTGCACACTGAAAATTAATTCTGTATGTGTTTCAGGTTTTCGAGGGAGCAAATTAACTGGTTTTATCTTTTAACTCTTTCGAACAGTCACAGATTCAACCCCCTTCTACATAAAAGCGAGGGGAACAATGGGACTAGAAGCATACAGGAGAGCGCTGGAGACAGGCGAAACTTTCGATAGACGAACCAAAATTGTGTTGATTGGTCAGGATCGTGTTGGCAAAACAAGTCTGAGAAGATACCTCAGAGGTGAAGCATTTGATAAAGATGAAGCCAGCACTAATGGGATTGAAATGATTTCCCCCGTCAAGAACGCAGGAAAAGGGGCATGGAGGAATCCAGCCTTGCTTGAAAACACAAGTGCACTTGACCACAAATGTGCAGAATTCGTTGCACAGACGTTACTCAGTAGCTCTGGAGAACCTACAAGTGGAAAGGGGGCGACTCAAGAACGTTCAAACGACGACCTTGCTTCAAAAGAAGTCATTAACAGAAATGGTAAGGCAAAGCTCATCATAGGCTTGACATTAACTAGCTTCTTCACAGATTCAAGGTACTCGTTAACTACCAGAGAGGTTACTCGAGGCTGAAAAAACGGTAGCACGGTCGCCGATCAAGATGAACGGCGAAACAAATTTTAGCTCAGTCAAACTTCGTTTCTGGCCGTAAAAATGTCACTGTAAAATTGTTATCTTATTTCAATACCGCATCAACCACCAACCTTTAGCAAAAGCAATTCATAACGTAAAACCGCAGCGTATTGTTAATTATTTTTTTCAATGAGAGTCTCACGCCTTGCATCGTGCAGTAACGAACTGAATGCGTTTCTCACGTGACTTTTCTCGTTCAAGAGACTGGGGCCGATTATTTAAGTGAATTTCGTGGTAAGATCGTCCCCATGATTACGAATGATGAATCCCTTGCAGCAGCAGCCCGTCTTTTTCGAAGTACACGTATTTCTATCTTTTGTTTCATTCGCAATTTATAACGAAAAGTAGCGAGATTAAAACATGACATTTCGGTGGCGACATGTCACCATTATCAAATGTAAAATTATTATAAGTTCAATGACGTTATATTTTTGGCATATTCAATTAGAACTTTTTGCATAAAGCTCAACTGACGCTAGGAATTGGTCAGTATTACCAGTCTGCCAAGAAATAACGACAGCTAAGATCTGAGACCAGAAATTTTACTGATGGTTGAAAAATTGATTTGAATTAATACAGCGTGCATAAGGTCCCAACCAAGGTTTGAACAAATCTTGCGCATACGAAGCGCTCGGATATATATACTTTCGAGGACGACAAGCCGCCTTACATTTTAGTACAGGCATTGTTTTCAAACCTTGTTGATCCGGAATTTGAATGATCGATCGCCGAAAAAGACAATATCGATGAACTGTATTCTAGAATGATTAAACCCTCCCCTTTTTGTGCCTACAGTGCCTTCCTTCTAGGATGGTCGCAGGCACTCCGTTATGATGTCGTACAAGTTCGTAAACCTTCTGCTAAGCCTCTCGCGGTTTTCAAAATGGGGGACCATCGTGAGACACTTGTAACATCTCTTGTGACTCGTCTTGGTTTAGTTCCGACACTGGCCATCGTTAAACGAATCTGATCGGGTTTCTTCGGATTCATATATTTTTTTTCAGGCTAAATTTTTTGTGAGGGCCTCAACCCCGCATTTTGACATTTTTATCAATTTGAACGTTAGAGCTATGTCGTCAAAGAAGAGACAAACGCTGTGCTTCGGTAGTTGGCTTCTCGAATGCCGTTTTCTGCTCAGAAAAAGGTGATGTTCCGGATGAAAAGAAAAAAAAAAGCATATGCTTTCGTAGAATACAATTTAAAAAATACGGAAATATTAAAGAAAAAGAAAGACGAAGCGCCAGGAGTCGATCCCTCGACCTTTCACTTATAGGGATAAGCACTTCCCATTGCGCTAGCTCTGTAACATAAACCTATTATTTTGGATGTGTAAAGCCCGTAAAGTTTCTGCCCATACACTCGCGTGAAACCATGCGATATTAGAAGTTTCTTTTTTTGCACGGGTTGCTAAAGGAGTGGGCGAGTGTTTATTTCGAGTGACGCGAAGCTTTTATGAATTTTTTAGTCCTTATACACGAAATACAAATTCAGTCAATGGCATTACTACTGCTTTGAACAACCGGTATTCTTCTGTATGTTGTTTGCACTTGAAAAGCATGTTTAAGAAAAGTAATAACTGATTAAAAAATATCAATATTAGTTTTCCAGGAGGTCGAAAGTGAGCAAAAACCAGAAGAAGTACCCGAGAATGTCCGTTACCTCTTAGATTATCGCTTCAAGGCAAAGGACACCTCCGACAATGAGGATATATGGCCCTTTATTTGGGATTTTGCTGGCCAGGCAGTATACCATGCCATTCATCCACTTTTCCTATCGCAAGAAGCCATATATGTCCTGGTGTCAGATCTTACTAAGGAGTTAAGTGATGTTGCCCTATGTCGGATAAGACCGGCTAATCACGATGAAATAGAAGTAGACTCGCCTTACGTCCAGGATACTAATCTCGATCACATGATGAGATGGCTGGACTTGGTACAGTCTTTGAGACAGCCAGAGTTTCAGGGAAAGTCGGCAGATACTAACCAAGTTTTGCCTCCTGTGGTGCTTGTGGGTACACATGCTGATGGCGTAAGGGATCCTTGCAAGGAAATGGAATCTGTAAATGAAACCATTTGCAGCATGGCTCATTCAGAAACCTTAAAACATATTTCAAAAGAATTATTCTTCATAGATAACACAAATCCAAACAGAGAAGACGACCCACAGATCGTTTCTTTGCGTACGGAATTATTGAATCTGGCTAGAAAAATGCCAAATTTCAACAAGGTAATCCCTATGCAGTGGCTCCGTGTGGAACAAAAAGTCGACGATATGGTGAAACAAGGGATGCATTATGTTGGTAAGAAGCGTTTTGCAGAGGACATTTCTGGAGGCATTTGCCAGTTTAATGACAAAGATGACGTCGAAGAATTGCTACACTTTTTACAAGCTCGTGGAAGAGTTATCTACCAAGATCTCCCTGAAAATCCAGATGGTTTGGTCGTGCTGGATCCGCAGTGGTTAATTAAAATACTATGTGAGATAATTACGGTGAGTCCACCATGGAAAAACGACCCTGTTCTTCAGAAAGATTACCAAGTCCTCGGAAGAAAGGGACTGCTTTCGCAGCAGTTGCTAAATCAAGCGTTTGAACACCTTGAACTGAATGATATAAAGGATTCACTGATTCATATCATGGAAAGCTTTGATGTTATATGCAACTCTAAGAACTGCAAGGGGAAAGATTACCCTTATTTTGTTCCATGTATGTTGGAATCACCAAAGAAGAATACGAGAGGCACAAACATGCGCAATGGCCCCTTGCCCGTATTTCTCACATTTAACACCAACTACGTTCCATGCGGGCTGTTTTGCAGACTGTTTGTACATTTTTGGGAGGAATGGGCATCACAATTATGCCGTGACTCCCGTATGGCCCCTTCGTTGTTTTCAAACGCCTTCCTATTCAAAGTCAGTGAAGTGTACCAGCTCACTCTAGAGTGTCACAAAACTGTGATCAAGTTGATAATCTGGACACAGCAAGACTCAGATGGAATGGAAGAGAAACGAATTTGCGAAAAATTATTGAGGTAAGCCACAAACATATCGGGCATTATTTCGTTTCATTTAAACTTAATAATTACCGTTAAAGCAATATTAAATGGAATACCATAACCAAAACAAATGATGAAATACTATCACATTGCTGTAAATAAAGGGAAACTTAAAGGCCCTCTTTAATTTTCTTGACTTTTTCAATCGTTCTGATCCCTGTGACAGGTTTTTTTTCCAGATTTAGGACCTTTTTGGGTGCTAATTTTTTGATTAGGTAAGATGCATTCAGTTAATTGGACGTTACAATGAGTCACGCTTGCGTTAATGGCGTTGTTGATATCCTTGTTGCTATGTTTGTTCATTGCAGTCTTCTGGAGGGTTGCGGGACTAAGCTAAGCGTCACCTGTCCGTGGTTACGATCATCTACGATGGAATTGTATGTGAAATGCCAGTTGTGTGAGCCTTGTCCAGATAAGTGTCGTGACGGAACCAATATTTGCATATTGCACAAAGAGAAAGGCTGCTCTCATTTTGACTGTGGCCACTACATTCCGTTAGGCAGCTCTGGTCTGAGTTGTGAACACTCCGTTGATGCTGTTCCCGACTATCCAAGAGAAAAACTGGATCCTTGGGTTCAGGTTAGAAAAAAAACTTAGTTCAATCTACGTGCAGTGAATCAGGATAATTTGAAACTCACGGTTGGCAGATAGCTTTGTCGCGCGCAACACTTTCGTACGATATTCGATTCCCATCAAAACCTGAATTTGTCCAGGCTTTATCTTTCACAAGTACTTCAAAATTTCTTTTATCTGCAATGCTCTTTCTCATATTAGGGATAAGAGACATTTGAAATTATCTTCCTTTTGCTAAACACAGAATTCGCCGTATGTTTTAGGCAGTTTGTCTTAAATGATGTCAGGGTTTAGAATAAATACTTATACTCCCTTTTATTACTATTATCGCGTTTTCAAGTGTCAGAATCAGCTATCCGTGAGCTGCAGCACCTTGGGTGACTTTATGTGAGGAAGCTACATTTTTGTATACTTTTTGAAGTATTTGTAGTTTATTGTTTTCCCAGGTTCGCTACTTTTGAATTTCAGCTACAATGGTTCTTTCATTTCCAAATGTGTAGGCCTCAAAAGAAGGATAGGAACATCCCTTCACGATACACGACGTCCATTTCCGTATCTGATAATCATTACATACTGTTTTTTCAACCATTTGCCTTAATAAACTTATATCCAAAAACTTACTCCTCGTGAGATCACATGAGAGGTAGTCAGTTGGGTTATTAGGGTATACGTTATGAATTATTTTTATTCGTATATGTAAGCGTAAAGTTGCCACTATTTCCTTTTGCCTTTTAGGCTTTGAAATCCATTGAACGTAAGAAACGAACTGGTAAGTTTTTTCATCAGAAATGATGGGTCACCAAGCTAAAAAAAATTTAAAAAATATCCAGTTTGAGTACGTGGGCCTCCTTATCGAGTGTAAAATGAAATGGCCCTTAACGACGGAAAAACCTGAAACATTTTCAGCGGATAAGGAAAATCATCAAGGACATGTACAAGCTTATCTATTGACCGAAAAAATTTGTTCCAATTAGTTTCCCTTAACATTTGTTAAGAATGAGATACAAGTGTGTAAGTGCCACAAGAGCCCTTGCAAATTTTCAATTTTGATGAATGTCTTTTATTTTACCTAAGTTGTTTATTGTATGGAAACGATTTTTTTCAAACTTTTCGCTCGATGGCAAACAAGAGATATGTCACCAAATCCGTTTACGTGGCGAAAATGATCTTTTTTTTCCTGGCAGAAAAAAAAGAACAATAAATCATCCGTTCGAGTTCGTGGGCGTGCATTTTTCGTGTAAAATGATGCACAGTTGGGATGCATAATGCATTGGCACGAACTGTCCTTGAAACAAATTCCTCAGGAGACGTTTAACCAGGAAAGGAAGAAGCTCCACTGTTACAATTAATCTGTTGTCTCAAAACTTCCGGTCTAATGATTTCTTTACATTTATTATTATGCAGGTAGCCGAAATGAAGAGTCGTCTCCGAGTGACGCCTTAACTTCAAAGAAAAGAAAAACTGGTTTCGCAGGTAAATGAGGACATTTCAATGGGCGTGCCCATTAACCCCCACCCCCCTAACCCTATCATCCTTCCCCCTGCCTTTGTAAAATAAAAATGTGTGGATCCAGCAAAATGGCATGAATAGTTGCAATACGTACTACTCGCTATCGTCTCATCTTGATGCTTTGCTGTGATGTCTTTATGTTTTTAGTCAAGCAAGGGGTTCCCAGTGACGGAGATTTACTGTGGCTTTCGCACAAACTCGAAAATTGGGAGGAACTCGGGCATCTTCTCAAAATTGAGGAGGCAACTTTAACGGAGATTGACCATGACTATAGGAGAAAGCGTAAAAAAATCTACAAAATGTTACAACATTGGAACCAGGCGAATGGCGCAGCTGCAACGTACATGGTCCTACATGATGCACTGTGTCATCCATTGGTTGGTCGCACAGATTTAGCTGAGCAATTTTGCTGTCAACCACATGAATGACCGTTTACTTTATTGACTCATAGATAGCTTTTATTCCTATTTTTTATTGATTATTCCACTGTCAAATGAACATGTATCCCCAATACGGCTACACTATTACCTTGTGAAGTGCTAAATCAAATAACCTTCCTTTTTCTCATGGGATCGTTTTTCTGTCTATTATACGCATGCATCTTTCTATTTTTTTGAATGAAAAACGTCAAGTGATAAAGTATATTGCTATTGACTTTATTGACTACTTTAAGACACGTGGTTCAAAATCACCTCACAGTTTAAACAAAGTAACCACCAGTTACGTTGATATTTGTCCCCCGATTATTTCCGTGGAAAAGAAAGAAAGACAGCGGACAAGAGCCGGTCTAGAGTTTCACTTTTTTCATCTTTATTACAGAACATGGGAGAAAAATGAAGTAATTTTGTAGAGTTCACATGTAGTGATATTAAAAAGATGATCTCAAATACTGGTCCGGAAAGAAAAAAAAAAGTCCACAAATTTTTTGCTGTCAACGCGCGATACGAAAATTAATGGAAGGGTTATGAATTAAATAAACCCACTTCTGGCATGCTGGTATTACTGCTGGCAGTTTCCTCAGCTGAGATATTGTCTTGAAAATTTAACCATTTGCCCTCGAAGCTTCGCTTATCGGCCTAAAATTCAATTTTCGGATAATAGCTTAGTCGCAGACATGATTAGCCAACATACTAGCCGCCCGAAGAGGTTTATGTACTAAACAGTCGCTGAATTGCGCCATCAATACCATTACAGTGTTGTTGAAGGCATACGTCTGTGACGCATTTGCATCACAGGTGATATCTATACATAATGCACATGCATTCTTACTTCAATTGTTGGTTTTGACGCAGCACTGAATTAGAAATTTGAGGCGCTTTTTTCTAAAAGGTTCGATGTGAAACCAAAATTCAACGTGTTGAGAATCTCACGCCGAGAACACGAATATATGCTCTGTTTTGTAGTTGATACTGAGATTCTACAAAAAAAATGTGAATTTTTGTCAGTCTGTTAGTGCTATAGCACATTTCTTCTCGCAGCAGTGTCACACGTTTATTCAATGCTGATTAATAAAAAGTTAAGGTCTTCAGCCTCTACGTGGTATTAAATAGTGATCACCATTCTGGCTCAAGTATCGGAGCTCAGAAATTTACTTCCGTTTGTAACCAATGTACGCTGCCTGAGCAAGGTTGACGATGGACAACCTTCTAGGTATGCGTAGCATGGGGGAGCTATTTTTCGGCTGGGTAGGTCGAGATGGGACACTTTGTATAACTTTCAAAAGAGCGAGAATATCGCATTACATCACTTTAAGAGAAAGAAAAAGAACCTAATTTATCTAAACTCACACATCGCTCTATCGCTCTGACGAAGGGCTAACGCTCGAAACGTCAGCTTTTTTACCCTTTACGGTGGCTAATTTACGTTTTCAACCCAGTTGTTAACACTAAATTACCTGCTATACTCTCCCACCGACGCAGCACGACAGTTTCTTTAGAAACTTACCCCGCTAAACTCACACAGGTCAGTTGTCTCTACTGTCTAAATACTTTTGTAGTCTCCTTCGCAGCCGTTGTTTGGTCTCGTCACACAACGCCCTCGATTCCTCGTTGGAGAGTGAGCGGATTGCGCGACGAGACCATAACGGTTGCGAAAGAGCCTAAGCTTACAACTATTCCTCTAACAAAGAGAAATCAAAAGTCAGTCGCCTTAAAAATATAATTCCACGTAATTTTACTACGAAAGGCAAACTGCAACTCTGTTGTATCTCTAATAGACCCTAACTAAAGATATACTGGGATCTCGAATAAATGAAGATATACTGAACAAGAGAGGACTTTGCCCCCTAAGTTTGAAACGCGTAATAAAATGCAGGTTATTTACAAGGAATGAACACGGTATTACGAATCGATGTGACTGACCGAGTGAAAAAGTGTTAAAAATGCATCTTGTCTCACGAAATGAAGTAGAGGGTAATTTGGAAAGCTCTAACAAAAATTAAGGGCCTGTGGGGGACCCCAGGTAGGTGAGGTGACCCGCCTAGCTGTGGTTGAAAAATAGCCCGCGTTTACAAACAATCTTACAACCCCAGGATGCCGGATTAAAGTTTCTTGAGGTTGTTATCGCACTTGTAATGAAGGAGTTTAAGATGTCACTACGGTGACTTGTGATAAAAGGTTTCCGAAAAGAGGTAATTTATTTTGTTTTAAGATTTTCGCTTGATGTGTTAACCCTTTCAGACGGTACAATATCTTCCCTTCGGCATAACACTTGAATGTAGTTTTGAGTTCAAAGTAAAAACATGGCAAAATCGCTGTCGAGATTTCATTGCCAAGAGGATGTCATTCGCTCTGACGAAGGGCCAACGCTCGAAACGTCAGTTGGAACTCTATACGTTGGCTTATTAACATTATCAACTCACTTGACGAAGCATTATAGTTTCTTTAGAAACTTGCCCCTTTAACAGACTTAGAATGATTGGCTGATTTAACTGTTCGAGTACAAGTGACCGATTACAGTCAACTGTCCATTTATACTGTCCTATTACAACTCTACAGAATAATTAGTGAAAAACAAAGCAGGTAACGCGCAAATCACATTTGAGGAAGTTGCAATGGTTCTGGGAGTATCACACATTAGCCATGACTTCCTTATGCCGTGGCATTACAATGATGAACAAAAGGAAAAGTTTTCATCTCCAAGGTCGCCGATAGACGGGCTTGGTACTAAAATCACAACTAGGTCTTTTAATATTGATTTATTACTGCGTTCTGTCATGGCTTTTGGGCAAAGAGTACAAAAAGAGTGTAGCATCATGGCAGGCTGACAGCAGATTTAGAACTACTTTACTTCGCTGGTTCCCCTAATATACTGTTGAAGTTTCTCCTGTCGTTAAGCTTGAAGGGAAGATGGAATAATCGCAAATAAAAATTTATAATTAAGGTCTTTATACCATCGAATTATTGGACAAATGAAAGGGACACTTACGTCAGATGCTCTTCAAACTTCGTAGTCTGGGTATGAGATTGAAATTTAGAGGACAAACCATTCGTCTTACATAAATGATCTTTCTGAATACAAGATGGCGTCGTGGGGAAATAATCGAGGTAGGGATTTTTTTTGGAATATATTAAATCAAACGCTTCAAAAGACAAATGTAGCGAGTAAAACTCTGTCAGTGTTCATTTCAAAGGAATTAACTTCCAATTTGATAAGAGAGATTATGGCGTTAAGTATTTTAGATGGTCCATGAACTTATGACGTGTACAATGTAAGTAATTCTTCATCGAAGCGAACGTATTGTGTACTTCGCAAGATCATCCGATTGAAATTTTTAAATTGATGTTTTTCGTCACCTGGCATGTTGCGCAGGTTCGAGGACAACCTCTACAGATGAAATGTTGGAAACAGAGAACAATCGAATGGTGGAAGATTTGGCGGCAAAAGTTTCCCGTTTAAAAGGGGTAGGAAGACATTGCTGCAACACTGTGTCGTTTTAAGAAACCTTTACACCCTAAGATTTGTATGCACATTCTCCATACCGTTCTGTATATTTCCTGTATATAATGCTTGAATTTTAATAAGCACTTCGGCTGTGGTCCTCATTTGCACTGATCAATGTGATAGTTTCCATTTTTTGGAACCTTCCCCCTCCCTGTCAGTAATACCCATCATCACATTTCTGATTTTAAATCAAGTCTACCTGTTAAAATCCTTTTAATTCCTAACTGTGTCAAAATTACTCCTGCTCCCAACCCACACCCCATGTAAAAGAGGTGTCAAAGATAAGGAACAACCCTCTGTAATACAAACATAGCTAATTTAATAATGTAGTTTGTTTTATGGAAATTTATTTGATCCATTTCATTTTTTAAAGATTGCAATTGACATCGAGAATGAAAGCAAGCAGCAAAACAAATATCTTGATGGAATGGTAATTATGCTGCTATGTGTGTGTGATTTTTTTAATGTGGAAATACAACTGTTTAAATTCCAGAATTATACAACCCCTACCCATCTTTTGGATTGGTCTAAGCAATTGACAGATTTTTCATCTGATCATATACAGTAGTTGTTACTCACCTGTCTGTACTTGATATTATTTCATAACTGTTATTTTCTGATCACCTGACCTCCACACTTTACCCCACACTGTTTAAAGTTAATACTTTTACTCAAAGAACTCAAACAATTGTCAAAACATGTTCAAGCTGAAAGGTAGAGAAGATGGAAAAATGTTTACACAAAAGTTTGATGGAACACTACCTTCTCAGAGCATATTTTTACAATTGGTGCCAATACATCACAAACTCAACCTACTACACTTTTTACACCTCTCGTGTTCGTAGCATTACTTGGGAAGTGATGTTGATTTTCATGAGCTACAACTCACTGTATTGTATTGATGTAAAGTAAATCAAGGTAATCAATTTTAAAATCAACAGGGAGATGACTTTGGGAGCTCATCAAGTTTGTTGAGTGGCAGTGCAGCTCGACTATCACAAATGGTTTCTGCAGGACGATCAAACAGAAAAATCATGTGTTACCTTATAGCTGGACTAGTTGGAGTATTCTTTATTGGTTACTATGCACTCAGCAAGGTTATTATCAGATAGTTAGAAGTTCTAGAATGTATAAAAAAATTCAATGAAGTGCTCTATACTTTTGTTTTGTCCTCTTTGTGTATTACAGAAACTAAATACTCAACAAAAAACTGTACAAATTGCTTTGCATATGTACAACATTAAGGTATTCTCATGTCCCTTGATAACAATATATCTTTCAAGCTTGCTTGTACATCTAAGAAACATTTTAATCCACATTACGTTGTATGACTGTTTTGATGATTTTGAAAAAAACTTAGTTGGTGATTGTGGTACATTGTAAGTGGTACTACATGTACATATATCTACTAATGGATGCTAGACTTAGCTTTTAAACCTCCTCACTGGCTGAAAAAATATTTGACATCTGAGGAAAATGTCTCAGTGTCTTAAAGAAATACCTCAAAGGAAAGAAATCACATGAAGTATGTGTATTACATACATACTTTACATATTTAATACATACTGTGGAAGCTTTAAATTTACCAGCAGATAATCATTGTTAATCACCCTACAATCGCATGTGCATTATTTCTGTAAGACATAATTGTAGAATATTCATGAAGTCTCCTAATTAGGGGGGGGGAAGGGGTGAGGAAGGAAGGGGTGGGGGAAAGGGGTGAGGGGGGAGGGGGTGGGAGGTAATGTAAGGGAATCAAACAGAATGTCATTTTTACACTACCAATAGGTGGTAAAAAACAGTTCTATAATATAACATACCATATGTACCTAGTGTCATTAGTTTAAAAAAAAATTATCAGAGAAGTTCTGTTGCGAGACTATGTATAGTTACCAAAGCTAAATATTCTTTAAATAAGCACTGATGTTCAACTTTATGATCCATCAAACAGTTATGCTTGCATGATTGGTCTAAACACAGCACTTGACTGAATATCCCCCAGCTGAAACTGGGCAAATGATATTCCTCAATTTTTGAACCTTACATCCACTATGATAAGTCTTCATTTAAAATTCAATTCAAGAAGAGAGAGTGTGTTATGGTTGTTACAGAAGAAGGGAATATTTATTTGTCCATAAAGTCATACCAAACAACACTCAAAAGAAAACATCCCACGTAGCAAACAATAAGCTGTTTGTAAACATTTAACAGGTGTATTGCAAAATATTTAAAGGATGATAAACACCTCTATTTTGCATGAAAATATGCTTATATATTTGTTCTTGGACATTATCTGTTCCTTGAAGAGCTTTGCTCTCAGAAAACTTAGCTCATCTTGGAACAGAGAACATCTACAGAAAAATATCTGCATATTTTCACATCAAACAGATTCTATTGTTTATATATTACTATATACCACACGGATGAATAGTGCTAAAAGAGATTGCTAATGACTGGGAATTTTTTTTTATTATTAAAGATGATTAAATACGTGTGACAGTATATGTGTTAACCAAATATCTGAACAATATTCATAACACAGCAAACACCTTTTAAGAGATTCAGGGCTAAAAAGATTAAATGACTGATACTAATTCAAGAGAAGCTAAATAAAGGTCTGGAAAATTGACTCTGTTTCTTATTGCATTCTATGTATGAGTACCACCAGAAAGCTACAGATTTAACATGCAACTTTAAAATAATGACCCATTTTAAAGATTCATAATCTCCTGGTAAAAAGGGTGATCAAGTGCAGATTTTTTTTGATGGAAGTCATTTTTTTATTGGCAGGCAAATACAGCTCATTTTTATTACAAAGACTTGCAATTAGCCTCAATTTGAAAAGGGGGGTTTATAAAGCTTGTAAATAGTTTCTATTGATCCAAACCAGAAAATCCATTTTGTATTTACAAATCACTAGCAGTTGCAAGCAATATATTGTTCAACCTACTGGAGAACTGGCAAGCATTGTTGTACAGTTTGTCACCCTTACTCTACTATGTACACCTATCATCATAGCAAAATACATACTCTGGAATCTCTATAGGGCATACACCTTAGTGCAAAGTCTTGCCCCAGAATATCTCAACTGTAGTGAGACAAGACCTGGAATATGCTCTTCCAACTGATCAACAGCCTTTGTTGTAATCTGACTGCACATGCTCAGATCTAGGTGGGTTAAATTACGGCCATGTATTGCTAAGTCCATGACGCTCTTATCAGTGATGTTGTCACATTTAGATGCATCTAGAGCTACCAGCCTCTGTAGGTGAATTGCAACCAAGGAAACACCCATGTCAGTTACTGATGTACATCCACTGAATGTCAGCTGTTCTAGAGTGTGGAGATTTTCAGCAACATCAGCTAGTCCACTGTCTGTAATCTGTGACCAAAAGCAAAGTGAAAGTCAAGAATAGCCAATGCTGGGAGGGCTAGAACAAAATTAACCCTGAACAATCTGAATGCTTCACAATTTAACAATTCCTCCAACTGACAATGATCGGTTTCTTTGTTATCAAGTGTATAATGTAAGTTTTGAAGTCTTCATTGCTACCTTATAAAGCATATTCTACAGTGTGGAGGATGTGACTACTTTTGCAAGAAAAAAGTTAACAAAATTGAATATAGGTACATGTATAGCCCAAAATGAGGTTGGAGGTAGATGAGTGGTGAAACTTTAAGTCTCTCAAACTCTTCCTTTTTTCTCTCTCTCTTTTTTTTTTGGGGGGGGGGGGGAAAGGGGTTAGAAAGAAGATAGGGGAACTGACTCTTTTCCCTGCATTTTTCTGCCTGGGAGTTTTTCTCTTTTGCCATCATATCATTAAAGAAGTGAGTGATTAGAGTCCTGTGACCATACACTGTACCTGTGTACACATGTTTATATTCAGCGTGGTTAAGTTCCTTAGCTGACAAATGCTTCTTAAGCCTCCATCTGTGATGCATGTACAGTGACTAATGTCCAAAAGTTTCAGTTGTTCTAGGTTCTTTATTCCTTTTGGTACCTGGAGAGGAAACACAAAAATTCTGAAAATTAATATGAATCATACATGGAGTATTAAAATATTTTCCTTGCCATGAGTAAGTATGAGAGATAAAGGGGAAGTTCTGATCCTGTTTCATGCAAATTTTTAGAAAACTTCAAACACTGTGTGTACTTTGATCAGCATTTCATGCATCACAGATTTAAATTCGGAAACTTCAAATCTCTCTTTTTGAGTGTGAGATTTCAGGAAAAAATTTGATATTTTCACAAAATGAAAGAAAAATAGTCATGGGTCACATATACTTCAGGAGGCAAATCACACCTCACCTCAAATTTTACACTTCATGCTTGCATTTCTATAAAATCCATGCATCACATATTAACTCTTTACCACCCTCGCTGACAGTATGCACTGATAACAGGGTAATTTAGTGTTATCAGCTGAGTTGAAAAGGTATCGGCCACCATAAAGAGTTTAAAGGCTGACGTTTTGAGTGTCAGCCCTTCATCAATCGCTCTAACAAAGTGCTAATGCTTGAAATGTCAGCCTTTAAACTCTTTACGGTAGCCAAATTACATTTTCAACTCAGCTGATAACAATATATGCAAATTACCTTGTTATACTCTTCCATCAATGCAGAACTTATCCCCCTTTATTAACTATATGCATACCTTACTTTGTGCGGTCCCTCCTTCCTTTTTAAATTTTTCTGCATGGGAACATTTATCCTTGTTATGGCAGACATCAGCAAGGTTTTGCTCAGAGGGAACAAAGCCAATCAAACCATTATCAGTGATGTTTATACACCAACTGAGCCGAAGTGATTGCAGTTTAATAAGTGAGCTAGTGATGGCAGACAATCCAATGTCAGTTACATGAAGACATGAGCTCAGATCAAGTTCTTGAAGATTGATCAGGACTGTAGAAAATCGCAACACTAACTCATCAGACAGAGTGCTGCAACCATTTAGTACAAGGACTTTTAAAGGGACATTGTGATTTGTACCCTGCATTAAATAAAAAGAAGGATAAAAAAACATGATAAAGCATTTTCAGTATTCTACCTTACTCACAGGACACAAATTAAGGTGCAATTGTAGAGAAAAACTCTGAAATTTTGATATCAAGCACCATTTCTTGATCAAGCACCTCTTAAAGCACATTTCTGTGAGGTAAAAGTTATATGTAAGCTCGTGTTTACACAGTGTAAGGGGAGGTGGTTACTACTATGGGATGAATTTCTTCTTAGACATGAATGTAAAACATACCACTGATGCTTAAGTGTCACATAGATGACTGGTAACTGTGTGAGATGTTGTGAAAATGCAAGGCAAGCTGGTTAAATCAAGAAAAAGCAAGTAATGGCTTTCTAGTTAAAAGAAAAACAAAACAAAACAAAAACAAAAACATAAGCAAAAAAATTGTTGGGTGCATAAGCCAACAGAAAATAAAGTGTATTTGACCTTATGACCAATCAGAATGCACCAATATTGTGATAGGTGCACAATAATCCCTTCATGACAATTAAGGCCCTGGTGAGTGATTAAATGTATATGAGTAAGTTCAGTGTACCTGTGTCCAGCATAAGAACTTTCCCAGGCCACTGTTAGACAGCTGGTAGCATGAATAGAAGTTCAGTGAGTGTAAGTTGATTAAAAGTGCATTGACAGTCAATAATGCCCCATCTGTGAGTTGTCTGCAACTATTTAAGTCCAGCACCTTTAGACAGTGCAAGTATTTGCCAATGCAGATTAATGTGGTATTTGTAATATCCACACAAGCAAGTTTTAGGACCTCAAGTGACATCTGGTATTTCACCAGTGATACTATGCCATTATCAGTCAAATGTTTGCAAGCTGTTAGATTTATCCCTATAAGTTTTAGTTCAGGTATCTGAGAAAATTTAAGCATCACTTCATCCGTAATATCAGATCGACTGATGTCAAGGTGTTTCAGAGATGACAACTTCTTTGCCATCTTATGCCATGTTGAAATTCCAATGCCCTTGCAGCCAGAAATACTAAAATCCACGACATTGGGCAACAAATCAGCTACTTTTGAAACAAACACATCGGATACGTCTTTACAAGCGTTCAAATCCAAGACAGTCAAATGTCTCCAAACATTTGCACACTTGTCCAACCAAATCACATTCTTTCCCACGTCGAGCTGCCTACATCGGCTCAAGTCTACACGTACAAGGTTAGGACAGTATTTATTTAGTATCTCGAGTAAGTTATCATTGACGCATCTGCAGCCTTGCAGAGACAACTCTCTAAGATTTGATCCAACTTGCTTACAAACTTGAAGAATTTGAGCAGCAGTTGTCATATGCTTGAATCTCAGATGCTGGATACAGCGTCTCTGAAGGCTGTCCACTAACAGATGGGAAAACCTTTCTCGTCGTGTTCCAAGACTGACAGAAACGTTTCTCCACAAGATGGGATCCTGCGAAGCTTTAGACCACTGACAACAAACAAGAGCTGCACATTTTAAATCCGAAGCTGGCAGAAATCTGAAAATATACGACACGATTTCCAGCGGGAGAGCCAAAATAATCATGTTGTTATTCTCTACAGCACAACTTGATGCACTCACAGGCATGACAAGTAAAAGAATTTTGTTGAGCTAGCTTATGTTATTGAGCGAGTTGTCCGAAGACAAAAAATAAATGTGAACACAAGTAACAGTTATTTTAGGTGTTGCCCTCGGGAAAGATCAGTTCCATGCAATCCCATGAAATCGGACAGTTGTCTTCAGTAAAATTCACATAGCTGGTCTGTCTTCTAATGAACATATCCGAAACTTAGGAAAAGCTACGCAGTTGTTTTTCTGTTTAGCATTTTACAAAATGCTAAATTTTCCGCCATGTTTTCATTAGAGCGTTTAACTGCTGAGCATGTATCGCGGATTCGTAATTGCAGTTCTACGTGGTTCTCGCCAAAGTTCGCGGTTCTTAGAGGGTCTTAACGAGGTTAACTGTAACCACTAAAACAGCAAACAAATTTAGCTGTTAGCGGTAAAAATTGACAAATTTTAATCGTTATTCGATAAAAGAATTTAACCGTAAAAACGTAGTCTTTTAATGGCAATGGAAATAAATTAACCGTTATTCCTAAAACGGCAAAAATTTTAACCGTCAGCCGTAAAAGCCATTACTCCATTGACACCCTCTTCCTATCATTTCAATAAATTAGCCTTTATGTTAGCATTTTGTCATGAAAAAACTGTTCTTATCTTCTCCATTTTCAAGCATCAACCACCCTTGCTCCTTTTATTCAGATTCTTTGCACTTGTAGATAACTTTTTAGCAAATTTTCCGTTCAAGTTCAAGTTGGTCTTGCATGAAGCAAAAAGAGGGAAATTTCCATCTGTTGATGGAAATCTTTAAATATCATGTTTCTTTCAAAGCAGAAACCACCCAAAAAAAGAAGAAGGAGAATGAACACATTTGAATGCGTAGGGCTAATTGTCGACGAAATAAACAAGGATGACAAATTACTTGAAACCATAGTAGTATGTCAGAAATGACTGTGAAGGATGACGAGTACGAGAAAGAGGATTTCGTTATCAACGTATAATCAAAGATTCACGATTGAAAAGAGACGTCAGCATTTCATGAAAGATTTTATTCAGAAATTTATCCCAAGGAAAAAAACCCACCAATGCCGTTGGCATTCTCGACGGTCTAGTACATCTGTTTAAGTTGTGACTGTCTTCTTGGAAATCTTCTGAAAAAGATTACCAAACGAAAACTTTTTCTTCGCGAATTTGTAAGAAAATCCCAGTGGCAAGGTATTTATGTTGGTTTTGAAGTGAGAATTGTCTTAGCGATTTCCATCTTTTTTTGTTTTAAATCATTTGTCAACAGTTAATTGTCGTTTTATCCATAAGTGGACCGCCAATGCGACGATGGATGAATTCCGAGCCGTTGAGAAGTTGCTGATTGTTCACGAATGTCTTACAGTGGTTTGATTGAAATTGAAAAAAACAACTTCTCAAGAACACTGCTACTTTCCGCTGAAAACTGAGCTTTTTGAGAACGCTCTTCAATCAGGGTGAATTCGGAGACGTCAGTTTTGCGTTTTAGGATAAACAGAAAAAGAAGTTTTTACAATGAACCTCCGTGTTTACGGAAGGCGACGTTGATCCCGTGCTCATAAGTAATATAAATTTATCCCCATGATGAACATGCGTAATCATACCGGTTTGTACCGCTATTAATCATTGAATGGTGCCTGAGTTTGATTGGGCATGCCGTGGAACAAGAGCTGATAAGATTTCATCGCGCCCAAGATCCTTAGCGTGCGTGGGTAAGGTATGACTAGAGGAAGTCTGTCAAACGAATCAAAGATTACGATGTTTTCCGCGGTGCTGAGGGAGGCTGCTACATAATTTTGTTCTCTTTCTTCAATTAAAGCTTCTTCTATACGTAGTCGTGGGGTTGCATTCTATATTTCATCAATTTTAAAAATATCGAGACACGTTAAGAGGAATCAACTCGGCCTGCAACCATGTTCTGAGCTTTGAGCCAGCGATATTGCCTAACAATGGCTGCTGTCATTCCCAAAACCACAAAAAGCACGCTGATGATGATGACCCAAGTGCTGGAATCCAGAGGTTGTTTCGTCGAAGCTTGTTCCTTTTTCTTGGCTTTTCTTGCATGCCTTCGAGTTGCCTGAAATGAAACGTAAATTTCAAAACAAACACAGCTCTAGGTTCATTGTATAGGGAAAGAAGCTGATATTATACACGTGAATGTGAACCACTATTACTTCATATAAGCAGGTGCTCAAACTGGGGATTTAGATGCTGAAATAAGCTGGTATAAAACTCGTGTATCGCTTGGACAAAAAAACTTAAAACAAAACAAGTAGACAAATAAACAAACAAACAAAGAAGAAAAGCTGAAAAAAAATGCGAACAATCAATAACAGAGAACCTAAGCTTGGTCAGTCTATCCTTTGTTCATTGGTTCAATGTTTGGGTGAGTCCATATTTGGACTGATATCACCAGGCGCCGTGTTTACAGGCATCTTGCCGCTCTCCATGGTTTGTAAAAACCGCTGCGTGTGAGTATATCGGAACTAAGTGTCTACTGAGAGTAATGGCCCTGTCTCCTGTCGGTTAAGACTGCATAGACTGTTAAAACAAACAAGTAAAAGAAACATCAACAGAAGCCTTAAATGTTATCGCTAAAAACCTTTTGGCGCAGAACAGAAAATCTTTGGTGGTACCTTCTCAATCTCATAGTCGTCAACGATTTCCCTTCTCCAACACGCAAGGAAGCTCTCATCCTCTTTGGTTCCAAAATCTCCTGTCAGACTCATACCGACTGAAAACTCGTGTGCGATGTTTTTTTCTATCTTGAGGTCGTTGATTCGCCTTTTCTTGATCAGGTCGGACGCCATATCATAGTCAAAGAATAGCAAGTATTCCAGCGATGAGTATTTATGACTTTCAATCAGATCGTGGAAATCCTCTAGTTCTAGAAGAGAAGTAGCATGTTTTTGTTTTTTCACGATGGATACTCTTCAGTAAAATTCAAATACAGTATACTTATTAAAAACCTGGTTTCCTGAAACCAGTCGCGAGTTGCTTGATCATGTTTCCCGCTCTTCAAGCAGTTTCTTGCTTTTATTTTAATATCTTATTGGCTCAATGTGACATTTTACCTTTTTTTCTGAATACCCTTTGTGGTCATTGTGGTTTTGGTTTCACAACACTCAATCGAAATGCACCTTTATTTATAACTTTATTTTAGCAAACTTATCAACTCGTAACAAGAGCCGCCTGTTTTCTCCATCCAAGTTCATGAGCACTTTCATAATCTGTGGTTTATCGAAGCTACGCAGCCATCTATTTTGAGGCCAGTCACTTTGGGCTTTCTCTGGATTTTCTTTATGAACGAAGGTCTAAGCTGTAGTCTGGAAACAAAGTCACCCGAGGTTACCTTCAAAATCTGCACCGAAGTTGAACTCTTTTATGAGAAATGTTTCCATGCCTAGAGGAACACCAACCTGCAGTATACAAACAATACGGACTCAGCTTCTTCACAACGATTTAAAGTCATCTCGCCATCAGGAAGTCTCGCCACCGGGGCAATCTCGCCGCCATCAAGTCACCACCGGTAAATTCGCCATCAAGGTCGCTATAGTTAATTTGGTATAAGTACAAAACTTTAGATGATTCTTAAGTTTGATCTCGAGTCTCTCGAGCATACTCATAAGAATGCTATGGGCAATACTGCAAAGCCGTGCTGAAGGCTCGATAGTTTTTTCAAGATGGCGGAAGGCGAGTCAAGTGCGCGTAACGATCGAAAAGCCACCGATTTGATCAGATCAAAGATATCAAACGAACCATCGAACGACGAGGTCTAGCCTGTAAATATTTAGAATCAAAGGAAAAGTGATCATAACTTTTTAATCGAACGAACAAACAACAAGATTGACAAAAGTTGTTATCGATCGCATGCATTTTTTTTGTCGAAAGAACGAGAGTTTTGAAAGCTCATACTGAGATTCTGTAAACTTTTTACCATAACAACAACGAGCAACAAATTAGAGCTCAAGGGAACTTTTATTTATTAAATTAAACGTTTGATAGCTATACTTAATACAGTTACAGCAATCGGTACCGCATGAGTGTTTGGTGGCGAGGTAACAAGCCTTCATGGCGAGATCGATTACACTTTGTGGCGAGTCTTCCAGGTGGCGAGGTTATTTGAGTGTTCCTAGTGTTAACATTATGTGCGTTTAAGCCTTTTATAGAAAAAGCATGGTGGAAAAAAAATACAGAACATCGTTCTTATTTTGTAACGGAACAGTAAATCGCAGCATAGACCCTTCATTGTGCCTTAGAATGTCTTAGAATGCATTTTATTAACAAGGCGTTGTATTCAAATTTAAATTTGACCTGATCGTGTTGTCATTAAACGCTGAAACGTCCACCCACTAAACGCGTTAAAGAACTCAGAACATCGAGTATTAGCAAGAGGCTCAAATAGTAGTAGCAAGAACCCCCGTGATGAACCTTCCAGTCGCAACAGATTTGATTTGAAACAATTCTTAATGTTAACGAAGTGTTCCTGAAAACTGGACTGCCTCATGTACGACACGTTTTTCACTCACTGGGCAACGCAACCATGGTTGGCTCCATTCGTGCAGAACTATTTAATCAGCACTACGTTTTCTCAATCATTGCTTTATTCGGTATTCTTGCCACTCGAATTAAGCTATTATTACATTCATACATACCCTCTTCCACTAGGGTTACTGAGGGGCTCGTAGAAGTACCAGACATGAAGGAATGATACTTCAAGTCTCTATTTTCACTCATTTTATCAGCTATAGATAGAATTTTTTACCTACCCTTTTTCCAAGAAGATTTAGGTCATAGCCTATTTCGCCTGCAGTTAGGTCAGCGGTCAGCCTAGCTGAAAACACAGTTGTCAACACTGTTCCTTCTAACATCCACAGGATCGCAAACGTACGGGCAAGGGAGGACTGAGGTGCTTTGTCACCGTATCTTTGATCGTTGAAAAGAATGGACTGAATTAAACTTGAATGCCTACTATTTTTTGTTTATTCATGAGAAGTAAGTGTAATGTTTAGGTCTGCACTCGTACTATAAACTTTCTTAAACAATAAACCTATATCTCCCTCTGAAAGATTAAAATCAGGCTTTCTGTAGAATACTAGACTAATGGTCATTTATACTGCTTTTAAATAGCTCATGTACACCATTGACTATGACTTTGGTCAAAAATTTAAAAAAAGCTTACCCAACGGTTGTCATGGTAACAAAGGCCCACCAAACCCCTTGTCCGATTCCACGAAAAGAACTCGACGGGAACTGGGCTGAATTGGTCCTGTGCTCCTATATGGGGAGAGAGGAGGTGATAAGTTGCAGGGCATGAGTAAAACAAGTGCACGAGGGAAAAAAAGCCAATGCAAAAGTGTAGCATCCCTCGAAATAAGAAAGTGACCGTCACACAATATAAAATTGCGGCTTAGTTGCAAGGCCTGGATGCAGCTAAACCTTTATATTTAAAAGAAGCTCATTTGCAATAAAGGAAGTGTGACTTGACTGGTCTGAAAGACTAGAGGACAATAAAATAACTTGAAGTGAGGCTACTGTTTGTTTCGATTACAGTATTGAAGGCGTAATGACATAAAACCGCATGTACATGTAAATATGCGAAACATACTTCTGCTATTCCTCTACAACAAAAGATATTTCTACTTCAGAAAATAAATTGTTCAAGATCCTAAATTGCCGAATTGCCCTGTTGGCAACAGTTGTATAATTTTGGCGGTTAATACCCATCGCAAAACATGGCATAGTCCTCATATCACGAACCGAATATTTTTTTCAGTCAGCACAATTCACGTTTAATAAACGGCGTAGTGTTATTGATTTTGTTTTGAGACGTTTTATTTGCATGAGCAATGGTACAAAAAATTCTGATATCTTTCTAAAAGAGTATTTTTAAAAATCTAAAACTACATTTGGTTGGGTGACACAACGCATAGCTAAATGAACGATGGTAATCATGATTACGAAATAAAGTGTGTACCATCCCGTTTTGTTTTATTATGATAAGTCTTCACCATCATTCGGAAATGCAAAATGATTAGTGAAATTAACCAGGAAGTTACTGCTTTACAAAGATCGCTAAATGTTGTCTAACTTTTCGGGAAATATTCATTACTTTTTGAACTCGAAAAATTACTTATGAAAAATTGATTCATAATGATTATGATGCAAATGACAGGCACACATCTGTTGTTATTCAAATTTGCATTGAAGCTTGAATTATTTCCCCCACAGGACTCAATATCAAGAATTATTTCCCCCACAGGACTCAATATCAAGATTTTTTATTACAAAAATTATTTTTTTTCTGTCATGCCATGACATAGATAATGGTTAATGGTTCTGAAAGCATTATTTTTATCCTCATCAATTCGGTGACTCTAGGAAAGAAATCGCCCTGGTTTGTTTTTGAATTGGTAATTTTAATGAAACATATTTTTTCAACTCAAGTAGGAAAGTTTTAGCAACAGCCTGGGCAAAAGGCTGGTTAAAAAATTAATAAACAAAAATTTGAATTCGATGGATGTAGTGAAGCTCATTTTTCAACGATTGCAACATGCGTACCTCATATGTTAATTTTGTAATTCATAGTAAACTCAACCCTTTTTTTTTCAAACTACTGTTTGCTTTCGCGGGATGAGAGAAGTGTGAGTCGGTTCCAATTTTATTCATGGAGTTTCTACTTATTGCAAAATTACTTGCAATAAGTAGAAATGTAAACGGGAAAAGTTTAGAGTAACGTTAACGGGAAAAGGGAAAAAGTGATGACAATGGTCATCACTTTCCTCATTTTCTGGTAACTATTATACCATTCCATAAGTTTTCCATTAGCTATGTTAGATCGACAAAATAAAAAAGAAAAGTAAACCAAACAAAACTTGGAATTAAAACGAATAAAAAGAGAGAAAAAACGACGGGAGGAGACCATAAATAACAAATTTCGAGTTTGCTTCAACGTACGTACCAAAGCCCATATGATTATTCCTGCAAGTAAGGCGTGTAAAAAGGAAATTAGCACCAGCGCCCACACGTTCTTCAGAAGGTACAGAAATCTATTTGAAAATGGATCCGATCCGTGGCCAAATTTTAAAACCGCAGGTCCCGGTGAATGAAACAGTGCCACAAACCTCCTCTGAAGCTGCTCTGTTTCTCCTTTGTTAGAGAAAATTGGAAAATGGATGACAGGATTTTTGTCGTGATTTCGTCGAATGAGTATTTCCATCTCACAAGAGCTAGTAATGTTTATTTTCTCGTCATAAATTCGCAGTCTTGGACAGCAAGCATTTAGTGCAGTATTCATATAACGAGAGAGGTCTCCTTCAAGGCTCTTGCTGGAAGAGTTGTAATGAGTAAATGGGTGAAAATCTTGCCAGTGCAGCCTGACGGTTTCAAAAGATGGACAGTGAAATGTGCTGCCATTTTTCGTGTTAGGCAGACCGGACAATTCGGCACTTGTTCCACACACATAAACTTTTCCAAACCAAATCAAAATGCAGATTTTGCTGAACATGTCCAAGTTAACTAAAACTTCGGTTCTGAAATGTGTGATGACACATACCCTTCACCAATTTAAATGAAAATATGGTCGTATTGTCTCCCTGTTTTCGCTGGGAAATATTAAAACAACCACCTGCAGGTTTTTAAACTAATTCGTTATCGTTCCAAGAATTCATGTATAATATCATATTACCCTTTTGTCTTGAAATGGCGGAATAAATGAAACGCTAAGTTTCATCATATTGATGTGTTGCGTGTTATGGAGGAGAATGTGAGAAATTTTGCTCTAGCGGTTCAGTACGATGCGGTCTCGTAAAATGTTGCTAAGAAGCGAAATCACAAGTCATTCCATTGCCACAATGAACAGAGCTTTCCTGCAAAGCTCAAGGCCAGAAGTGTCACCGATGAGTAACATGCAGATTGTTCAAGTCTTGGAGCCCCACATCGTTGGGATCAAACTGATGAGAATGAAAAACATCAACCCCGCAAGGAAAGACGATGATCAATATAAAGATTAGGTGGCGGGATGCGTGAGGAGGAAGGTGAAAAGATTTCTCGATTATCTCGGACAATAGAATGATGAAGAACAAGATCAAAACGATGACTCCGAGGGGACAAAATATGATTTTGAAAGGAGCAATTAATGCAAGCTGAAAGAGTTTCAGCCTTTCGACGTGAAAGCCATCATTATTTAAGCATCAGCAAGCTTCGTGGTTGTGACGTTAGTTGTTGGGACTGCATTTGATTTGATTAGATCCCGTAGACAAAAAATCCTTATAAAAGGTATTTCGTAGATTAAAAGATGGTGATGGGAAGTGTGATAGGTCTTTTCAGGTCACGATGAATCTATTTTATTTAAGTATAAACTAAAGCAGTAAATAGTGTTGAAGGCGGACTCTGATTGGCTACTCAAACTCTGAATATCCCCTGCTATTTATCTCCGAGGAACGCGCACTGGATTTGCGCCTCCAAAAAATGTAATGTTTACAGGAATAAATAAGTCAAAACCCTTCTTTTTGTGCTATATTATCTCACTGTTTCAGTCAATACTAAAACAAAAATTTACCACGCCTCTTCACGACTAGGTAAATATGCACCACTAACAATCACCTGTTTGCTGAATGGTTGTAAAAAAATCACTGACAGGGCCGTGGTCAAAATGAAGCGAAATCTTTGTTATGATTGCTTACCTGCCAGGGACCCGTTTCTCGAAAGTCCCAGTAACGAAACATGCCCTTAAAACTATTCTGTTTTCATTGAAAGTGGGGGTTTTCAAAAGTTTTGAAAATTATACAATGATGCTATCAGCTATAGAAACAAAATGGACTAGATAGGATGCCAGAACCTGCTTTTCTATCCCTTAAATTTGTATTCCGCTCTATTCTATGCCATTTTTATTTTATTTATTGTTTCGGGCCTGTTAAGTTACTGGAACTTTCGAGAGACGGGGCCCCTGAGCAGAAAATAGAAAATAGAAATACGGTGAAAACATATTGCGAGTGTCAGTCGATTTTTAACAAGTCCGAAGGGAGGGCCATGATTCTGTCTCTCATTTAGTTTCAGGGATTGTTTTTAAGTCTTGAAAATCGCTGTAGTGATCTTCATGAATCAAAGATCCTAATGAAAGTTTTTAAGAGCCAGATCATTTGAAATTGGTGTCCAAGAGCAAAAGAGTTTGAAGTTTGATATCATGAGAGAGTTAAGAGATCGTGAGAATAAAACCGCTGTCGATTATATGAATCAAATTATAGATAATAAGGTATGAGTGTACAGATTATAAGAATTATATTTTAAACTGAGTTATACACACACCTGGCTGCGCCTCGTTTGCAACGAGTTTATTTGTAACAGATTTTGAGGTCATCTGTGATCTATTAGTGAACAGACACATGCACGCATCTAATTGTGAACTAAACATCTTATGCAGTAATTTGAGAAGTATTGCGTAGGGAGACTGAAGGTAACATCAGCTAAGCCTCTAAATTTTCAGGCTGAAAAAAAAGATCAATAAGTGTATTTTTTCAAAAAATGCAAACGATAATCATAAAATTCGCGCATTTTCCTTCCAATGCGCTTTGAAGATTCGAGAGCATAAGCCACGAAAAAAGGTAGTCTACTTTGCTGGCGGTCTGCCGCAGAAAGGCCGAGTAGAGACCAATTCGGTCTGTAATCATACGAGTGATAAACACTGAAAACAGGCGGCGTAGCTGATCCGACGATACACGGTAATACAATATGCCACACCGTTTTTTGACAATTTGCAAGAATCAATCAACGGAATAATATTTTAACTTTCCTGCGATATCTCGCTGATATATATCATTCTAGCAATTATTGTTACGGCGATTAAGTGAAGATCGAGGGATTCGTCATTATCATATACTGTTTTGCTGAAAGATCGCCACAGCTTTTATTATGTAGCATTCAGGCAAAGGGAAATAAGGGTACTTCTCAAAGAAAAATATAAGGGTACTTCTAATAATATAAGTGAGAGTACTTCTCACACTTTAAGCCTTACGGCAGCACAGTACTGACTTAAAATTGCTTTTACGTTTTGAGGAACACTGTACTTCCCGCAAAGGCTGAGGGCGTTCTACTGACGTTTACAGTATCAAAATTAATTGTGAGAAAACCTTGATCGTTTGCAGCTCTTCGCTGATAGAAACGATTAAATCGAAAGTATTACTATTATGTAACCACTTTATAAAGAATGCATTCAATTTGTCTCGGTCAATTTGTAACGTCCATTTTCCGTGGACGTATTTATCACGCTCCCAACACAAGGGATGAAACAGATTTGTGTTTCTGAATCAGCGGCTGATTCAGACGCTGAATCATTTCAGCGTCGTTTTGAAATAAAAGTCATTCGTAACGTCAAAAATCTGGGGTTTTCTCCCCCAAAAATTATTTGAACCAATTTAACCCGCTATTTTATATCGATCACCTATAGTTTGAGCCGTATATGAATAAAGAAAATGATTGTCCGTGCTATTATTAATCTCAGCGTCATCTATACTAGCTTGCCTCCATCAGATAATTGGTTGAATTGTTAAATTTTAAGCTAATACAATTTTTATATTCGTAAGCGGTTGATAAACTATAAGTCTAATCGTTTTAATTGGGCATTTTCGTGCGAAGTGAGAAATCAGTTTCATCAAAAAATCACCAATGACGGCTATTGTTTGAAATTTTCACTTACAATTTTGATCGTGGGAAAACCATAATCCTCTTCCGCTAAAAGGAGAGACTGACTAAAGGAAACGATTGCATCAATAGTGTTCCTCCATTGTGTTAAATTTTTAAGTCTGACAACCAGTACATTAAGAAGACAAAGTTACAATCATTATATGAAAAAAGACACTTCAGTAACGATCCACTTAACTAATAGATTTGTCCTTACACCTAAAACAAAGAAAAAATGCACTCATTTGTACAAGTACACTTCGTAATTTCTGTTTTCCGTGAGTTGAAAGCTCCAAAAGAAAACGCTGAAGTAGTAATTGCTATCAGTAACATCCTTATAAAGTCTTCCTCAGCGAAAGGATTTGATCATTCAAATGCTCTTCGAAGGCCACGGATATGCCAGTAATCTTTAAGTAATACGAGAGACAAAGGAACATGGAAAAGCCGTTCAGCTGTCAATTGAATCCATTAACTTTATAGGAATGGATGAAAGTCAACTCAAATGCTAATCATGAATTAAAGTGCTTCTCCTTCCCAAGAGATACCAATTGAATGTGAAAGCCTTTATTTCAAACGCAAACTTCATAATGTACCTCCCAAAGTTAATGTAGCCTTAGTTTCTTCCCTGGTTTTGAACTGCGTTACATTTCCCTTCACAGTTGTATTAAATCTGCTGGTGATAGTCGCCGTGAAAACCAGGCAGCGGCTAAGAACAAACTCTAATGTCGTTATTGCATGTTTGGCAACCACGGATCTGTTAGTTGGAGTTTTCGTGCAACCTTTTTACTTTCCGGTGGTAATGTCAGTGATATCAACCCTTGAGGGAGATTTATCTAGTACGACTTGCTTGATCAGGTTAACTTTTAGCAATGGCCGGGCTAGGAATTTTCTGCGGGGCTTCGCTATTTCAATTAGTTTTGATGACCGTCGAGCGCCTCTTTGCCATTTTTCTTCCATATAGCCATAATGTTTGTGTCACCGAGGGACGGATAGTGGCTGCTTCCATCGTCGCCTGGGTCGTGAATCTCCTCTTCACGATTATTTATTTGGTCTTCAAAGTTAGATTCCTCTTCCCGGTTCTTGCGATTTTTTGGCTATCCCTAGCGATTATAATTGTTGGCCAGTTTGTACTCTACAGGGAAGCTCGGAGACACAAACGCAAATTCGCGCCCAGCAGGTTGCAGTCAAGATGGAGTCCAGACAAAAGTTTGAGAAAGAAAAGAAAGCCTTGAAATTGACAACTTATGTTGTTTTAACGATGCTGTTATTTTACTTTCCCATAACTGTTATTTGGCTCGTTCTTTCCAAGGTTTGAATATTGATTGAATATTACATATATCATTTTATTCATCGGAGGGTTTATTCCAATATAAAATTCGGTTGCCAATCCAATGATTCATGCTGCGAGATTAAAACAGTTTCGAGTAGCTTTCCTCGAAATTATTTTAAGAAAAAACTTCACAGAGGCGCAAGAGATAGAAATGCGATTATTTTGTATCCGCAAGCGTGGTGAGAGGGCTTCCACCAGGATTAAAGCGAGAAAGAAGCGAAGAGTGGAAGATATAAACATTTCAACGATCTGATAAATGTCCAAGCAGAATTATATTAATGTTATTTTAAAATTAAAACCGGATGGGCAAAGAAACTTAAGTTATGATGTGCAATATTAACGATTGTTTAGTGAAATTGGAAATGTTGTTAATGGGTAGAATTGTACCAAAAATTGTTTGAGAAGTAGTTGAAATCTTCAACAATGCAACAAGGATGTAGGTGTCAGCGATTAAAATATTATTTTTCACTTTAACACTTTTGCCTTGCACCTGCCTCCGTCAGTCTGGCGTTACTAATTAACTAGGCAGGCGAATGCGCTTTTTCAATAAGTGCAATGACCACGACATTTTCTTGGTAAGTTAAAAAAGAAAACTTTAACATCCTCTCCTTAGGGCCCTACTTCCCATTCTAATCACCAATTATGAAAACGGCGCCAAATATTCTGAAGTCTCTTTATCCTTGCCCTGTGAAGCAACGGCAATGATGATAGCTGCACACTAAAGTAACCCGTTAAAGCATACCGTACTTCGATACCGTTCTTATATTAGGAACTTTTACTCACCATCTGGGTTTAGTTTCGGGTTACTTACTGTTTAACCTCACTGTTACCTAACTTTTATTCACAAATCTTCACGCAATTTTAGAGGGCTTGCTGAAAAACCACCGAAAATATTTATTAAATTTTGCTTTTAATTAGTAAAACCTATCATGTAAATCTATTCATATTAGTATTCACATAGAGAAGTTGACCGAATGAGATCCTCTACAATAGATCTCTGATGAAGGAAATTCTTTAAAGTTTTAGATATCAAAATTTATTATGAGAAAACCTTACGTCAAAAGACACGATTAAGTGTTACGACCTAGTCATTTGAGCTGTTTTAGTTTTTCTAAAACAGTTCATAATATAATGTTTTTAGTATATGATTAGCAGCTTCCGAGTTCTTTTGGATAAAGTTGCAGTGTAAACATTGTTCTTCTCAGTAGGGATATCAATGATAACAAATCCTTGTGAACGAATTCTTCCATGAATGAATGGAAGAATGAACGAATAAATGAATAAATGGAGAGGAAACGTGGAGGCATGCTAACTGGTTAAGTCAACTTATTTCAGCCTGCTAAGCGACTAAGCACATACAAAACATATAGCACACAGTTTGCCAACACATCTGTCATTTATGGTTTCATGCAATATGTTCAATTCATTGAAATGATTTCTTTAGTTGCGAAGGAATTAATAGATGGGGAGCCAGTAATCTTCTGACTTATTTTTTAACCTGTTCCTATTCTATAGAAATGGAAAACTTTGAGCGGAGGAAGATGTTTTTTTTTTCCTTTTTAAATTACAACAGCTACAACTCATTACACGTTTCAGAAAAAAAACTTTTGCCTGCTGTTATAGGCATTTAATCTTCAAAAGCTTTTCTCATGCGACGCGAATGCCGTCCGAATTGAAACTTTTTGTGGGGAAAGCATTATAAAAATTAATTTTTTTGTTAAAACCTTGTTTTGTTGAAAAAAGGTGAAGGGGGAATTGTCAAAAATCTAGTGCATTACATATTAATGACCACTAAAGGGAAGTCGCGTAAACGTCAAAGGACATGGCATAAAATTACATATGGGAAAGATCAACATAAAATAACACAGTGTACTTGCGTCATGATACCATCCAGGGCAATAACTTGATGGAAAGGGAGTAATCAATATTAGTTTGTCTGCAGGTGTTAGTTGCTCACCTTTGCATCATCATAATTTTGAAAATAGTAAAATACACTTTTTCATGAATTTAAGCAGCCTAAAAAGAACATTTCATATTCCATGAATGTAGTGTTCGCATCTGGGTCTCCGGGGAGCCTCAAGAATACCTTCATGTCTACCTGTTCTCTATGGCATCCATTGTGAACGCTTCACAGAGAGACGCTAATGAAGACCTCCTTTTTATCCAGTAATATCCGCGTCATTGGTGTCGATTTCCATACAAATGTGCCATAAATAACTTTTTAAATTAGTTATCGTCAAGAGAAGAGTTGAAACCTTTATCGGCGAGTTTTCATAAAGACAAAGAAAATACATCTCAAAAATTATATTTGATTAATTAATGTCATTCAGCCGTGACTCAGGATGTTTTTCTCTTCAGCAGCAGAAGCCCGTTTTCTTTTAACTTGCTAATGAAAAGTCTAAAAACATTAATGAGTAAAAACATCTGGGACTTTTTGTCACACATAGAACACTAATGAATATTTGTTTTAAAACACTTCGAATACATCGTCGAGGTATCGAAGCAAAAAGGATCCTTCACTCACAAAATGAAAACTGTTGCGTCTCTTCTTGCAATAATTGGAGTCTTACTCACCCGTTGGACTGACATCCGAGGTGACGAAAGTATGTGCTATAAGTTCTGCTGTGAGGATAATTCAAACATAAATTTAACAAACTGTTGCAGTGAGGCAACTTCGCATCTGTTACCTCCACGGTTTTACAGCTTTACGTGCGTGAGGCAGCTTCTCGAGCTCTGCGCTTCTTCTGTAAACGATTCTAAGATTGATGTGGCAAAGCAGAATTTACAACAAAATTGCAGAATCAATTGTACTGAAAATGTCCTTACTACCTCTCAGTCAACAAACATTTCGGTTAACTGGAAGGAGCCAAAGTTTTGGCCGGAGGATAAAGAATTACCTAGTGCTTTCAAACACAGTTGGGAAAAACGCGAGGAATTTATTTTGCGGATGATGTCGCATTTGTGCGTGAACACGGCCAAAGCGCCCTTAAACTGTTTGATCACGTATAATTACCCTGTCTTTACTGGAGAGAAAAACTTCGAGAAAAAAACATTTGTGTGTGGTTTAAACGCGCCACCAGCTTACTTAGTTATGAAAGAAGGAAACAATGGTATCGTAAGGGTGGTTTCCTGTTCTGCTGCCCATCTCTGGCCAATAATTTGTATCTGTGTCACTTGGACGTTGATATCAGGAGTTATCATATGGCTGTTGGTAAGTTGATCAGTCTCCCTCTCGATATACAATGGGTATTGATCTGGTACTTGTTTTTACCTATTTCAAATCATGTTCTATTGTCTCAAGTGAGGCCCGATATTACTGTATGATAAATCAAACTATCGCCGATCCTCAGCGTACTCAAGGATGGTTTGGTAAGAAAATGGCGTAGTACATTAAGGACTCATTGAACATATGCTACCCGTTTGGTCATGACATTTGCATTCAATCCAACCATCGTGCCTCGGCGATCTCCCTTATCGATTGCTCAACAACGTTTGTTCCGTTATTCCTTCGTCATATATTTTCAATAAATTCCAATTCTACGAGGTTTTTGAAGAAAACGACAAAAGTTTTAAGTTTGTAAAACATGTTTCGACAGAAACTTCTGTCATCTTCAGTTGATTACTATACAAAGCGTTGAAGGTTGAATTTATAATAAATAGAGTGATGCTTCCAAAGGGTCTTTGGAAACGTCCTTACATGGTGTAATTGTTGATTCAAAGAGGGTTGTTCTCTTTGAATATGACTAGCCTCTTTTATCTTGAGTTGAAAACCGGAGAGGCGTGATCCAAAACATGGAGGCTATCCGGCTGAACACAAAGCGCGACAATGTTCAGAATCTTGCAGATGTTTGAAAATGTGAGTGCTCTCTAACACGCGTGGAAAGATGCCGACGGGCTCCGTTTACGTGTGGTTTATAAGTTTGCATGTGTTGGCTGTAATGCCTGTTACCTCCGCGAAACGTGCCATGTAAATCTCAAACTATCCTTTTAATTATCACACTTTCATGCTTTACCTCCTTCTTGTTGTCACCATTTATCATAATTAGCATTTTTCTATCTATTATAAATTCAACTTCCAGTGACAGGGCCTCTCACATTTTCAAACATCAGCGAGATTCTGAACATTGTCGCGCTTTGAGTTCAGCAGATAGCTCCTATGTTTTAGATCACGCCTTAAAAGACTTAAAAGTTTTGTCGCTTTCTTTAAGTTCTTGACTAGCCTGCTAATATCAAGACCCTTCAGAAACATTTTTCTCTACGAGGTTTGCATTCAAAGCTAGCTTTCTCGACAAAGAATCTTTCAATTCATCAGAGCTTACTTTTCGGTTTCAGGATCGACGAAAAAACTCTGAGGAGTTTCCACGGTCCTTCTGGGAAGGCGTTCGCGAAGGAACGTGGTGGGCAGTGGTTACCATGACTACTGTTGGGTTTGTGGAATCACCTACTCTAGATAATTCTATCATGCAAATTTATTCACTCAAGCGGCAAAAATTGTAGGATGACTAGTTGCTGATGATTACTTGATTTATCTTATTTTGGGCGTGTGAAGACCAGATAACTAGAATATTTTCTTACGGATCATTCTGACCGAATTTTAGAGAACTGCTGTAATGCATACCTAGAGAAACTGTACAAAAGTTAGCTCTACTATCTAAACAACTGTATTTTTTTCCTTTCTTTTCAAGATATGGAGACAAGTCCCCCAAGTCTTCACTAGCTCGTATTTATGCTGCAGCTTGGATGATAATCGGTATGATCATTCTCTCCATATTCGCAGCTGAAGTTTCCTCCATATTGACAGCAAGACAGACAAAACCTCACCATTCTCTCCTGAATCGATCTGTAATTATATCTTTAAATCGTTATTACTTTTTGTCTCAATTGTCCTCGTGTAAATGACATGTATGTTTAATTTTGCATAATTTTGGATCTCAAGCATGAAAGGTACTGAATAATGCTTGCAAGATGTTACAGGATATTATGTTGAACTGTTCAAATCGCACAAAAGGAAAAAAAAATTTAAATATTAGCGAAAGTCTCACGATTAATCCCCTGTAAATTGCGACGTTTTTTGTGCATGGTATTAGGCTTTATCGGGCGATGAAGTCTTGAATGTAATGTTTATTTTCAGCAATAGCGACTTGCGCGATATAATCCTCGTTGTTTCAGTTGGTCAGGTTGGAGAAGCATCAAAACTTTTTTTCGGTTCTAGTTTTCAAAGACGGGCTTCATATTTAGTAAATAAACCCCTCAGGTGGCTGGTAAATCGACTGATAATGCCTGCCGCTGCGAAATTTTCCGAAAAATGAATATTTGGCCGAGAAGCGAAGCTCAGGTCAAGAGACAAAACCAAATATGACCACCGACAGAAGTCGCTGTTCGACAAACAAGCTTTATAAATTACGCAAAGGTAAAACTTAAAAAACAATAAAAGAACTCATAATTATAACAAAGCACCAAGCCGACACACCAGCACGCCTGAACAGGTGTTATTTATATTAGAACTCTTTTGCTAATTTCCGTATCCCGCTTTGACAGAAAATTTTGTTGACTTTTTTTTGTACTGTCCGAAGCAGCATTTCAAATCAGCTTTTTTAATGTCACTACCACCGGACTCTACATAACGAGTTCGTTTTTTCCTCCATATAAAGTAATAATGATGAAAAAGTGAAATTCTTGAAGTGGCTTTTCTCCGCTGACTTTCGACGCAAATAATCGGAGGACATATATCGACGTGAACAGGGGTTGTTGCTTGATAATTGTGATGCTGAAAATATTTGGCGCAATTCGATCAAGAGTTTTAATTCCCCAAGGTCTCCCCAAGGTCAGTCGGCCTATAACCCAAACATGTTCACTGAGAGAATTCTTAAGGGTATGCACTATAAAGGCGATTTAATAGACCCATAGTGGCAACAACAGTGGCAGCAATAGGAGGCTATAAAAGGCAATACAAAGAAGAAGGAAGACGCATAAGAATCTTCGTACCTATCGCTAGCGCGGGCTTGTTTCGAAGTTAATTAGTTTCCCTGTTAACGACGTAACAACCTCAACTTTTCTGCCCTTATGCTTTCTTACAGATCGGAGTCCCTAATGGCAGCAAGCAGTACTTTCAGGAGGAGTTCAGAGGCGCAAAAATCATAGGTAATTTAAACGGCCCCTTATTGCAGCGAAGGATCACGATCCTGACCGAAAGCTACACCTTATTTTCATTTTATTTCTGTTTGCTGTTAACAACGCAGGAAGAATAAGCCTTCGACCTCAACTGAGAAAAATTTGGGATATGCCAGCCTTTAAACCACAGATTTGATTGAATTAGGGAGGGAAACCTGTTTCACCAAGTTCTTAATGTAAATTCCATTTTTGGTTTGTAATCTAGTACATCTCATACAATGAAGTAATTTCTCATTTTAAGAATAAATGAGAAGATTTAACTGAATTGGCTTAGTTTTCTCAAAATGTGTGAGAAACAGCCTTTAGAAACGAGGGTAGGGTTGAGGCCGTCAAGTTGTTTGAAAACTATATAGTTTTATATTAGAGTTCTGTCAACACCTCCTCAGAGCCATTGTCCTCTAGATCCATGTGAAGACAGAAATGATATCGAAGAAATTTATGTTTGATATTCAAAACCGTTTTCTTTTTTGTTTCTACTTTTAAATTTTTCTAGAGATGAATTCCTCGCAAGATCTTGATACTCACTTGGCGAATGGAAATAAGCAACGAATTGTGTATTACAGCTGCAAGGCAGGCGAGGGTGTGGATCGTGACAAGCAGATTGTGAAGGCTCTGAAGCACCACATAATTGGAACTGAAATGAAGGTGAATACCACATGCCTCTACCTTGCAAATGAAACATTTCCAGTTCAGTCCCTTGTGCAGTGTGTTAAGAATAATGTGAAGAAACACGTTGAAGATTGTGATCCATTTCAAGCTGAAAAAGCCAGTGATTCGTTAAAGTACTGCGATATTAAGATGGATGATTATGGAAAGATAAAAGACTTTCAAAAGGACGACACGGCTGCCATCATAATTTATGCCTCTGTGGGACTAGTAGCAGTGATTTTTGTTGCTGGCAGTGCATGGGATTTGACAAAGACTCGTGATCAATGGAAAAAGGAAGAAGGTACAGGTATGTTGTAGACGAGTGATATGTCAGAAATAAAAATAGAAGTAAAGAATAATTCAAATAAAGATCAAAGACTTAGGTTCGATCAAATTATAAAGAGGTGGTCATTAGCTAATTTCTTGCTGATTTCTTACTCAGATACGAGGTCTAATACCTTTGGGGACTCGTTCGTGTTTACACGTGGAACAGAAAGAGGTATATGCATGCTTATCTTAAGGATCAAGATCCCTACTGAGATCATACCATGCTTGACAGACCATATCCTTGTAGGCCAAATAAGGAAATGCGCAACCTTTCCCTCCTCTACTGGCAAGTACATTTACTGCGCGCCTAATCAACCTTTCTCCCTCTGATTTCCCTTATAGTTAGTGGAAAATCAAGCGGTAGCATCGGCTTGGAAACATTCGAAGACCCGATAGAGATATGTGTAACAAGGGGAGAGGAATACAAAGACCGCTGAAAATAAAAGTTGTTTTTCACCAGCTGTAAATGATTAATGAGTTAGTTATATCAATTTAAGGAGCATACTACAGTTACTTATTGTTCAGGCTAGTCGTGTCATAGCCTTTCTTTCACATCATCTTCAGATGACAAGTAAAAGAAAGGAAAATTGGTTGCAGTAGACGTTTCAAGAAAAGCAGTTTCATCATCTTTTATTTGCCTTATTTACACAAGACAAAAAATTTATTGACAGCGGTTGTAGCTATAGAAGGCGAGGAGACCCAGGAAGCCACCAGGCTTATGAGAGCTTATGATTCAAATGATGATTTAGGGTTTTAAAAGGACAGACATCATATTCATGAGCCTTGTCTAACGAAAACATTATTATCAAGTAAATATAATAAAAAGGTAACGCCAACTATGGTTATATCGAGGTCTGATTTATTAGTGTCCTAAAGAAAAAGATACAGTTTGTAAATTAGTGTCCACAGGTAGATATGAATAAAACAAAGAGTAACCTTTCAAAGTGGTCTGGTAATAAATAAGTTGTAAAGAGATGATTCACTCGCGATCGTTGTCGTTGTTCATTGCCGTTTGTGGATTTTCCCCTTTTAGCATTTGGTTTTCGGTTTTCGCGAAAAATACTAACGGGTTTTCGGATTTGATATCCGATGCGGTTTTCGGTTTTTCTAATTAGACCTATTTGGGTTCCGGTTTCTCTTCTCTTCCTCTAAACATTCCGATAGAATCTCAAAACTTTCAGGTCTTAGTTCGCACATGGAAATTTTAGATTAGGGATTTTGGATGAAACTTTCCAGAGCTATGGCTTTTTGCGACTGCAAATTGCAATCCTATCGACGACTTTTGTGCAATTTCCTTAATTTGATAAGGCTCCATTACCAGCTGCTGAATCCGCAGAGACCACGCTCGAGGTCCTCGTGAGAGCAGCTGTTAATTTAAGCAGATACTAGAAGATACGAATGCCAAGTCCATGGTATTCATAAATACTGTTATGAAATTAGCGTAGTTTATATTACTCTGTATGCTTCACTTGTCACCACTGTATCGGATCGATCAGGGTTTTAATAACTGGGATGTGAAAATGTATCGGTTTTGACAGTTTTGCATGCGGTTTTCGGTTTTAATCGAATTTTCTTTCAGTTTTTCTACGGTTGTGCGGTTTCTAATGGGCCCCAATGCCCCCCTCCGTTGTTATCAAATTATAATATAAAGCAATGTGCGCTCTTCTCCGACCCAATTCGCTTCTTGTCAGCCGACGTGTGCTTTGCTTAAGCATTCACCTGATGCGTGAAAGTATAATTTGAAGTACCGAGACACACTTGGACACATTTTTGGAAAGAACGAAAAAAAAGAGTGAATCCTTTTTTTTTTTCAGAAGAATAATTGTAGGCTACATGAAGCCTAGTTCAAGCGGATGACCTTAGGCTCGTAGACTTACTAAACTGACAGATCTAAGAAAAGGTCTATTTATGTGACTGCCTTTGTGTGAGCAGAGGCGGTCACATAAGGGATCCACATGGGAACCAGCCATTTGCCAACGTTGTTAGTCTTGGATCATTTACAACATTATGTTCAATCTTATGGTTGCGTTGCGTATAAAGCAGAAATTACGTCATAAGTCACACATCCGGAAAAAATTGCCTTGCAACCTGCGGCAACCATCCTTTCTGCCTCGACTAGCTTTTTTATTTTCCTAGCAGGGATTGTTAGATATGTACTTTAAATTCTAAAGTCAAATAAGTTGTATTGTTTCTTCTCAAACCTTGTTCCTTTGTTGCATGTCAAATCTATTCCACCCTTGGGTCTTTAATCTCACTAAGCCATTATTTCTAAAGCGGTCGCCTTACGGAGGATTTTTTAAGAACAACTGTGAGTAGATGAATATTATGAAAATGAATTGCAGATTTAAAAATGGAGATAAGAGCGATTTTTGCAGTGCAGAACTCTCGCAGCAGTGAAAATAAAGCCTGAAAAATTTAGGCTTGTACAGAAATTAAAACAATGACATTTGCGATACTGGTGCAGTGCTTCGCTAACTGAGCTAAAAAGAAAACTTCGAGCTGTTCATTTTGTTGGTTGGTAACAAACCCTTTGTTACATAAATTGCGGTAAACACTTGACATGTCTTCTTAGAGACTCTTTGCCCTTCAAGCGCGAAATTAACATAGAAGCCTCTGTATCAGTGAAAAAAATCATTTCAAGTTTATAACCTATGGACTATTAAGACCTCAAGTGCGCTCTTATTGAAAAACAGTATGAAACATTTTCGTGAAAGAGTGATGACATGAACGGGGCCGGAAAAAACCTTACGGAAAAAACCCTACCCTAGTGTTCTCGTCATCTCGAGAAGGAAAAAAGCAAGGAAAACGTAGGTAGGGGAAGAAGCAGCCGTAATATAATAAAATACCTATTATTATCAAGGGAACATACTTGGCGGTTGATCGTGTTGTACGAACCTCGCTGCACTCGGTCTATCGTAACTTCAAGTCAAGTAGTTTCCAGTCAGGGCCTCCCCCCCAAAAAGTAAAAATTTTAAATGTAGAAGTGAACTGAACCTCATTTCTAAATTGGACAGACAGTGACTTCATCCAAAACATGTTCATGGATAGCACTGAGTTAGAATTTCCAGTGGGCACACAAAGCCCCTGAATATTTTGTGTTTAAGCCAACACGGCCGATACAAATTCTCCCAGCTGGGGCACATAGGAAAGGAACATTGCCACCCTCCAGTTTAAACGTATCAAGAAATCTGAGCAGAGCCCCAAAGTTTTTGACGAAGGTTGTTGCACGATCAATTCCTAATAATATCCTAAAATTTTTTTAAAGTTCAGCACAGGTTTACCCATCCACTACTTTAAAGGATCAGTTGCCTATGTCCCTAATTAACTTTGTGGCAGATGATCCCTTTGCTAGCCCTTTGCTAGCGCCTGAAACGGGTAATCACAAACGAATATAGAAACATTTTAGGTGATTCGTTATTTTTCTTATTGCCTGTAACGAGCCAAATGTCATGGGAGAACGTGCTGAGCTACTTTAATTTAAGGAAATCTAATTTCTGTGTCAAGGCGTACCAAAAATGGCAGAAATTCAAAACGAATGGTAATTTTTGCCGTTGCCCTCAATGAAGGGCTTGTGTTTTCATACTGAATGCGTTCTGAGTTCTTTTCCATGAAATTATTTGACAAAAACTACGACACAGTCTGCGAGTACAGTGAACAAATTCTTGTGTTTAATCATAATCAGCGTAAAAAGGTTTTTTACAGTGTTGTTCATCTTGGATAATTAGTACTGTCGGCGTCTTTCATATTAGTTTTTAAAGCCAGAAACAAATTTTAAACTTTTATAAATAAACAATTCATACAATATAAGTCCTTTTTTTATTAAATGCGAGAAATTTATCTCTTCGACTTCTCAATGGCGACGATGCTATACTGACCAAATCGATTCCAATAGCTTATTTACTCATTGCGGTTCAAAGAAACAGCACAAACACAGACCCTCTCTTGTACACAACGCTGTTTATCGATTCCTTACTTTGCCACTTGTGCAGCTCGCACCATCGACTTTCAAAGTCAAAATTTATAGCACTGCACGGGTTCATAGCAAGGCACCTCTGTGCACAATCGATGATTCCAGTTGTCTGTGAAGAGCCTAAGTCTTGGCCAATAAGAGCCTGATTGAATCCAGTGCAACTTCCGCCCACAAAGTGACGGGTGTCTCTGAGGTTATAAACATATCTCGACGCATCGCTCCCACGAAGCTGAGTGTACCAGATGAATAGCATGATGTTAAATATTATTCGCTTTTGCATCTTGTACGGTAAAGAAATATTAACGGTCTACTTCCTCACCACGATGACAAAGTATTGCTTCGGTTTGAACTCTTGATATGCTATCAGAGAGGACTTTCTTGGTTCTGGTGCTTAGGAAAGTTTTAAACATATGAAACAGCAGATGAATTAAAATCTGCATATAAAGGATAAATTTCATTTAAATTTTAAATGTAGGCGAGGGGTGGTTGCTAAACTGGCTCAATTTTAATTAATTCTCGGCAAAAAGTGATATTTTTTCAAGTATCTACTTACAACAGCCATTAGCAGTGTAATTAATTTTAGCGTAAACTGAAATTTCAGCAATAAATGATAATAATTATTTTGATGAATCGCTTAAACGGAATATAAGAAGGGTAAAATCGTTAACTCAATTTTAGAGCCAGTAGTATTTATATGGAAGAAATACTTTAATGTTTACCGATAACTACGGAATGAAAGTAAACTTTAAGTGTGGCGAATAAACATGATTGGTCAGATAACTGTCTATCTGCTCAACGAAAGCTGTCACCATCGGGTGTATGTTTGTTTGGATTTCGGCAGGTGACCAATGCACGGATTCAAACTTTAGCAGTTGTATTTGTCCTCAATCAACAACTGTGTTTGCTTACAAAAATTCCCATTTTGTCTTTCTATCACAAGGCAAATAATGTGAGTAAACTGCATATTTTATCACATTATCACATTTCCAAGTTCAAAGAAAACTTTATCCGTAGGAGTAACTTTTGCACAGCTTTTCAGTTCACGTTTGTTCTTTTAGGTCCTTTGAACGGATGAAATAAAAATTACGGCCCCCTTTTGAATGACATGAAATTGTAGCAGTCGTACCCCTTTCATTGATATACTATCTCTGCCAATAATAGATAGACTCTTCTTGTGACGTTTGTTTGGTATGTTCATTTTTTGGACCCATTTCTTTGGCAACCTAAACTTGGTCTTCTTTAGCAGGTAAACATTGTTTTTAAAGCTGACAGGACTGACGCAGTTTGTGTAGTCAGTTGCAAGGTTTGTACACAATACTGAAATGAAGTTTCCCAATTCAAGACAAGTACTAACGTTATTTCTCTGGAGAGTCTCTGGAATGTTATCATAGACTATGAGAATGAGCATTAACAATACCTATAAATAAAAGTTCTGTAAAGACTACTTACTCTTTCCCCACTTAAAAGGAAATCGTGCGAAAAAAAATCGAAAATAACAGCTATATGTGCGGCACTTAAGAGGCTGGGATTAAGGTGTGATGATTAGCCCCTGCATTCCAATTTTTTTCTACTCTGAAACAGCCCATATTTCACTAAGGGCGTTTCCTGTTTGCTCAGGAGACCATCTCACATCAAAGAGGTATTGTCTTTAATTCGCATTAGTCTTTGTCTTCAGCTGGGAAAAGAGTTCTACGAACAATGAAGCATTTTCTTCCCTTGGTGCTCTTGGTTTTCTTGGGAACCGAAGCTACTGAGAGGTAAGACTAAACTGGAAATTGTTGAAAAAGCAATTTCATCTAATATTTAATTGGAAAGAAGTTTGTTTTTTGAAACTAAGAAAAATCATACAAATTGACAACCCTGACGAACAATAAGAAATAGGTTCTATTTTTCCAAGACCCCAGGCAATATTAGTACAATATATCTTAGTTCTGATCTTCTAGGTAATGATTTTTAAACTTGGAATTCAGATATGACCATGCTCCATGAACTTAAGTCATTTTTAAAAGAAGATGGAATTTTGGTCAGTCCTCAGAGATATCCATCAGAAGATAAAAATAGAATAAAAACGAAAATAATAAACTAAAGAAAATGGCGAATATCTGCTACAAGACTTGACCAAATAATAAGCCGAGATCCCTCCCGAGGCTCGAAACCCAATTTAGAACGATTGGCTCTCCGATGTCCTACCAATCGAATTACAGAGAACTCAACTGGTTTGACATTCGATCAAAAAAGTAAATTAAGCTTGGCTTAGCTTTGAATCTTTGGAGTTTTCGGCTGTTTAACGACGCTGAAAACGGCTGAATATTACCGAAAACCGAAACAATAACTTGAGTTGTTATATCTCACCTTATCGGAACAGTGATAAGTACCTTGAAACAGTTACACGTACAGTCATTCGAAGTATTGATAATGCAAACGGTTTTTTTTCAACTAGGGGAGAATAATGCAAAAAACAACAAACAGTTGACCATGTGTTTTCAACAGATCTAATTGTGGTAATGAGTTAAAGATGGTGTTTAACGTTTTAATGCTAGTGAGAGAGTATCGTCGTGAGCTTCATTGTTCAGTCTGGTCAAGACATGTTTAAGGTGTTTAGAAATTCTTTATGCCGAATTCCGTAGTGAACTTCCATCGGAAAACTCGTCGAAAGGTTTTTCAGCAAAGCGCTCTCTCCCAAACCGACAGCTCTTGGTGGGCTATTGGGGACAAAATGCAATCGGTACAAAAGTCAGCAGACCGTACTGGGAGAAAGACCTGCGCTACTTCTGCAATCAACACAAGTTTGATATTTATTTGGTTGCATTTGTGCACCGGCTCTTTAGGGATAACAGAAATAGAGGTAAGGACATTGAGGAGAGATTCTTCGATGTATCGTTGATGGCGAAATTATGTTTTGCATGAATTGGCTTGGCTTTTTTTCCCATCCATTTAGCCTGATATATTCATTTAGGCGACCATTCATTCATTCCCTGTTTCGTGCATTCATTTATTCATTCACTTGCTTTCGGAGAGACTTTTCGTTGCATGCACATGACTTTAAATTTTCTAGTTTTTGTATTTTTGTCTAGTGACATAATCAGAATGCGTGTATCTTGATCGAAATTTGATCTTTGATTTCTACTTCGCACACGAAAAACTAACAGGAAATTTTAGAAGGAAAAATTTCTTAGGATCATGAAACCTGTATATCTCGAGAACATCGGGTAAGGCCAGTGTTTCATGATGCACTTCACAAAAGCAAAGACCAGATAGAAGTATATTTAAGCCTTATAAGCAGGATAATCTTATAGAAGTTATCAATTTCCTTGCACATTAATATTCTAGATGGTTATCCTGGGATGAACTTCGCCCATCACTGCAGTTATGCCCCAGACTCCCAAAACCCTGACCTTTTCGAGTGCGCTACTATCGGGGGCGGAATCAGAGATTGTCAGAAGCTAGGTAGGAAAATGCTGATATCCCTTGGCGGGGATACTTGTGACGGCAGCTTGGGGACTACTGAAAACGCCAAGAAACTTGCGTACTATATATGGAATCTGTTCCTGGGAGGCAAGGATATGCCGGACAAAAGGCCGTTTTTGTGGTAAATATTAACTTCTTGGCCATCTTATTGTGCTCGATCACTCATAAACAAACAAAAATAATGAAAACTGAACTTTCTTCTAGGCCTCTTTCAGAGAGGAGATAATTGTTTATGATTACAAAGTAAATTCAAATGTTTTTATGCACGAGTTCTGTTGCTGCTTTGCAATTTGGTTTTTCTTGAGACCTTTCTTAATTTCAAAGCATGAATTCCCAACTCTGGAGGAGAAAAGCCGAAAGATGAAAAAGTAAGAGCTTAACATTGATTATCTAAAGAACAAACGTTAGAAATAACATGATCCCTTCATAGGACCGTGATGGATGGTGTTGATCTTGATATCGAGATAGGAAGCCATAGATACTATCCTGACTTTGTCCGTGAGATGCGCCGTCTTATGAACACAGATCCCAGTAAACAGTATCTAATAACCGCGGCACCGCAGTGTCCATTTCCTGATAAGTGGATGGGACCTCAAATACAAGGATCTGCACTGGAACGTATGTGTCTGTACACTTTATGTCTCTTTTTTTGTGAGTGTTTATTGATTCATCATCCGTTGGTGAGTCTGTCTGAACATTGGTTCCTTGAGCACTAGGTCGTCCTCACGTAATAATTTGTTTCCGTCAAATTCAATGGAACGTAAGCCCATTCAGGGAAAACCCTCGTGACCAGGGCAAGTTTCCCCTGAATAGACTGAATGGAGGTTGAATAAAGGGGGTAAGTTTCTGAAGAAGCTTTGGCGCTGCGTCGGTGGAAGAGTTAACAGGGTAATTAAGTTTTATCAACGGAGTTAATAACGTGAATTGGCCACCTTGAAGAGTTACAAAGCTGAAGTTTTCGAGAGTTAGCTCTTCGTTAGCCCTTCGCTTTGACGAAGGGCTAACGCTCGAAACGTCAGCCTTGTAACTCTTTACGGTGGCCAATTTACGTTATCAAGTCAGATGATTGTACTAAATTACCCTGAATGGAGGTTGGCTTGGGGTTTGTTAATATATAAGCACCGACAAAAATACGATCGTTTTTTTTATTTTTAATTTTCTGGCCTGTTATCTGGTGGAGTCGATATTTCGGGCCGCAAAACGTTTTATCTACATGAGGGTCTTATTGGAATACCTAAAAGAGTTTTCATTGGAACTTCAGTTATGGAACTGTGGCAAAGGTTCCAGGTGCGGAGCTGTGGCGATCCCTTTATTTGAGACGATTTTTGACTGGAATGACTGTAGAATTTAAAATTTAACTTGAAGTTCAGAAGTTATGATACCGTTTCTTTCTCTGTAGATTATGGCCAAGAATTTGACTACTTATTCATACAGTTCTACAACAATTACTGCTACCCTGGAGACCAGTACTTTTTACCTGTAATTGACACTTGGTTACAATGGGCGCGAAGTGTTCCTAATGGTCCGCTCATTGTTCTTGGCCTGCCGGCTGGACCGCAAGCCGCTGGCAAACCACATTACTATTTCCCACCTGATAAACTGGCTCACGTGTACAAGGTATCACTCCATGTGATTTTATTGACGATTACATCTTCTGAAATTAATAACTTCTGATTTGTTCGATCTATTGCATGGTTGATTAGAATAACAACAGCCCTTCTTCCCATTATTTCCAATGCACGCGAGAGAAGTAAGTCAGCTGGGCGACAGTCTAGTTTGAAATGCTTCCAGTCAAATCTACGCTTGAATGTAGACATTTAGCCATCTTTATTTCAGCTTAAAACACCTTTACCAGTCGTAAAAGATATATAGATGTGACGCAATCCACTAGATAATAAATGGTTATATAAGAGAATTATTACGACTGTTTTTAGTTTAGTTTGCTCAAATGAAGGGGACCCTTGCATAAAATGCTGGATCTCGCATACTTTACTTGAAAAGGGGCCAAAATAACGGAAATTGTTTTTCACAAAAGACACAAATAATAGAGGTATGTTCGGTTCTTGATGGGGAATTTTGAAGTCAAGTTTTGCTTCTTTTTTTTTTGCCCACGCTCGGAACAGATGAATGTGATCTTTCTTAATACCCTCACTGTAGCAAATCCGAGACAAACCTGGTGTTGGTGGACTCATGTTTTGGGACTGCTCCTGGGTACAAAACAACATTGTCAACGGTAAAAACTACGGTACACATGCATTTGAGCTCCTGCGTGGAATTGCTAATCCCCCAACTGAGGCACCCAGCACGCAAGCACCTCCAACGACACCGCAGACAACTACTTGCACATCAATGCAGTCATCAACTTCGACGCAGAAACCAACAACGCTTCAAACTACAAAACCACAGACCCAAAGACCGATTATTACTACGAAACCTCCGACTGGTAAGCTACCTATCACTAACAACGTTTTGTATCTACTGAAACAAATGAAAACATAGGCATGCTATGCATCCAAGAGTTATTTTTTGGGGGGTGGGTGGATTACTTGAAACATTGTAAGTGATGTCTACATTTTTACAAAAGTAAAGAAGAGTATTAACGCGGAAAGGAACGAAAATGTCGAATTAACTCACAAATAGGTATTTTGTGGTAGATTTTGTGAGTTGTGCGAATAACTTTAACCAAAAATAAACTGTATTGGTGCCATGGATACTTGTTAGTATACAAAATGCAGACTGCAGACTGTAGACCGGATACAAATTGTAGACTAGGTACAAAATGTAGACTGCGGACTGCAGAGTGGGTACAAATGTAGACTGAGAATCTAAAGAGTTTTTTCGTCTGGTATGTGATAACATGCATCTTCCAACTTGCCGAGCGTCTCGCAATCGCTTTTCCGTGATCAGCTTTCACGCTTATTTGCACTATAGTGGAAATAATCCTGGCCCATTTCTTGATGAAAATCGATCGTAATGTAATTTCAAGCCTTCATATTGTCGTCTCACTTTGTGCGCGAGTTGGTTGGTGTGATATCTGTACAAAAGTAGATGTATATGTAGATGTAAGTGAGATGTCACTATTGCATATTTAACCCGCGCAACATTCGAGAAACAGTTGACAGCTTTGCACGTGGTCCATATTATCATCTTTTTAAGCGATATGTGTTTATTTTGTTGACAAAAATGCGGACCGAGACCAAAACTGTTCCTTCGACTTGATATATTTTTGACGTTATCGTGACGTGATCGTGCTACAGTGCACAGAACTACATTTTCTCTCGAACAACTATCCACCATTTTCACAGCATGAGTAATACGCTTACTATAGGTAATCTGATATCTTTCATCTGTCCAGTGGTATCGCATTTCTCATAAAGCGCGGTAAAACACACGTTAACAACACAAAAAAGCCAACATTTCTCATTCTAAAAGATGATTCCATTTTACGAACCGCCCTATCCGAATCCCCCTTACTTCGATGAAATTTGAACACCTGTCAAACCAAAGAACAAAAACGGCGCTCTGATTGGTGCGAGCAACATATATACTACTCTCTATACGCTAACATAGATATTTTTTTTAATTAAAAAAAAAAGCTCAATAACATAGATGTTATTATTTTTTGTTAATAAACAAAATAGCTCGATAACATAGATTTTTTTTAATTAAAAAAAATAACTCAAAAACGTGTAGCAATAAAATAAAGACAAACAAAACTAGTCACCCTAGTAACGATATCGCTCTTCCATGTAGGTCTTCGTTTTAGTTCACTTCTCGGAAAGCAGCGCTTGCTCTCGTAGAGCGATTACTTACGAGTAAGATGCTATAAGCAACCCTTACTCTTGTTGGTAAATTACCAAATGAGACTAGGGGTCAGAGCTCACAGGTGTAATATATTACAACTTCTGTACAGCTTTCTAAGAGAAAATGTAGGAAAGAGAGAGAGTATCACCTTCACGGATGGGTCAATCTTCAAATGTCAGTAAGACTTTTTCCGGGAGGTCTGTCGAACATCAAAGTTCATTTGAAATTCAACTTTTCTTGTGCGATTGCGCTTTACGGACTGGAAGAAAAACGATGTTGCTTCAAGGTTGATTTTTTGTTTGTGAAAAAAATTCGGTTAAAACTTTTGCTGTTAGTCATTTTTTACTTCCGAAAGGGCCCTAAAAACAAGTAGTATCAACCTCAGCGAATGCGAAAAGGCGCATTTTATGATCACTCAAGTATGTCCGCGGGGATTTAGAGTTGTGAAAACTTTTGACGAAGATAGTACTAGGATCGACCTTTTCTAATGTTTATTATAATAGTTTATTCTAACTATTTACTAAAGTGCTTAATAGCCTGTGAACCATTTCTTCCTATAGGTCCTGTAGACTGTTCAGTGGACGGTTATTTTCCCGACCCAGCAAACTGTTCCGGGTTTATTGTATGTTCTGCTGGTGTTGCGTATCCTAGAAGCTGCCCGCCAGGACTGAAATACAACAAGATAAGAAAGTATTGTGATTGGCCTCAAAATGTTCAGTGTTAAGAAGGAATAAAGCTACTACTTCAATGATAAATTTTAAGTGTCTTTTTAGCGCTCATCCTCCTAAGTTTATTTTATTTTCCTGAAAAATTAAAAACTGAAAACAAAAAACTGAAAGAAACCTGAAGACGTTTTCGACGTCTTTAATCCCAGCTAGTGTAAATGACGTTTGTCGCAGATGCGACTGGCATATCGCTTAACTAGTCAATGAATTATCTTCAGCTCCGTCGGTGGAGCATCTAGTAACTAAATCATAATTGACTGGTGTTCGAATCTCCGCTGTAACTCTTCGAGAACTTGTCAAAATCATCGAGAACTTGTCCTGCAAGGTGTATTTGGCGCGCCGTAATCTATCACTTGTAGATTTCTCTTGAGGGAAGAGAGGTCGTACCTGTATTTTTGTGCTTTTTTGTGATTGCCCAAAAATATATCCTTTATAACTTTACTTTACAAAAATTCCCTGATTTTCAAGTCATTTGATGTATTTCATGTGATTCCAACGTTCGAGAATCAATTTTTTCTCGTTGTTTTTGTTCAACGAAGACAAACTGATAGCTGATCTTGCAGAATGAAGAGCAGCTGGCTATAAAAAGGAGCCGGTGTCCTTTGCGATGGTTTCATTTGCGTATTCTAGCGAGTAGGTCACGCAAATTAAAGGCTTCTCACAAGAGTAATCGATGTGTTATTTTCTTGTAGAGAAATCTAAGTATAAAATAAGCAAATCCCTCATTGAAGTCTTTGAGCCAACTAGAAAACATTGATCACTGAAAATTTTTATTCCCCTCGATTGAGAAAATACTCTTAACATCTGACGTCAAATATTGCGAAAGTGAGAATGCTATGTTTTGCAAAATAAGCGAAAATTATTCGTTTTTATTTCTTGTTCCATTTTGTTGTACTTTCGGTTATGGTATATATAAGTTAAGAGTTTTTAATGTATTCTGAACAAGTTTCGTCCTAAGCAGTAAACTCTGATCTGGGCTTATTTTTCGTGCTAATATTTGTTTATTTATTTATTTAAGTTATTTTTTCGGTCCAGCTGTTTCATTACATCTGACTTTTCCTACTGTACTTTTATTGACGATTTTGTGCTTCATTAAAAGTGAGCTTATTTCTCAGGCGCTACAACCATTTGAAACACGATGTACTTGAGATCGAAGGCTTAGATTTTTTTGGTATTCGCACAAACGTCTAGCCTTTCAAATCTCATGAAGCTTCACTTATGGTTAAATTGAAAAATTAAGAACCTCTAGTCCAGCACCTATTTTTATTGCTTAAAAAAAATGTATTTGCTCATTGCCACACTGCATTAAAGATGTTTTGAAAATGTTTTAAATTCCGCAATTAAACGAGGAAAAAGTAACACTCAGTAACCAGTCCTTTTGACGTTAACATTTTGGATTTCTTGCAGCGAGAGCAAGTGTATTTGCTTTTGATTCAATCGAAGAAAAATTCCTTTTAAATATAAAATCATTTCAACACATCAATCACTTAAGATTTTAATAAGAAGAGTAATTTTCGAGAAAGAACCAACGTGATTGATATTTATACAGCTGTCTCATGATTGTCACTTTGTACAGTGGTGGCATAAGTGAAACTAAACATTTTAGCTCAAGTTGACTTTCGTGAGGTACTTAAGAATAAAGATAGAATAAAGTTGGTTGACTAGTTTCTTACGGAGTGCATTCAAGCTAAAGAGGAGTTTTCCAGGATGATTTGTAAAACAGCGCTCCTTGTCTTATTCTGCATCGCTTCCCAAAAGCTTGTAAAAGGACATTCATGGATGAGCTGCCCCAGGTGAGATTACTTAAAAACCGTTTTTCCGCAAATTTGGAATCTCTTAGCGAGAATGACATTCTTTTTAAGAAAGACCGTATATGATAAATATGACTTACACTGTTGCAGGCCTTTTGACACCTACCCAGACAAGGCTGGAGACACGACGGGACCATGCGAAAAATGGTACAAAGGTGAAGATTCATCTGGTTTTAGTAAAAAAAAAAGTTAATTTTTAATTCGCTTAGTTTGATCGCAGAATGAATCAAACCTCTCTCTTTTCCGTCTCAAGGAGCTACAACTGACGTGCTGGCCGGGGATCGCCTTAAGGTTCGTCTACTGACCTTGTTCAGTCTCAGAGAAATTAAAAAGAAACTTATTTTTCTGGGTGGATCAGCTTTCTAGTAATTTTACTAGATTATCTCTGCCACAATTAACCAGGTGCTTTCAAAACAAAATCCATAGTCATTAGAAGGCAACTTTAAAAATTTCAAAAGACTTAAGTTTAAATGACGAATTTTTTCATTTAATCATTGTGTCAACAAAACTAATTTTTCACTCGTTACCTTTGATGTTTTACTATCGGAGCTCTGCTAACTTTTCCATGACCATAGATGAATAATTTGATTTTTTGGCCTCAAATTCAGTTTGGGAGATGATCATAATAGTAATGGTATTAATTATATTAGTTGTAATGGTATTAATAATAGCAATAATGGATATGACCATGAAATAAAACCCAACATGGAAATACTGTTGTACGTTTCCTACAACTTTTTTTTGCCGGATTCAGCCGCCAATAAAGGAATTTCTCTGATTTATTTCGTCTATTACAATTGAAATGTCAAAAGTCACATAACTTCCTCTTTCATGCCTCAAATGAAACAGCAACTCCCACTTTTCTTCCTTTCGTTATTCTTAAGGTTGGGTGGACCTCTAACAATCACGGAGGTGGATATGTGAGACTCGCCTTGGTTCCTGAGAGTCAGAAGGATAGTCATGAAGCTTACTTGAACAACGTACTGAAAGTTGTGTGTTATGGACATGATCAGAGGCCAGGCATGTTCCGCTTTGGTGACTGCAAGCATCCATGCAATGCAAGGCCAGGATGTCAGTACCAATCAGGCAAGTCACTTTGTCGAGATTTTCACAATATAAAGGCAGATGATGCAGTTGATGAATTATATAACTTTGCTCTGAGTACTAGTCGCTAAATGAAAAATTCAACTCTACCAGAGAGAGGCATTAATTGCCTTCAAGGTATATTCAAAAGTTCGAATTCTGGTTTACCATATGTCTGATTGAAGTTTATATTTTATGGCAGACGTACTCGACAATGAGCGATACGATACAACCATTACCATTCCCTTCAACCTTGCTGATGGCATCTACATTCTACAATACAAAACTGCTATAGGCATCGAGCTAAAGCCCTACTACAACTGTGCAAAGCTTCGTGTCACAGGTGGTGATCCCAGTATGGATTGTACCACAGATAAGGCTCCACCTGTTGGACCATGTAGACTGGGTCCACCAGGAGCTGGCCTCCCTCTTTCGAACCTCACCAAAGATGCAAAACTTGGAGACTTCTGTTTCCATCCAGATAAGGTCGGTGCAATTGATGACCGTATAAGGGAAGTGCCAATCAACGTAGATTGTGATCCCAGGATCACTTGTCAGGTGTCTGTGTCTCCAGCTGTTTGCAAGCACGAACTTGGCATGGACAAAATTGCTGTAAGTTGCTTATTGTTATATATGGACTTATGTACCATACATCCATCCACTCCTTCACTCATTCTTATGATCCTAAGCCTGTATCCCTTCTAGAGCATCTATCCATCCAGCCAATTATCCATCCATCTCTCATCTCTTGGTTCACTCTATCGCTGGCTATTTCGTACATTTATTTCCTTTCTCTGTCGGTTTGCTCGTTAGTTTCAAAGTTTTATTTGATTTCATTTAATTTTAATCTTAATCTCTTGATTTGAATAGTTAATTTTTAGCTGTGTATCTTTCTATTTGCAGGATGCTTGGGATCCCAAGCAGCCCAACTGTGGTGTAGTCAAACCGCCCCCTCCACCTACTTGTGACGACGGGGTACAAAACCAGGGAGAACATGCAATCGATTGCGGCGGTCCGAATTGTAAAGCCTGTCCAGATGTCGCTGATACCGGTTACGAGGAGTACATAACACTTTCAATTTCTTCGTGACAGCATTGAAAATGATCAACAGTTTCATTGGTGTCTAGCTCTCTTAAGCAAAATGAATATCACATCACCATTGTAATTTCCACGTTTGTTTACCTGTGCAACAACAAAAAAATCAACCGATACCACAATTTTCGAATAGTGCCGGTATTCTTTTGAGTGTGGGGTCTTGTAATTTTTATGGCAAGGGAGGACAGTTTAACTTGCCAAAGGAGAGTGCAATATACTTACCTGATTGGTGAACAGTGAAAATCTTGAGTTTCCCTCCGCAGCCGATAAAAATGCCATTTTACAACCGGAAGATTCAATCACTGTACCGTTTTGTTTTGTTTTGTTTTAGGTACATCGAACATATAATCGACAATGAATGGTGCTCGGGATACGTAGTCACAGTCCTCGCGAAGATTAAGAGGTTTATGAATGGAAACTGGCAGGTGACGATCTTCTACGATTACCCACTGGAGATTGTGTCGCACTGGAACGCCGTGCTCGTCTCCCACAACAAATTTAGTAAGTAGCAATCTAGGGGTGTTTTTTATTTCTTTGATTTGTCGAATATTCATTTTAAGATTAATGATATCGAGTTTATTTAATGATCTTTTATTTAACGAGGACTTTAAGTTATTTCAACCAAGATCACATCACCAGCTCTTAAACTGTTGGAATTATTCTCGAGGAATCTCGGCAAAAGTGTTCGTTTAGCTCAAGATAGCTTATCAGTCCTCTTTCAATAAGCTTGCACCTCCAGTAATACATCAATAGGGCTGCCAGCAATTTCCATAGAAATGTAATAGTACCCATGAAATACTCGAGTTGATTATCACAGGAGGTCACTGGAATTATAGACCAAGTGACATTAACGCTGGCTCTCCTTTTAAGAGCAAACTTTTCTTCCATAGAGACAATCTACTCGTTTCAAGGATTTGCGTGGAACCAGTATCTGCAGAACGGAGATTTTATTGAGTTCGCTTTCGAAGGACATTTTACTGAGCAGAGGTCAACACCAAAAACTCTCCTACTGGAATGCTACCAGTGCCAGTCTTCCCCAAGTAGCCTAAGGGCATTCGCATTGAAACCGAAGACTTGCGAGGTGGGTTGCGTTGCAAGTCATGCTATAGAATAGGTCGGCGTCATGTCATTATCATAGGGTCAACTTGGCGTATCTAATTTTGACGTGAAGGAACTCGCAAAAATCATGCAAGCTTCAATCATGCAAGTGTCAATGATTCTTTTCCTAAATGGGTCTCCTCATTTAAATTTGTATTACCTTATTTAACAGCGTAAATAAATCTAGGGTCGATCACAGAAATACTCACTGTTTCAATGCTTGTCCTTCTGTTTTGTTTTGTTTTTGTGTGTTCTTTTTTTTCAGTCCTTCGATCGCCCCTCAGGTTTCCAATGTCAGGAAAGGCGAAAATCTCTATGTTTTGTTTTTGTGTGTTCTTTTTTTTCAGTCCTTGGATTGCCCCTCAGGTTTCCAATGTGAGGAAAGGCGAAAATCTCCATGCACGGAATATCCGTGCACCCAAGCACGCTGTATTCCTTCTTCATTGAAGTGTATGTCACTTATTCATATTTGATGAATATTTGTGATCCCCGTATATTTTATTGTTCATAACTTTTTAAAATTGGATTTGTTCTTAGCAATGCTATAAAGGAGCGGTATACTTGAACGTACAAGTAATCCATTCACTAGCACGTTGTTTAATTCCGCCATTGCTGATCCAAAAATTGGGAAGGCAAATAAACTTAGCTAAAAATCACCCAGATGACCATTGCCTTGTCCGTCGCTCAGTATTAGAGCATCGGTGCGCTATTATTTGACTCCGAACACAACCCATGCCACCTTTTTTTATTCTTATCAATCCAATCAAATTGATCAAAATAATGTAGGTTTCTACGAAGAGAACTTTCGATGATGAGTAAGTTTGCTAGATTTGAGATTTATTAGCCCCTAACTGCAGGACAAAACTAAAAAAAGAGTAACATTGGAGAGCTTTAAACATTTAGAGTTCGATTCCTCACCTCAAGACAAAGGTTCCGCAATGCAACATTTCTAATATAAGTCCATGATTCTTGGAGAGCTTCCAGTCTGGCTCATCACACCCTTGGCCCCTCCATCAATCTATTTCGCCATAATTTAAGTCAGCAATGATATGGAGAACTGAAAAGTTGATCCTTCTTTCTTTCAGGAACCCCCATTTGAGGGAGGAAAGCTTCGAATTCATATTTAACTTGGGATTAAAGGGAAAATAATAAAGAAAAACTGTTTGAATAATGACTGATGTTGTGCTTTTATTTATATAGTTCTTGAGGTTGGTGCACTAAAACGTGCAGAAGTCAGGTGCCTTGTGCTGCTCATTTATTGCACAATCATTGAAAATATTTTGAGCTTTTTTAATACTTGAACCAAAATAAATATGAAAATAGTATATTTTGCAAACTGCAGCGTGAGGATGCGTACGTTCAAAAGATTTAGATTTTTTTTTATTTTATCACGGACTAAAAAAAGGAACACATTTTAACTCCTGAGCGTAGTATGGCATGTCGTGAAATCAAAGTTTAAACTAGATGGCTTGTGCTTGTTCAAGCTAGCCATACATTTAGCCTTCTACCTCTCCCCTTGGGAGTTTGATCGTTAATTATATTTACTCTGTGTCGATGTATGCCCTATGAAGCAAATAACTTACGCATGTAAGTCAAGCTAACGAAGTAACTCTCTTCGTGGCCGAAAACTTATATCAACTTCTTTATCACTCATCGAGCAAGAGTATCGCTACCCCTTCTGATCCACTGCAACTGCCTGCTGAAAACAACTCGTTAGCAAGTTTCCCTAGCTTTACACTGGTGCCCAAAAATAACGTCATCGAATACGTCACGAGTTCCTGAGGCGTAGTGAGTTTAAAAATTCATTCTGCCTTTAAGAGTCAATAAATAGAGAAAAAAGAGAGAGAACTTATATATGTTATTCGTCAGCCGGGAGGTCTGTATCGGGAAAACTGTGCCCGACGTCTTGAGTACATATTTTTGTTAAATTTCAATCGATGAATACATCTAAACCATGCTGACATGAGAGTTCCATTGCAAACAAGTAAATAAGATGAATCATGGTGGGAGCTTCTCACCGGTTGTTTCATTTTTCATTTGAGCTATGAGAAATAAGCTTGAACATTCTCGGTTGGTCACAATCTAAGTGATTGAGAACCGTACTGGCTTGGGTGTCTTTGTTCCCATGACTTCCATTGTTGAGCTGAGCATTTATCACTTAGCCTTTGTAAAAGATGTAAAAAAAAATCAATAACGTCAGAGAAGCCTTTAATCATCGTGAGACGAAAGGTTTGAATTAAACGGAAAATTGTTGCTTGATCATCACAATTACAATCTGCATTGTGCCTGTATTTGGTATTAGCTTTCTCTTTTTTGGTGTCAAGGTTTTACAACAAAGGAAATTTGTTACATATAAGCTCTCTTACGTTTTTTCTATAATTTAGATAATTCAATAGGTGACTTTGTTTTCTCATTAGATCCGGTCGAACTAATCTGATAATGATAAAGTCGATATTGGTTCCAAATCTTTTCATCACAAATGAATAAAAACCACAGATGATATTGGCTCTTCTTTGCACGGGTGGTTTTCGCATCACGTTTTGAGGAATCGATAGTGATCATAACATTTTGCATGTACTTAATGATTGCACTGCAAGAAGAAAACTTTGGATAGTACAACACTCAAACAGTTCTCCAGTGAAAATTTGCAGGTGGGTACCCATTTGGCATGATTGCTAAATGATCGTTTAAAAAACTTTCTGAGTGCATTCGTCTTACCTTTTACACAAAGACCCCGTGGCCAACACAAATATTCTAGGCAGCAGCAGATTTATTTAATTGTCTACCAGCTTTTTATGACCGAATTCGAACATGAAAATTTTTGATAAATCTTACAAGATATGGGGCGATGTTCAATAAAAGGAACAAATTCAAAAGGGACGAGGAGAAACGTGCCTTAAGAAGTGTTTGGTTGTTACACTTTACCTAGGAAACCACCACAAACAGTAATTACTGAACGAGTGATTTTAGCGGGGAAGACATTTCTCCTAAATAAAAACAAATGCGTCAGCTAACAGGATTTTAACTTGTTATCTCGTTATTCTGGTGCAATTTGCGATTATGCTCTCTCTCCTTTCTCCCTTTTAAAATGAAAAAAAAATGTGCGCTCTCTTGTGAGTCATCACACACGGGTTACAACATTGCATGTCTGACTTCTGGTGAAATTTTGAACTCGGATTCGTCATGGTAACTCTCGATATAAATGTAGGCAGTGATTTTCAGCTGCTATAATTTACTATCTCCAACTCCTTGTTCAAGTTAGAGAAGGCGGGAATCTCCGACTCTTTGTTCAAGTTAGAGAAGACGGGAATATAGAGGCTAAAAGCATGCAAGGGAAGAAATTTGTCTTTTAGGGTTCGGTAAGAGCATCTCTTGACAAATGACTCGATGGGTGACGGATGAAAACAGGAAATCATGAATGAAACCTAGTACAGGTGATTTAATGTTGAGTTCACTGGAATATGGCCGGAAGCGACTAGTGAAACATTTTTAAAATATGAATTGCAGAACTAGTATAGTGCTGCCACAATCAAGGAATCATTTGAGGTCCATTGGAAAATCGAGGCAACAACGACTTTTATTGCCGAAAAGTTCTAAAAGTGTCTAATTACAGGCACACTTTTCAGTGACTGGAATTGTCACCCTGAAACAGCGCTTTTATTTCATAAACTTTATTTCCCTTCCCAAAGACCTAGAAATCTGAAGTTCCGCCGGTTCTCTAACGCCTATCAATATTGCCTGCGTGACTCCAAAAACCGCATATGTCCTCGATCAATTGTGATTGGGCTTTTTCATGGCCTGACGCATGCATTAGAGAGGGGGAAGGGTGGGGGTGGAAGGTAAGGATTTCTTTAGCTACATAATTCAGAAAGTTTCCTTTTGAAACACTCCATCGGCGACGAACGCGTTCCATTTGACAACAGTTCCAGTCGTTGTAATCTTCCTTCTCTCATCACTATTAATTACTAATGGTGCCTGTCTCTATAACCGGGCGTAAATACACATAAGTACCAGTACAGTAACAGCAAGTATTTGGAACACCTGACGAATCTCTGGGATTAAACCTCAATGAAATAACACCCCTTCCAGCGAAACAAGTAATGATTTGAATATTATTTTGGCTTTCAAGATTCTGGAATGTGACTGATTAATTTACAGGTAAAGGAAGATTGACATGAACGCCGAGTCATCGAAAAAGCGGAATCACAGTCCCATGGAGAGAGCAAACATATTTTCTCTTTTATTTTTCTGGTGGATGAATGACACCTTGAAACTCGGCAACCAACGCCCCTTGCAAGACGAAGATCTGCTTTCCCTTCAAGAAGAATTCAAAACAGAGGCACTTGTTAACAAGCTTGAAGCAGAATGGCTTCAAGAATCAGCCATCTGCACTCGCAAAAATAAACAACCTCGTCTATGGAGGGTCGCGTTTAATATGTTCTCCTTCAAGAAATACCTGATGTTGGTGGCTGTCAAACTAACGCACTCTTTATCCAGTATCCTAACTCCCATAATGGTTTGGCTTTTCCTCTCCAGTTTATCAGAAAATGCGGATGTGAATAAAAGTTCTTCTATACTTCATGTTGTTGCCATCTCGTTTCTTACAGTTGTCAAGGGAATGACGCATCACCATTCATTTTTCTTAGCTGGAATATCCGCTCTGCAGCTGAAGGTTTCTGCTATCGGATTAATCTACAAGAAGGTATGAATTTCAATTTAATCTGAGGAAATTTTTTAGAGGATTATAACAAAAGCTCTCACAATCTCTATGGTTCAAAGTGTCCCACTCATGACACGAACAAAAGGTCAATAGAAACCGTCTGTCAGACTTATATTAAATGTCTTTGACCGCTCTGCTTATAGCAGAAAACCTAGAGAGACGAGCCAAGACGTCCACACTTTCCATTTCCGACTTTAGTCACTGTAGCATTACTGCACTTATAGCATATATTGTAGTACTTATCATAGCGTTTTCTTATCCTGTTGCAAAGAGGAGTTAGCATAACAAAACTTGGAAATGTTTCATTTAAAAAAGGGGAAACACCCATTACTTTTTACCTCTTACAGATTCTTAAGTCAAATCGACGTTCTTTGAATGAAATCGCATCTGGTCAAACGATCAACTTGGTCTCAAATGATGCCAATCGATTACAGGACGCTGTTTGGAGCATGCTGTTTTTCATGTTTGCCCCGATAGAAATTCTATCATCTGGGATACTTCTTTGGTTTTTAATTGGATGGCAGGCCCTCGTGGGAGCAGGTTTTTTCTTGATAGTGATTATATACATATCTGTGCTTTCCAAGAAAGCGGGCCGTCTAAGAGAAAATGCTGCATCCGTGACGGATAGACGTCTTGAGATTTTGAACGAGGTCATAACCGGTATTCGTTCAATTAAAATTCACGCTTGGGAATGGAACTTCAGAGATCTAATCAGGGACTTGAGAATGTAAGTATAAGTATTTTTCAAAGCGAACAATCGTCAAAAATAGGAAACAGTCAGTAACAACAACTTCTTCTTCTGCCATAACCAAAGTAATTCAGCCCGTCGTACAGTGCAACTAACAACAGTTTTGCCTCTCTTCTCACCTCTTAATCATGCGCTAATTTTACGCTTTAATCAGTTATAAAACGATTTTGAGCAGGGAAAGATAAATTGGCTTTCTTTTTACTTTTGTCCACTACAATCGACTTAGGACTCTTACGGCAGATCTTGATAGTACTTATAGCCTCAGTATTTCTCATAGAAAAAAATAATAATTTCAAATATTCTCCATTTTTTTTCAGAAAGGAGATCGGTATTATTCGTTGGAGAGGCGCCATTCTTTCAAGTTTTGATTCCTTGTACTTTACCAATACCCCTATTGCTGGGTTCATCTCCATCACAACACTACTTCTTACCAACAACCACCTGACAGCCTTTCAAATTTTCACGTTGATGTCAACTTTGAATGTTATAAAGTTCTCTGTTTCTGTTTCCATGGGGGAAACACTTCATTTGTTAGCTGACGCTAAAGTGTCTTTTGACAGGATACAGAAATTCCTAGAAGTAAATTCCTTTCCCGGCCTTGGTGAGGATGACATCAAATTGAAGTTAAATGGCAGTCCTACGTTTGATCGTAAACACTTTGAGGCAGTTAATGTCCCTTTTGATAAGTTCACAAGCTTATTCACTATTCCCGAGAAAGAGCATATTGAAAAAGCATACTTAAAAAGATCTCAAACAGAATCCTGGATCTCGTTAAAAAACATCTCTTGCAGCTGGAATCAGGAAGATAAATCAGATACATTGCATAATGTCTCGGTCAATATTTTCAAAAATCAATTCATCACCATCACAGGTCCAGTAGGTTGTGGGAAATCTTCTTTCCTGCAAGCAATACTGGGTGAACTACCTTGCAAAAGTGGCGAGATTCGGCATTCTGGAAGCATTGCATACGTACCTCAACTTCCGTGTCTTTTCTCGGGGACGATACAAGATAACATTACATTTGGCAAACCCCTTGATGAGATAAGATATCGAGAAATTATTGAAGCGTGCAGTTTGCACGAGGACCTCCAACAGTTCTCTAAAGGTGACTTGACACACATTGGGCAACGCGGAGTAAGTCTTAGTGGAGGACAGAGCTCGCGTATTTGTTTGGCCCGTGCGTTGTATGCGGACAGAGACATCTACTTGCTTGATGATCCTCTTAGTGCCGTTGATGCCCAAGTGGGAAAGCACCTTTTCAGAAAGTGCGTTCGTGGCTTGCTCTCTGAAAAAATCTGTGTTTTGGTGACCCACCAACATCAGTTTTTGGAAAGTAATGATGAAATCATTGTCATGGAACGAGGAAGCATTGAGTGCCAAGGAAAGTACTATGACCTGCTACATAACAAAATGTTGTCCAAGAATACATTTGCTGGGAAAAGATATCAGAGAAAAGAGTCTTTAAAAAGTTCAGTTCCTCTGCGCAGGCGTCGAACAGAAACGTCACTTGGTCTCCCTACTATGGAAGAGGTTAAAGATGATTTAAACGAGGAGGGAGAGGACAGAATGATAGGAAAAGTATCGTGGACTCTTTATTGGAAATATTTCCGATCTGCTCTTCCAGCCGCGCTGCTGATGTGTCTCTTCGTTCTTGTATTGTTTGTTCAAGGTAATGCTTATACAGTTTTTTGCGCTTGTGTTTTCTACTTAGCTGTATTAGGTCAATTTATTGTCAGAAATTCGGGATATGTTTCTATTCAATGGGACAAGTTTTTTTAATGGTTTGAGGAAAAGCTGGCAATTTTTCGATGGAGATATTTAGCCTCTCATTTCTGTTAAGTGTTTGTTTATAGATACTGTATTTCAATCGTTTGTATGCTTGCTTGCTTACGTACGCACGACTGCCTGGCTGGTTGGCCGGTCGGTCCGCTGCTTGATTGATTTTTAGATGAATCAATTCATGAACCTTTCTTTTGCAGTTGTTTTGATATCTCCATACTGGTGGTTGTCCCGAATTGCCAATATGTCTGATGCGGACCAGCAAAGAGACCTCGCTACACTTGGCATTTACGGATCATTAGTAATCGGCGCCCTTATTTTGTCCACCATGATTTATTTTTTATTCCTCTCAACCCTTTTGCGAGCATCAGAGAAGCTTCATGACAAGATGTTCACAGCAATCATTAAGGCTCCAGTTGTTTTTTTCGACACCAACCCAGTTGGGCGCATCCTCAACCGCTTCTCTAAGGACGTTGGTTGCATGGACGACACACTGCCCCCACAGTTCCTTCTGGCAGTCCAGCTGTGCTTGTTTTCCTTGGGTGCCATTTTACTGCCTGCAGCAACTAATTACTGGTTGGTTATTGGCATTGCCCCCTTGATACTACTCTTCTTTTACTACGCAAGATATTATTTGAAAACATCAAGAGAGCTAAAGCGGTTAGAGGCCATAAAATGCAGTCCAGTATATTCACACATATCAGATACAATTGCTGGCTTGGAAGTGATACGATCTTCTGACATGGAGGAAAGTTTCCTGCAGGATCTATACAGGCAAGTCTGAGTAGTTCTTTTATATGGCATTGACCAAAAATGAATATTACGCCATTTACAATCCCAGGTAAGTAATATCACGGTGAATTATCATATCTACCTTTGGCTTCAATCAATAAATTTATAGCCTTCTTTAGTATTTAGTAATTCAAGAAAACAAGTGAAGCACCTTTCCCTTTAAAGTTGCATGTTCATAGGATTTTAGGGTCACCAATTTCATTTTATTTATACAACAAAAAGAGTGGGCACTTTAACATTAGGCGAGTCCAGAGCTCCTTGATGAATAGAAAGGGTATCAGTTAAATATTGCTAATAATTGAATTTATAAATGAAAATATCTATTATTTCTACTGCGATTTAATGTAGCTTTGAAAACTTTTTTAGATACCAAGATCAAAACACGCCTGCGGCTATAATGGTTTTAGGGTGTGGCAAGTGGTTGGGCGTCCGTTTAGAATTACTTTGTAGTTTGCTCGTCACACTGGTAGCGGCAGGAGCTGTTCTAGCAACACAAATACCTGGTATTGTATACACAAATAATCCATTTATCCGGTGTCATTGACTTAAAGCGAACCTACAGCTAGACTGATGCTACTATTTCTAATAGCCCTTGCAGGAATGTCACTAATTTACGCATTAGAAACCTTGGATGCGGCTCAATTTGGTGTGCAGTTGACGTCAGAGACAGAGAACCTCATGACATCGGTTGAGAGAGTGGCAACATTCACTCAAATAGCTTCAGAACCCGGATATTCCACCCAAAACGAACGTCCACATTCATGGCCGACGAAAGGAAACATAAGTTTCAAAGACTTGTCCTTAAGATATACTGAAGGAAGTCATCGTGTCTTGAAGGATATTACTGTTGATATCAAGGATAAAGAGAAGGTTGGTTTGGTGGGGAGAACTGGATCAGGAAAGTCTTCCGTAGTAGCAGCTCTGTTCAGGATGCCCGAACCAGATGGCATGGTAAGTCTTCAAATGTAAATTCAGATTAAACGCGATTATTGCTCGGGGCCTAAGAATTATCAAATGCAAGTCGGTCTTTGGATTTCACTGGATAAATTCAGACTGTAAAATACGTTTAAGTATAAATATGATAAGTCGAGGTGGAGATACAGTAAAAGTTCACTTCGAACAGCATTACGACAGTACTACATGATGCAGTAGTAAATTGATATTTAACAAAATCATCGGATATATCTCAATAAATATTTGGGTTTTTTTAAGGTAATGGTCGATGGAATAGATCTGGAAACATTAAATATTCAAGATGCTAGGCGAACATTTTCAGTGATAACTCAAGATCCTATTCTATTTGCGGGAAGCATAAGAGGCAACATGGATCCTTTCACGAAACTCGAAGACTATGAGATATGGAACGCTCTGGAAGATGTTCAAATAAAGCAATGGGTACAGCTGTTACCTGGACAACTGCAATACAGACTTACAGAATCTGGAAGCAACCTGAGTGCTGGAGAGAGGCAGCTGCTGTGTCTCGCGCGTGTCCTATTACAAAAGAATAAAATCGTTATCCTCGATGAAGTAGCTGCTAATGTAGACTTTAAGACAGATCGTTTGATTCAAGAAGTCATACGAACCAAATTGAAAGACGTCACAGTGTTGACCATTGCCCATAGGCTAGAGACAATTATCGACTATGACCAGGTAATGGTCATTGATCAAGGCCGGGTGATTGAGTTTGATAAACCTGGTGCGCTTTTGAACAACAGAGGAAGCTACTTTGCTGAGTTAATGAAAAGCTATAACGGAACTGTTGCTTCATAAAGGTCTGACTGTATTGAAAGTCCAGATTATTTAGTGTCACTTTAGGTCGAAGAACGTCCGATGGTAACTTTTGCGCTTTCTAAGTGGGTGGAGAGGGTATGGCTTAAATAACAACCGTCTTGTCCGGCAATTTTTTCGATAAAGTGCCTGTTGTAAATGAGGCGTTAGTTTCTACTGAAATAATATCTTATGTGAAGTTATTTAGAGGAACACAACAAATTATTTCAATTTGGCCGATTTGCCGGCCAATTGGCCGTTGTTGATAAGAATAAACACAACGCTGCTCGCGTCAACTGTTCTGCAATGCATTTACCAGCTCTCAAACATGGATGACGTCAATATTATAGTAAAAAATAAATCGAAAGTGGTTTAGACCGGTTTGCACTCTTATCGACAACGACATTCGTAATCGCAGTGGTTAAAATTTTTTGTGGACTCACTGAGCTGCGTCTCGTGAGTCCACAACATTTCGACCACTGTTATGACGAATGTCGTTGTCTGTAAGAGTACAGACCAAGATAAACCACTTTCGATTCGCTACTTTCCTGGTGCGATAATTTATCAGGATTTTTGAGACTAGATGGTATTTCTGTTACTTTTTGAGCTGAGGAAAGAAGCTTATGCCTCCCATCCTTTTATTTAATGTAACCCAGACATCTTATATTCATGATATGGACTCGTTCAGCGATTGGGGTAGAAGCGCGGGCTCATTATCCACGTGCACCGTGGCTAAAGGCGGTATCAACGAGATTTATTCGTCATTCGTGTTTGCGTTTTAGATTTTTTACTATTATTGTTTTTACAAATACTCCCGTCCGTACGTCAAGCCATTGTATAACGGATACACCACACATGTGTATGTTCGGCGTCCAGTCTTTCATTCCGCTGACAACAAACCAACTGACTCTGGGCTCTAAACTTTTCTCTATGCAAATTTAAGCTTGACGCGCTGGACTGGATCTGGTGTCAGAACGAGGTCAGTTGAACCGCCATTTTGCCGTGCTGAATGCCTTTGTTTATTTCTGCCAGCTTGCCGTCCGGTGTATTTTGGTTTTGAATTTTGGCCTTCGCCATGGCCATGATCGCTACTGCAACAGGTGTTTCAACGAAAAGGAAAGAAATATACAAATATGATGCGCCATGGACGATTTATGGCATGAATTGGAGTGTTAGACCAGACAAGCGTTTTAGGCTTGCTCTGGGAAGCTTCGTTGAGGAATACAACAACAAAGTGAGCTTGCGATCGATAAGTGTCTGTTTTTAGAGTTTCTTCTCAACTGATCAATTTATTCATTTCTTTGCTAGGTTCAAATAATTTACCTTGACGAAGAGACGGCGGAATTTGTAGTTCGAGCGACTTTTGACCATCCATACCCGACAACGAAAATCATTTGGATACCCGATAGTGTAAGATAGAAATCTACCGTTTGGTTTCGGTTATCTTTTATCGTCCTATCGCTGAAGATTTTAGTAGGTGCTTAGCTGGTGGTATTGAATCGATGCATTGTTAGTTCGTGCGCAAGATTTTCTTGTTAAATTTACGGATAAAAGTTGTTGCTTCGCCGAAGCACAGCTGGCATGCAGCTTGGCTAGGTGAATTTAGATGATCGCGATGAATACTCAACCATTTGCCAGTTTTTAATTGCTTCACGTTTCGCATCCAAAATTCATTACCACTACGCTTTCAATTCAGATGATTGCGCACATCATCGAGTTCTTTGTTCTTTCAAGTCATCAACGAATTAACACCTTTGCCTCTTGGATACTGGTGTTAAAACGTTTTTAAAAATTGAGTGAAAAGCAAGGAAGAATTTGTTCCTTATTTTGTTTGGTGTGTAGTACACCCATGCGATCACTGTGGTCTGTCTCCCATGTATTTTTATGCTAATCTTGTCATTATTGAAAAGTCCAAAAGTCGTATCTGACTCTACATGTATCCTATACCTTCAGATATTGATATAAATGTTTATAAATAAGCTGTTAATGACTTTCTTCAACAGGTGGAGACAGATCACTGTGCTTAACAGGCATGGTTAGATCTATGAATGGCTACCCTATTGCTTTCCATGATGGTTATACACAGATGCATTACATTTTCCTGAGTTTTTTTTTTTGCAATGTTTTATCCACTATCATGCATACTCTTCCAACTACACATTTCCTACTGATGTGATGGGAAAAGTCTGCTTTAACAGTCTTGATCTGAAATGAGTTGTACCCTTTCCAAACTAGTCTGATTGTATTTTTCTTTATTTCAGTTGTAATTTTCTTGGAATTTAAGCTATGTAAATATAAATTAATTATAATTATAAGTCTTTCAAAATTCAACACACATGTTAAGCCATTAGGGAATAACAATCTTCTCTACATCATTAAACAATGCATGACAATGTATCATATATCTTTGTACAACAGAAGGGTGGCTATCCTGATTTAGTTGCAACATCTGGAGACTATCTTAGAGTATGGAGGGTCAGTGACTCTGAAGTGCGTCTGGAATGTCTTCTGAATAATGTAAGAATTCTGAGTTTTTTATGTTATCAAATTGACAAAGTTTTGTTTGAGTTGTATACTGGTGGTCATTGGTCATTGCAAACATGTAAGTGTTCTTTAGAAGTACTAAACAGGCCACATTTTTGCTGGTTTGTCATTTCTGAAGTGTTGAACTCCTGAATTAGACAACGCACCAAAGTTTAATACCTGTCTGGATCTGTCAAGAAGTTTTAACCTTTCCTAGCTAGTGAACAGTTTGTATAAAGACAGATGCTAAAGAATGATTGTGAGTCTGATACAAGGAAGGAAAAAAAACAACAACATGCGGATTATTGTGATAAAGTGTTTTGTGTATTTGATGCATCTTGCTTTGTTTTCATTGGCTAAGAGCCCACCATAACTATCCATATGTACTGCACCATCTACTTTAGCTACACTAACATTCTGCTCATGCACATTATGTTCATGCTCTTCCTTGGAAAATGGCTGATTGCTTCCTAAAGCTGTCAAAGAGAAATTCCAGAAAGCGTTCAGGAAAATGAATTGGATAGCCAAATAATAATGCAAATATTAAACTTGGCTATGGCTAATTATTATACATTAGACAAACTCTGATTGGTTGGGAGCATACAGTCAATGTACAATAGTGTGTGAAGTTGACATGATAACCCAATATCTGCACCAAATATTGGGTTGTTATGTCGAGTTCAGACTGCCCAGTTTCCAAGCCCATCATCCATTAAATGTTCTCAAACGTTTGCAGACTTAGAGTGAAGTGTCTTCTTTTGCAGAATTGTTTGAAGAATGTATAATTAAACACTTATTAGTTTTCTCACAATATCATGAATTATCCAACCTCGTGTCTGTGCTTTCTGCATCATGCTCAACCTCACTTATTAATTGTGCAATATTATGGTTACTTTGTCTCTTGGAGACCAAGATAAATATTTACCTCAGTCTCAACTTTACTTCAATACTGCTAACTGATTTCTTTTCTGATGACAGAGCATGATATTTTGCATAACCTTGTGCAATGGTTGCTTATCATTTGTTATGCTACATGTATACTTTATATACAGAATAAGAACTCTGATTTTTGTGCTCCACTGACATCTTTTGACTGGAATGAGGTGGATCCAAATCTATTGGGGACATCAAGTATTGATACAACATGTACCATATGGGGACTGGAGGTATGGCAGTGGCTTACCTGTATATGCAAAATCTGACTGACGTTGTTAGGTAATAATGCTAATTTGCGACTCTGATGATGACTTCCACCAGGGCTGTTTAATTGTTAGTCATGACTAAAGATAACAGCCCTCCTCAGGACTACCCTCATATGGACAATCAGAATACAAGTACACAATCAAGTGATACCTCAAGGTCTAAACCATTTACTGTAATGTTGCATTGTAAATGGAAATGACTTAACTGTAAAATGTTATCAGGATTTTTTAATGTATGACTTGTATAGAAGAAAGATGGGTCACACTCAAGTCTCTTCTTGATTTGCACAGATGTATGTTGTAATGATTTGAGTCATTTTACTCAGCAAGGCATTTTGTGTGTTTTGAATGTCAGTTTTGACCTGTTTTTCTGCTGGTTTTTTATAGACAGGTCAAGTTATTGGAAGGGTGAACATGGTGTCAGGACATGTCAAGACTCAACTTATTGCACACGATAAAGAGGTAGGATGATTATGTTAAGAAGCAAAGATCCTAAGCAAGGAACACATTTGTTATGATTTTGCCTTGTTGAAAGGGAAGTTATATTAAATTGGTGTCATCCTTTTTTTTTAACAAGAGCAGAAAAGAAATTCAGCCCTGCCATCTAGTGAAGTTCTGTGAGAAATTCTGATCTTGGTAACTGAGTTGAAATACATGTAACATCTTCTTTTTCATTCTGTAGGTGTATGATATTGCTTTTAGTCGTGCTGGTGGTGGAAGGGACATGTTTGCTTCTGTTGGAGCTGATGGTTCAGTCAGGATGTTTGATCTTAGGTGTGTGTTTTTTGTTTTCTTAGTTGACTTATAGAATGGTATATGCTGCCTTGTTTTGATTGCAACTGTCATTGTATGATGTATACAGGGTACATGTACTGTATGTCATGTCGTGGAGGAACATTAAATATCACAAGAAGTTTTGTTTTGGAAAAAAATGATCATTTTTGTACTTTGAATTATTCCTAACCTACCTTGTGGATACAATGTGAGTTTCATGAGTGAAAGACACCAATATATATATATATTTTTTCACCTCTTAACCCTTAAACACCCATGAATGACCAAGACAGAATTTCTCCTTTCAATATCAACACAATGTCAACCAGATAAGTGATGAGAATAAAGAAAAATATCAGTTTGGGGATAATTAGTTGATCCAATACTAAATTCTCCAAACTGATGTTATAAGAATTGCGTGGTTGACATTGAGGAGAATGACAAATTTTATCAGGGAGTTAAAGGGTTAATATTCCTTAATTTCAGTTTTTAAATGTAGATTATAGGACTGGTATATGTATGATGCATTTTATGCATGAATACTCAAAATAGTAATCACCTACTGCTTACTGCAGAGTTCTCTGTAGCTCTATAGAAGCATTAAAACATGTAATCCAAAGATCCTTTGTTTGATTCCTTATAGGAACTCTTTGTCCCATTCTCATTACAGGATGAAAAATATATAATTATTTTTATTTCTTTGGTACATGTTAAATATTCAGATTATACAATAAAGTTTTGTAACAAACCTGATTTTCTTACAGGCACCTAGAACACTCTACAATAATCTATGAAGATCCACAACACAGTCCGTTGTTAAGATTATCATGGAACAAACAGGATCCTAACTATTTAGCAACTTTCTCTTTGGATGCAATGGAGGTTTGTTGACAGTGTATAGTCTGTAAATAAAAAGGAAGTTATAGTAAATGAATAATTACCCTCAGGTAATGTGTGCTTGAATCAGCTGCACTTGCATTACTGTAGCATTTCTTTTGTTTTTGTGTACCCATGTTGTGATGATACATCCTTGTTCAAGAGGCTCAGAAAGGACTGTTGTCAGTAGTAGTGACAGCTGCTTAATGATGTGGCTATGAAGCAGCAGGCCCAGGTTGTTCAAAGCTGGGTTAAGATAACCCAGGGTTAGTTTGATATCCAATTTCAGATCAGAAAGCTTAAAAGAAAATTCAGTATATTTTTTGTCTACAATTTGGTAATTGGATGCTCTAAATAGAATAGAGAAAATTATCCCATAAAGGCTTTTGAACAAAGGAGTAAAGAAAACCACTTTAAAATTTAACCTAGACTATTTGCACTGATCAGCCTTTGAACAACTGGGCTCTGAGAGCTCTAATTTTTTTACACACTTAAACTGTTAACTCATAGAAATGTCTGGTAAATTGTACTTACAATGTAGGTATGTAGTATTTTGGGCATATAGAAAAACTTTTGAGTGAATTTCATAGACCAAAGAAAATATCTCTTTGCATCTTTTTACACAATTACTACCAGTAGTAGAATATATTCTCCAGAATTCTAAAATGTCATAGCTCCATGAATCTTACTTTTGATACTGACTATCATCTGTCCCAGGTGATAATATTAGATGTTAGAGTACCATGCACACCAGTGGCAAGGTTAAACAACCACAGAGCCTGTGTAAATGGCATTGCATGGGCTCCACATTCATCTTGTCATATCTGTACAGCAGGTTAGTTTCTGGCTTTGATGTCTTGCTGATGTTTTTTACATGTGCCATAAAATTAAATGCAATAAAGAAATGTTTAACTGATAAACACCATCTTGTGTGGTGACACTGATGAAGTGTAGCTTTTACTGTCAGGGAACAGGCAGGAAAAGCAAAACAATTATGTCCAAGGAAACATTGGGAGACCTTTTTGTGATCTTAGGTGACCGTTTGGCAGACTCTTTTACAGGCAGATGGGCTGACTGACTGTCTGATGAACTGATTGATTTTCTGTCTGTCTGCCTGCCTGCCTGCCTGTCTGCCATGACTGAGAACCATTTGCTGGCAGTTACTAGTTGGCTATATGATATGAACTGTATACATGTATAAATTCCATATTATTGGTTTGATAGCTTGTTTGAATCTTTCCTGAAGGTGACGACCACCAAGCCTTGATCTGGGACATTCAACAGATGCCACGAGCCATTGAGGATCCCATTTTAGCTTACACTGCAGACGGAGAGATTAATCAGATTCAGTGGGCGAGCACACAGCCAGACTGGATTGGCATCTGCTACAACAACAACTTGGAGATTCTAAGAGTATAATAATGTAGAAGGAACTTACCTGTATTGAGGATGGAAGTTTGGTATCCCTGTTCATTCATGGATATGGTCTTGGGAATTGAGATGTCTGTCCATTTCTGGGACAAGTTGTAAGTGTCTCTTGCAGGTCTCTTGTGCCCATATTTTCTTATACAATGTTTTACTTTGTTGAGACATACAGAATTTGCAAAACTAGGATGCTTGATGGTGGAGTCTTCTGGTGCCAGTGAGGATAGTCTGGACATAACTACTGTTGGTGACAGAGAAGGGTACTTTGACAACCTGAGAGAAATTTATCATCAATTGACTTTAGTGATGACTTCCTTTCAGAGTTTTTAAGCAGCCGTCACTACCAATGACAACAGTCCTTTCCATGCCTTCCCTCATGCAGGTGTCAGAACATGCAATTTATTGTTATCATGGCTCAAACCATATCCTAAATTAGAGCAATGATTCTCCTTTTCAGTTTATTACTCTGCTAACCTTTTCACACCCAAGATCTCAGTTAAAATTCTCCTCTCTGATGTCTACTTGTTCCTGATAATTGTAGCTCAGAGAATTATTTTGGTGTCAACCCTTTAAATCCCAAGATCTCATTTTTAGTTCACCCCTAGCTGCAGCAGAATTCCTTTTATATTAGTTGCAAGAATTTGGTGGTAGATCAGGAAAACAAGTCCTACCAGATAAGTTTGAGTATTCTCATTACCTGTTTTCTGGACAATGTATTGATATCAGAGAGAGAAGTTACATATTGATCACCAGCAGGAGTTTAAGGTTAAATTAGATAACATCCTCCTGTTGTTCTTTTTCCATATTCTCATCGCCTTTCTGGTTGATGTTGTATTGATATGGTAAGGGGAAATTAGTTATTGGTCACTTGTGGTGGTGAAAGAGTTAATAGAGAGTTTTTTGTTTACTGCTGTCTTATAGATAGCCTCTCTGAGTTCAGGCAAGATCCTTCTACCCATGTTTTCTTGTTTGTTTATCTCAAGACAATGTAGATGTCATATATTTTCTAATCTTGCAGACAGTTATAATATTTTTGCTCACGTGCTCTGTACATGTAGAGATGATATAAATGTAGTGCAATGCTTCTGATTTCCTTTGTATAGCAGAGCATTTCCTACGTGTAGTTAATAACAGGTAATAGATTACATGTTGTATAAATGTACAGTAGACTAATTTAAACTTGAACATGTACAAGAGGAGATCAATTTTTTTGGTTTTTGATTCTTTTTTTTCAAAAGTCCGTAAACTCGAAACAATAGGTGATACTCAGTAGTCTTTTAGTTTAACGGAATTGATTAAAGTAGTGGGTGACTATCAAATTCCTTTTTAGCTGGAAGTTTACTGAGAGAAAACAAGTACTTTGCTGAAAAAGGAAAAAATCATGGGCAATCAAGTTAGAATTAATAGTTTGTTTCCTTGTATTTGCATTAGTCAGTTTTGATTTAATGGCCCATTAACAATCAACGCATGATAACTAGAAGCAACATTTAAAGATTGGACTTAATTTTCAAAGCCTTATTTGTTGGGCGGTGGAAATATCAACGAAGCAACATTGTATAGTCTAAATTAACTTAAATATTCATCAATTCTCTTTGTTAACATTTAGGGTAGCATAAGTTCATTGTAAGCTACGTGACATTTTAAATTGAAGTCATAGATTGCCTTGTTTCTGTGTATATTTAGATAAAGTGAAATATATATTAGTTCTTCTATTAAGTTTAATATAACAATAAAGTTTATGTTCGCGGGCATTAAATTGTTGTGGGCCACTCAGATTCATTTGGACTCGAGCAGCTTAGCAAGGGTTAAAATGACTCTGAAAGGGGTCCAAAACATATTTATGCCCAAGTATGTAAAGTGTATTGCTATTGTTATCACTTTGAAGGGCATTGAAGTAATAGACACTGAAAAAAGACAACAAAAACGGGTTAAAATATATTTTTGCTCGCCAAAACCTCCATTTTAGTTCGCACAATGCCCGACAAAGTGGGGATGATTTTAAATCTTTTGGTCTTGTTGATGCAACAACCAGCCGTCCCCTAAGCTTTTGTAAAATGCCAGCTTTTTCAGCTAGCCGTCTTAGATAATCATTTTACTTATTTAAGTCGAGAAGCTGGATTCTTCTTCCTTTGAGCGATTATTGGAAATGTTCTCTATTTAAGAACTTATGACAATTAAAATGATTTATTGCTTGATTTTTAATTTCTTCTCGTCAATATACTTATTCAGTGTCACAATCATCGACCTTAAATTTAGGACGTTTGAAAGATCGTTAACTTTAACCCATACAAAGGAACTGAACTTGACCGTTCAGTAAAGCCTTTGACTCCCAAGAGCTGATACCAGAACTTTAGGTTGTATTCGAAAGGTTTCTCCTAACTGACAGTTTTCCTAATTCTGATCACCTGCCTTGTTGAAAGAGTTTCAAAATCGCTAGGAGAATTATGTGATGTTGACTAACAGGAGTGAAAGTGTCGCTTGGGTTGAGTCACAGTTTGCACATCTTGAAAACTTCAGCCAAGTATTTTTAAGTTATCATAGAAATCCGTGTTCCTTTTCGGTTTTTTACTGCCCCTTTATGGTATTCCTTCTCACTTAGCAAATTTCTGTTGGACGTTGCAATGCAGTAAGAAAAAAAAAATCTACATATTCTACATATTTAATTTTTGCCCAAGTCTGTTGTGTTTGTCGACATTTTCTGAAGAAGTTGAAAAATTGCGCTCGAGTCGAGTTGAAGAGGGAAGAAAACCTTATGTACCAAACAGTAGATTTTGAACCTCTCATCCACGCAGGAGTACTTTTCCTTTTTCTTCGAAACGCATTTTTATTGGAAGTTTCGCTTGACAAGAATGATTTGCTTTTGAAATTTCGAGGTACAGTAGGTTGACTCTGAACATATATCTGTTTTGAGATACTCAAAATAAAACAGTAATCTTGAATAAATACAAGGATACGCTGCCAAGTAATATCACTTTACAACTGATCATTTGAATTCCAAACGAACGGGTTTAACCAATGATATTCATCGAGCACACTGCCTCCGAATGTACCACCCGCCACATGCCAGAAATGGACAGAGATATTACGCTTCGCATCAGCTTTACATGAATTAAATATGAAAAGGGACAGATCTGCTTTTGCAAATATTCGGAAAGATATCAAACTCAGCCAAAACCAAGCACAGTTTTTCCTTAACGTAACCCCTTATCAAGATGTCAAGTTAATTTGCTCTCAAAGATATCTGCTATAACTTGATTTTACTCTGGACATTACATCTCTTGGGATAGGGCTGAGACTTGCCACAAAACGATCAAGAAACTATTGGTGTTTTAAAGCCAGGTGCTCCATCTGCTACAAGTGACAAAATTATTTCAAGCGCTGTACCATGTCAGAGAGAAAATCGTTCAAAACTCTACATTTGAATAATTTGATGTGGTCTTGAGCAGGTAGAAACGTCATCCATGGTCAACATCTTTCATTGCCTCGGAACGTTTTTGCATCGCCTACAGGCTTTGAGTGACAAAGATCTAGGACGTCTCTACGAAGCAAGGTGAAGAATAGCCAAACTGGTGAAATTAAGTTAGAAAGGAAGGTTCTACGGGAATTCAACGGTTTCTGATTGACAAACATTGCACATTTACTTTTTAGCAATGTCCAAAACTGTACGATTTGCGGGAGTTACTAGCAGGGAATATGCAGAGTCTGTGGCCACTGACGTCCTCCAGAAGCGACAGGAAAGAAAACTAAAAAAAGATAAATCCAGTAAAGGAAAGAAGAAGCCGAGAAGCAGAAGATCAAACCCTGCTCAAGGAATATCCGCAAAGGGATTGAGAGTTGCAGGAGTTAACCGAGGATTACTTTCAGAATTCATAATTTTTATGCTCCTACAAGGATTCAACTTATTCAGTAATTCGTGGGTTTTAAATGAATCTCTTAGCGTTCTTAACAAGGTTGAAAAATACGAAAAATATCCCAACGTTTCCACGATAAACAACACAGTTCCAGACCTCTGTGCTAACGTGCAGTGGGCTAGAGAGAAGATCAGTAACGAGATAAATCATTTCTCGTCCGTTATATACGTCTATTGTTTCTTCCTTGCCGTGTCTGCTTGTATCTTCACCTTGCATTTGCTAGCTTGGTTGTACACGCTTCAACTATCTTTCAGAAGTCGACGATTTAACGCTAACACCCAAGAGACTTTAGTAAAGATGAAGGTGTACTTTCTCATTGCTGCCAGCCTGCTGCAAGATATCCCAATGTCTACAATCTCGGCAGAGCTTTATTCTCTGCAACAAGGCCAGCAAGGTTTGGTTTGCTGGTTCTGCAAGGTCTCAGGCCTTTGTCCTGAGTTGAAGCAGCTTGAAAGCAGGTTGAGTCGGGGCACAACGGCACTCTGGTTAAATTTCACCGCAATTGCGCTCACTTCTCTTTGGAAGGGCATCTCAAGCTTTTACAGGTGGAGCCGAATCGACACATGCGAAGCATTCTATTTGCGAGCATGCACGGCTGTATTTGCGGGATTTCTGTACTGCGTCGTTATACTCACGCCAGCCATGACAGTTCTCAGGTATCGCTACTTTATCGGAATAGACGGTGGATTGCTCGAGGACGTTATAGATAGAGTCTACATAATCGGTGCCATATTTTGGGTTTTGGTTGTTGCTGTTATTGTCTGTTGTCCTTTGTTGAATCTTATCAGAGTAACGCAATGACCATTCTATTCAAACCAAGATTCTGAGAGAAGAAACGTTAGCATTTAGTATTCTTCGGTAAGGTCTTGCAAATTTACGCAACGCAACGCGCCTTTCTATTAATTTCTGAGACCAAAAACCTGTAAAAGTTAAAAAAAATGCTTCATTTTAATCTTATGTATATACATTTTGAACCACGTTAACAAGAGAACAAAAAGAAACCGCGTCAAATCATTTCCTCAGTAACAAGTCTGATCCATTTATTACTTTAGCAATATATACCAGCTGCACTTTAAGAGGAAACACAGGTAAAATCAGAAAGAAACTCTTTGGGATAGTTATAATGTAGCGTTGTCAAGAGTATTCCTTCTATGTGATGATCAAATAAACCTAGATTTTAGGAAAAGTTAACAAAGAAAATTTGGTTGGGAGCCGCGAGCGTCGTGGGTGCTCATTATGTTTTACGTAGAGATCAGTTCAGCACAGGACCCAGGTGACTTACGGCTACTGATTGTCAAAGTTTGTAGCAGCTTCTGTAGCATCGACAAACAAGAAATATAGCCTCTTGCAACCCTTACTGTATATTCACTTTCCCGCTTGGACAGAGACATTTTGCAAGTGTCTTCCTGCAACATAAAGATTTTGGACAATTTCCAGAGTTTGAATTTAAATATTGTGGTACGATAGGCTTCCTCTTTCAAGCTAAGTCGCCCCCTTTGTGGAAGCTTATCCCTGTTGTTTTGGCATCAAGTGACCACAGCATACCCACAGTGCACTCCTCCTGAAAGCAATACCAGTCCAACGCATTTAACTCTCAGAAATTCCTTAAGTTTTCCTAAAAGCTTCCCGTTACCCTTTGATACCTCAAGGAGGAAAGAGGCAACGTGAGGGTTAGTGTCTTTTCCTGGAACAGATAAGAGCTCAGTGCACCGACCACGAGGTCACCGCCTCTCTTCCCGCATTATGTACAGTATGATCCTATTGGACGAGTTAAAAAAATGGATTGGCTTCCTTATGGCAAGGAACAAATTCCGGCTTTATTGGATTGATGCCATCAGAACTTTTCTTTGGGCTTCATAGAAAATTACCAGTTATTTCTTAACAAGTTGTAACCATTTTTCTGTCACAAAAGGGTAGCAAAGCATTTAAGCCCTCAGCCAATTAGAAACAGCCCTATTTAGCTTTATGTAACTTCAAGTAAAAAATAATTCGGTAAAATGACAAGTTTATAGCCAGTGAGCCAATATCAAATAACTTGCTGAAATGATACCTATAACTGAGAAGCATGGATGATGAGATCGCTTTCGCCATGGAATTTCTTTCCTAGTGAGACATTTTTGCATATGAGTCGAGATGTCTGGTTCAAGCCTTGGTCGGCTGATTGTCTTGTATTGCACTCTTACGATGCCCCTCTACAGGATAAGCTCCATAAATGTGAAGGACAATGCTTGAGAGCAGGCTATGCCTTCCCCTTTAAACCTATGGAAATCAAAATAATCGTTACGTGGGGTAAACGAACTCCGCATAGGGTTGGGAAAAGCCTTTATGACATGTGGATCTGTAGAGATGAAGGCAAATATAACGGATTGCACACGAAGAGCTTAAAGCAAGAATAATTTAGGCTGCATTTTTCATGATGTGACGTAGCACCATTAAGACTCTCACTCATGGTAATGATAAATATATAGATCCTTCTGACGATGTTATTACCCCGTCAACCTTGCGGTTAATGAGAATCAAGAAACTTGTCAGCTATGAGATATTGTTTGCATAAAAAACCTATTAATTCGGACTGGCCAACAAACAGAGACTCTTTTTTTTAATTTGATTTGAACAATATGACAACGTATCGATGTCAGCAAAAATTGATTCTTGATATCTATAATCGCTTCCTACCGCTTTGTCGGAAAAGAGAAAAATAAGAAAAAAAATGAAAAGAGAAAAATATCACTATTTTCACAAAATGTAGTTTACAAACCATTTTGCCAGCTTTTGCTCTGTGTACTCAACCGCAATATCAAAAATAAACAGATGCTCTCTGAAACAATTAAGACTGAAGTAAATAAATGATGGTAGCATAGCTTCGCGATATCAAAGTGCCAATTCAATCGATAGAAAGTGCTCTGAACGCATTTCTTGCTGTCGACAGTTTACAGACATTTTTGCGCGTTACTCATAGGTCAAAATTGCATTTCACTGCTGGGGGGCGGAAAAATATTGAACGAAGAATTCTCGATTACTGGTGGCCATAAATAATAGATTTCGCAGTTTCGACTTGGATACTATACAAATACACATTTTGGTTTGAATCTACAGGTACTTATAACCAAGACGCCTTCATTTGTAGTGGACAATTTCCCTCTCAAGTTTCAAAACGATTTCTGAATACAGCTGATGCAACTCGTGAGAGATACGGAGGTCACATCATGACGTAAATTCTTTTTGCCTAAACTGCCAGGTAAGTAATAGTTCACTTTTCTATAGGTTATTGTTGAAGTGATTGCTTCCTTAAATTTTAACACATTCATTCAACGTATGAAGTGGGTTTACTCACATCATAATTACAAATGTGAATTAGCCTCTGCCAACAAACAAAGCTTCCGACGATATTTCGAAAATTAACTTAAATGAATTTGGACTGATTCTTAAAGTACAAAATACTCTTGCGCCTAATTTTGAATTCAGAGGAAATTAGTTTGATTTCAGATACACTTAATAAAACGAGAACCATAATTACCAAAAGCAACGAATTCAAAAGCTGCTATTCGCTATTCAAAATCATTTCAAATCGACTTTCTATTGTCTTTTTTCACTCCATTTCCGTGCAGAGGTTTTCATGAAATTATCAGAAAATTTTCTCTTATAAAGGAAAATATCTAATAATCAATCAGTTTCTTTCACCAAAGCTGCTTTATTGCAAAAATATCTGACAGCAAGGACTTGAGAGATTAAACTTTATGAATGAGTAGCTTTTAAGAACTGATGTTCATAGGATATTTAAAGAATGAGAAACGAAAGTTCTCTTTTGAGAATTGTATGATGAAATTTTTGTTGCTATTATGGAATGCGAGACCCATTCTGTACTTGATTTGCAAAAATATTCATGATTTCTAATTGTAGTCGCACATCCTGTTGTTAATATTTATACATTAAAGACTACCAACGCTGATTCATACTCTACTAGACTTTGACAACGAGACCAACCCTTTTCCGTTATCTAAGATGGTGGTTTTAGCTGAAAAAGCCTCATGATTTTGCAATTTTTATCCCAGAATTGGCGAAGGGTTCGCTAACATCAATTTGAGTCTACATAGAAGTCAACGGAATTGTTTAAACTGTGAGGCCGCGATAGATTGTGATGAAATGGAAATTAATTTTCGGTTTCCTCACTCTCAAGGGTATTTTTGTTGATGACATTTGATAGACTCAAAGAAAAAAGAGCAAAAATTTCATGGAGGCAAAGCTTTGCCGAAAAAAATTTGAAGGGAATGATACAACTGATAGATCAAGTTAGACTTGAAGACCGATACTAAAAAAAGAAAAAATTAAAATTGCCGCAAATATCTTATTTGTAAGGGCAGCTTACTCATTGCACTGATTTGGATTCGATAGGTAATTTAGGAAAAGCATTTCTTCAAAAGTTCGAATATTTGCGGGTATGAACATAGCTGTAAATCAAAATCCATTTACCACCAAAGTAACAATTTCATTGTTTCAGTGACTTAGTACAGTTTATTAAAAATTCAAAACAAAATATTTACAATCAAGGCAGTAATATCTACTAGGCCAAGATATAAGTTTGGAATATGAAAGTTTATTCTGATTTCAGTGAAGGGTTGGTTATTCAGACATCTGGCACAGCCCTATACAATTATAAAAAGCATGGAATCCTATAAATGTACCGAGATATTGAGGATACGTGAACACCATGTTTTCAACAGTCTAAACAGCTATTGTGCGAGTCTTATTAAACGAAGCAATGGACAACAACATACAGTCAAGATACCAACCGACCAGAAAAGAGCTCCTATGATAAACAGCTTATCTATTAAATCGGAAATAAATCCTGGTGTCACACCTGGAAGGGTAAAATACCGGTATTTTAAAATCGTCATAGCTGGGGTCATAATGATGCAGGCGTACAAAAATCCTGCAAACAAGGATGTCGTCGCGCGAATTATGAAGACATCGCATTGCTCCGCTCGGCTCCATCGGAAAAACGATGAAATAGCTTTCCATAGGGTTGTCAAGCATATCGCTACGATGAGAAGAAACAAAGCATTGGAGCTTGGGCCTAGAAGCGTTTCCAGGTAATCCTCAGTTGTGCACAATGGGTCTAAGGAGCATCGCCAGCAAATGAGGCCATTTGTGCCTCTCCTCAGCAGATAGAGCTCAATGGCGATTGTTGAGCAAGGAATGTCTTGCACAAAGTTTGCAGCTAGTGTAAAACCTATTTTTCCCTTAACCAATATATCCCAGTTTTCTTGGAGAAAGTCGGCTTCCATTAGTGAAAATATAAGAGTTGCAACCCACAGCAAGAAGTGGAGACAGAAGATGATCGTGGCTAAGACTGTAAAGCCAAAGTAAATATCCAGGGTTTGCCCAAATTGTTCAAATAACTCAATTGTTTTCTTTTGATTGAACGTGGAGCTTGAACAAAATCCCAGGGGACTGCGTGTGAGGTTTAGCCCTCCTCTTGCCTTAGTTGTATTGGAGCCGTAGAGAGACGTACTCAGGTCTTCGTATGAGGCCAAAGAGTTTGAGGATTCAAAATATACGCCATAGTTACAATACACATCAAATCCTTGCAAAATTAGGAAAATAATAAATTCTACCAAAAGCCCATAGTTGAATCCACCTGGTACGGGATTTTGATCTTTTTTTGCAGCTTTTCTAGCCATTATAAATCAAATGACTACTCTGTTACCTGATTTGCTTCTATCAGTTCCAAAATCGCACTATTGTGCTTCTTCTTTATGAATTTAAGATTTAACCACATCTCCAAAAATGGCAGGGCTTCGTTTTATTTGCATTAACTATTAATAGCTGAAAGCTCCCGTGCTATTGGCTGCAGTTCATTGTTTTGTATCTGAGGATTTACAAATTTAGTTGAACTGCTTTCAACATAAGGACAAGTCTCATTGTCCT